CTTAGTTCTGAAACCAGATCCAAGTCTTGTAATCTCCGGACGATTTGTCCTAGCCCTTCCTAGAGCTTGTCGAAGGAGTGCAACTTCTCGTACGAACTCTGGGTCATCCTCTGGAATGAGGGCTGGTTCGCCTGAGGGGTCTGGCTGAGTAACGCCGAATCGAACGTTACGTTGGTCTTCCGTCTCGATGGACGGGCGGATAGTTGCAGCACTATTCGAAGCGGTGCTGTGGAACGAAGAAGTCGAATGGTCCCGCTGGGCCGAATGTTGGAGTATGGTGTCATGACTCCTAGTAGGACTCTGCGTAGGGAGTCGAACTGTTGGCTGGTCTTCGTACAACGTTGTATCAACGGTAACCGTTTGAGCGTCTTCGTCCGTAGAAATAATGTCGACGGGGGCCTTTTCTTTTCCTTTGGCCGACTTCCTGGCTCGAGAGCGCGAAGTGGTCCTAATAAGTGGATCGGTATCTATAGTTTGGTAAAAGGGAAAGTAAAGCTTGTCGAACGATAATAAGTAAAATATGAGGATATACTCTTGGGGTACTATTCTCCGGCCGTACGTGCCGTAGGTGCCTACTGTTCTGAAGGCTGTAGCGGGCCTCTGCTGGTGGGATATTCTTTGGAGTGCCTTCCCAGGCAGGAGGGGTTTGGTGACCTTTAGATAATGTGACAGCACGGTGGGAAGCTTAGTACGTAGACGAAGTATCGATTCGGCTATCTCTTAGAATCTAAAGGTAAAGAAGAGAAGGGGAATGAAAGAGGAGAAGATCTAGATATATATATGCCAGGGGAAAGGGATGTCATGTGAGGAGCTAAGCCCCAATAGGCTTAAAGCTAGGGAACGCCACCATTCCCGGCCTGACCTTTGTCGCGGGCGATTAGGCAGGCGATTAGGTCAGGTGACAGGCGATTAGCCAGGCGATCCAGGTGGTCCGTAACATAATTTATATTTTAATAATAATATTATAAATTATTTAATATATTTCGATATAATATTAAATTATCGAGAAATTTTTTTATAAAATAATATTATTAATAAAATTTTATAATTTTTAATAATTTTTAATTTTGCGAAATAAATATTAACGATTATTATAAACGCAGAACGATGAAGCAATTATTCAGATATTCGTTTAAATATACGGAGAAAAAGTATCGTGGGTTAAGCTATAAAGTATTTACTTATTGCACTGGTTCAAGGCGGTGTTCAATACTTGGCCGGATCATCAGGATGCGCGGTGTCCTTCGACCGCAGCGGGCTCATCAAAACCGAATACTCAAACTTTCGATCCACGAACCTCAGGAGCTCGGGATTGACATTGTTTGTGTTGAGCCCCATTTGGTATTCTCCTCCGTCAGTAGGCGGAGGTTGGATGGGCCACCAATAGCATCTACCGTACATAACATCAGTCTTCGATGTGGGGAGCAGAAATTGCTCGACTTACACGCAACCGCAGTTATCACAGAAGTTGAAAGACAGGTCTCCATCGCCCCAGACATACTGCTTGGTCACTGCGTTCGGCTTCGTTTCGATCTTTACTTCGTCGGGATGGTACTGAGTAAAATCAGCATCAACAGGTAAGGTATCAAAACACCGCCATCACGTGGACCTACGTAGCCCCAAGCGGCGCCGTAGCGTCTACAAATCGTGCATTGGCATACGTTGATGTACTCGGGGAGTCGGGGAACTGTGACTGTGATGGCGCCGCAGTGGCAGCTGGAGCGGATCGAGGTGGCTGTCGCCGCCATGTTGTCTCGTGCTGTTCAAGCTGGAGTATGTCAGACAGAGTCTGGCAGTGAGTGACCGTCGGCTAGTTCTCAGTGATTGAAGGCCAATCCTCCCGAACGGCCGATCGAGTGACAAGGAAGCGTTGCGAAGAGTATGTTTATGTATATTCAGAATGCTTGTCGAAGGAACAAACAAGTGTATGAATGCCGTTGGCCTTAGCGCAAGGCAGCAACAAGGCTGCTGAGCGACTACCGGCCTTAGACACCGCACGCAAAAGCAGCGTTTAGTAAGTTCGTAAATCAAAAGGTTCGTAAGTTTAGTTTTAAACTTTGAAATTCTTTTTTTTATATAAATAAATTTCCCTTAAACGTTGTTTGTTTTCCGCTTCCACACCGCCGTGGACCGTGCATCACGCCCTATTGTCATCTCTAATGCTGCAGGGCTGATTCTTTGACGACCACATAAATGACCACTAGCCAATAGCATATCGAGCCCTGTGTATTACAAAGCGACGCCTTTTTGGTGCACCATGAACCATGAACTCTCATCCACATGATGGATCTGCAATTGCACGCCCTCGAAATGGAATCCGGCCGTTAGATCCACTGTATGGTGGTATACATATATATATATCCTTGCCGCGAGATAGTTTCCCACTCAACATAAACAGAACACATCCATCACGTAGCTCAGATATCCTTCTGATCACAATTATACACTAGTTATGGACTCCCTTTGGGATACACGTTGCATTACAGCTTCTTCTAGTGACGTGGAGTATATGACAAGCTTAGGGTTGGAGTCGAATTTCAACACAGTGATTGCGGACAAGATTTTCTACTACCAGCGAGGTCTCAAAGATGTCAAAGCCGACACGCCGATTCTAGTAATGCTCCATGGCTATCCCCAAACGTAAGGCTCTCAAAATACACCAGTTGTCTTTCGACACTAACTAACACTAGAATAGAAATTTTATGTAAGTTTTACCTAGCATTGCTCTTTTGTTATCGTGAGAAGATGGTAGCTCTTAGCGTTTCAGCCTGACAAGTCGTAATTAGGTGGAGACATGTCAGTAACTAAACACGGAGATTAAGTCGTATACTCACCAAGTCCAGATAATTCCTCTCCTTCCAGAGGACATCCCCATATTCCTCCCAGACCTTCCAGGCTATGGCAGATCTTCGCCCCTTTCCAGCCCGCACTCCAAGCGTAACGTCGGAAACGCCATCCTTTCAATGCTCTACTCGCTGCTCCCTAGTGCCAGCGATTCTCATCCCATCATCCTCGCTGGCCACGACCGTGGCGCTCGAGTTTGCCAACGTTTGTCGATAGATGCCGCAAGTGACACCCACTTCGCTATCAGGGGGTCCATCCTCCTCGATATAACTCCGGGCACCGCGCAATGGCAAAAGCTCGCCGAGCCCCAGGCAACCGTGAGTTGTTACCACTGGTCATTTCTTCCGAATGTCGAGCTTGCCACAGCAATGATTTTGGCATTCGGAGGAGACAAGTACATGCGTACGAATTTTTCTCGTTGGCATGGGAAGAACGAGGTCGGATTGAGACGTTTGAAGGAGAATGATGCGGAAAGAGTCTATGCGGACGCCTTCAAATACGAGCATGTCATTCGGGCAACTTGTGATGACTATCGTGCTAGTGCTGAGGAAGAAGTCAAACAGCACGAGGACGACCAGTATGTTAAATTCTGGGCTTGTTTTGTATCCATCCTTAGGGCTGAGGACCTTGAAATCCTCTTCAGAAAGTGCTTGCTGAAGAACGTTTGTTTCAACTCTTCAAATAACTCTTTGGCTCCTAGATCTTTCTTACACGAGTATATACTGACTTATCTATAGGAGGGAAGGCAGGAAACTTGATTCTGATGTTTTACTTCTGTATTCTTCGTCATTTCTGGCAAGTAGGGGTAGCGTTGAAATTTGGAAAGAGTGGATGGGGAAGGGGAATCTGGAGATGAAAGGTCTGGGAGATGGCGTTGGACATTTCGTTGCCGAAGAAGCGCCCGAGAAAACGGCTGAGGCAATGGTGACTTTCTACAATAATCATAATTGAAGTGCGAGGATGTGAGCATTTCACATTCCAATTTAGGTATAAGTAGATCAATATAAAGCCCGACCAATGGGTACAAAGATTATAACTGCTGTTGGCCTGTGGAAGGACTTCTGTATAAGTCATTGGGCTCAGCTTCGGCCACGGAACAGCTTAAGAAACACGCTGGGATCGTTTCAATGAGGCGTAGGGTAAAATCGTACGTCCCTCGTCTATGAAAACAGGTACTTTCCTCTGCTTCAATTGTCCAGCAGAGACCCAAGCATGCAGGACGAATATCAGGAGAATACAGAATTGGTTTATGACATCAAAAAATTTCCCAGGCCTGCAGAAGACTTAGAGTTTCTAAGTGTACTACTTACTCAGGTTGCGACTCAACAGTTCAGGCTCGTGCGGGATCCAAACGGTCCCTTGAACTCGGAAATGAGCTTGACAGCTATGATTTTGTTGAAAGCAAGACTGAAAGACTTTGCGTGATTGTAATTTTAATCAGAGATTAAGAAAGAAAGTCGCAGTCATCCCATGTTTGAAACCTAAAATGCTAGAATACGAGAGCTCCAGAAGTCTTTTTTGTCTCGATTGGGTTAAAGGAAGGAAGGATAGAAGGTCGGTTCGCTGCCTTCAATAACAAGTGTAAGATAAGTCCTGCGAAGATGACAAAAACTCTCGGACGCAGGATGATTCAAGAATAGATATCTAGACATGCATTTTATTTAAATAGAGTGAAAGAGGAATGAGGCTAAGTACCTTGGCTTTACCCGGTGCTGGTTCGGAGCAAGGGGCCCATTAAGCGAGAGGAGAAAGCACTAAGATAGGGGGGCGGCTCATCGGCGACCAAGCCGACTAGTAGGTTTGAGAAAGATTTCCTAGCATCTAAATTCAGCACGGTGAATACAAAGTCACCGCATCTGATCAAGCGGTTGCATCTGATTGGACATGTCAACGTCGATAAAGCTCGATATCCACATCGTGACGTCTACCCGTCTGCTCTTCTAACTGCTTGCGTATTCCGCTTTTTGAATGTTTTCCTAGAAGATCTACAGTAGTAGCAGCTTACTTGTTGATTTCAGTTGATGTAAAGACAAGGAAACCGGATGAGCGGTAAGTACACCGAATACTAAGCAGAAATGAAGGCAAGTACAAAACCACAACTTTGATGTCATAGCTGCTTGAATCTTGGCCAAGTTTAGTATATAATATAGTAAGCTGTACGAAGATAACTGTAGCTTCTACTTTCAATATTCAAATCACAAGGCACTCACCTGTGACCTTTAATTCAACGACACGAGAGTCATGCGGCGCTCAATTCCTCTTCTGTTCCTTGTGGCCAAGTCCAGCGTCGCTGTGCCGAGCTGGCTCCCCAGTCTCGGGCTCAAGTCGAGTAGGGCATCCACTGTCAATGCCATCACAGTCGATCTATCGACACGCTACCAGAAGATGGATGGCTTTGGATTTTCACAGTACTTCGGTACCGCCTCAACAATTCAGACGCTGCCCGCCGATCAGCAGAAGCAGACGCTGGACCTTCTCTTCAACGTCACCACCGGCGCTGGTCTGACCATACTCCGCAATGGTATCAGTGTCGATATTATTGAGCCCAAGAGTCCAGGGAACGCCACTGACAATGCCACATACGGATGGGACGGTAGCGATCAAGGCCAGGTTTGGCTCTCGCAACAAGCGCTAAAGTACGGGGTCAATCGCTTCTATGCCGACTCGTGGAGCGCGCCGGCGTTTATGAAGACCAACGACAACGAAGATGAGGGGGGTTATCTCTGCGGTGTGACAAGCGAGACATGTAAGACAGGTGATTGGCGGCAGGCATACGCAAACCTCATAGTCCAGTATCTCTTTGATTATAGGTCTGAGGGGATCAACGTAACGGAAGTCGGTTTCCTCAACGAGCCCGAATATACGTATGCAACACTTCTCTCTTCCTCCCCTGACTTGCATGAGTATGGACGCTGATGCCTCATCATCTCACAGGGGCTCTTACGCCTCCATGCTTTCGACTGGGACGCAAGCCGCAAGCTTCATTGAAGTCTTATATCCAACCCTTCAAGCTGCAGGGCTTGGAGATGTTGGAATCGTCTGCTGTGATGCGATCGGCTGGTCCTACGCAGTAGAATGGACAGCGCAACTCATTGCCGCTGGCGTCGAGCCTATGCTGTCTCGTATCAGTTCGCATTGGTATAGCGGCGTAGGAAATGGGCCTTTGAACACTTCTCTGCCAGTCTGGCAAACAGAATAGTAGGCACTCCTAATCCAATCAACTTGTTCTCTCTCTGTTTCCAGAACATTCCCTCCCCTATACTCGTCTAACAGCTCTGATATGTGGCTCCTCTTATACCATTGCTTCCGAAACATACTGTAGTTGAAAATACTGACTTGCCATCTTTCTAGCTGTGCGCTCAAGGGCGTATACAGTGACGTCTGGTACTCAACTGGTAATTCCGACCTCTCTGAAGGCTTGACATGGGCCAACTTGATCTACGAGGGCGTTGCACAATCCAACCTGACAGCCTTCATGCACTGGTGGGGCGTCAATTTTGATGCTGCATCTGGCTCACTTATTTCCGCTGGCTTTGGAGGTCCTGTCCAAGCAACATCCTATTTGTGGTCATACGCACATTGGAGCCGTTACGTTCGGCCTGATGCTTTTCGAGTTGCGGCCACCAGCAAGGTCGGGACGACTGTGTCTTACAGCGCGTTCCATAACGTTGATGGCAGCGTCAGCGTCCAGATCATTAATAATGGGGCCACGGCTACGCCGTTCGATGTTAGCGTAACGGGGATGAATGTTACAGATGCTCAGGTGTGGTTCACGGACAATTCGTATGTCGGTGTGTACTCGATGAATGGCACCGTGTTGTCGAAGAATGGGACAATCAGCTTGACGGCACCGACAAAAAGCATGGTTACTGTGGTGTTTTCCCCTGCTTCGTAAGTGGCGGGGAAAAAGTGTTGGGTATCATGAGGGGCCCATCTCAAGTTGGCAAGAAACGTTTGATAGAGTGTGGATATCTAGGCTGGGATTTCGAGGTATGAAGTGAAATGTGTTCCTGGTTAAATTCGCGGGTTTTAGGGACAGTCCAGGCTTTTGGGAGTACAACCGGGCTGTCCGGGCAGAATAAAGTCATTCTTACTAGCTGTACCTAATTCCCTACTCTTTGGGAATACCCTTATTTTCATGCTTTAGCTTTTAATCCTTAGCATTTAATCCTTAGCCCGTATTTACTACCCACAAGTTAACAATGCGCTAGACTCGCAATGCAACAGTGTAGTGTAGTCAGTACAGTGCATTCAGTGGATTTAGTACAGTGGATTCAATACAGTGTAGTTAGTACAATAGATTCAGTGGATTTAGTGGATTTAGTACAGTGCATTCAATGCATTCAGTACAGGGTAGCTAGTATAGTGCATTCAGTATAGTGGATTCAGTGGATTTAGTGGAGTACAGTGTAGTCAGTACAGTAGCGTAGCCATGTGGCGGTGTAGCTAGAGGAGTACAAAAACTAAAGTTGAAAGCGAGCGAATATATAAATATATGGAAGAAAAGAAAGGATAAAACTTTAATTTTCACCGCTTTCGCGTAGTTAGAATAGCCCGGCTGTCATCGAAAAAGCCTAGACTGTCCCTAAGACCCGCGGTTAAATTGTATTAAGATCTCGCCATGTTGTGTCGTGTTGTCGTGTACCTAGGTAACGGATTGCACTACAGTACCACCAGGTGACAATTAGCGAGTACTGGACAGTATCGAAAATTATGGCACGTTCTCAAAAATAGGTGCCGCTGTGCTGAGTGCTGCAAATGCAAATGCAAAGTACCTGCATCTTCACCACCAAGTCTCAGCCGCCGAGATACACAGGAGACCGGTAAGATGAATCAATGCACGATAATTAAGATGAGTGACATCGCGGCAGAACCCTCGGCTTGTCTACTAACCTAACGATCAACGCACGCACGTCGAATGCTGGCGATATGTATCACTTTACTGCCGTTACCAGCCTTCACAATGAAATACGTGCAAGATGCGGTGGAGAGGAGCCGCTTCTCCTCCTTTTCGAGTCTTCAGCATCGAGCACGTGTGGTATTCGCTGCGCGCGCCCACCTACCTATTTCTTTCGAGCGAGGAGTCTCAGATGCAGCCACCGCAACGAACATACGTAGGCATGGCCATCAGACTGCCCGCCAAGCATCGTCAACCCTCACAGTCACGCTGCTCCTTCTTTCTTGTAGTGACAAAGTCGAGCCTATTCTATATATGCTGCTATTTTGTCTTCGAGTGCTTCAGAAAGTGTATTCTGCCGTATCGCACTAGTTGTTTTTGGTCCTATCTTGCCTGATCTTCTCATCCGTTGGGGAGGTAGAGACAAGAGACGATGGTGGTATCAGAGGGCACGTGGGCTCGAGTGAGCAACGTTATTACCTTTTCCCGCGAGACAGTGTCATTTCGACCACTTCCCACAGGATGCTTGGGGCGCTATTAATTTGCCTTTATTTGTTGCATGATGGCTCTAGAATGCGGCAAACCATCATTCTGAGTACGAATCGCCAGATTCAGAAGTGCCCCGAGCATGTTTCTGCTGCTTCAAGAAGCTGCCGCTGAAAATGGCGTAAGTTTTCCGTATATTCGATCCGTGCGGCAACAAATGTGAGGAGCTGCATGTCCACCACATTGGACCCTTGAGTCCATCTCAATGAACATAAGGAGGGGTGCCTACCTTCACCCGAGATGGTCAAGAGATACAGCATCAGCCGTCATGCCTTCCCTCGTTCAACTTCTTGTTATTGGCACAGCCATGATGGGTGCATTTGCCCAGTACAATGGTGCCCAGTATCTTGATGGCTACGAGGCTGTTAACCTCCCAACCGATCCTGTGCAGATTCGACTTGCATACCAAGGCCCAACGGCCATGATGGGTATGTGAGCACCCAATTGCAATTGGAAACCTTTACTAAACTATATCTTCTCACAGTGTCCTGGAACACCTTCGAACAACTCACCAATCCTTCCGTCTCCTATGGCACGGATCCTGCCAATCTCGACCTTACCGCCAGCTCTTCAGTCTCTGTCACCTACGCTACATCTTTAACGTGGAATAATCACGTTAATATTACCGGACTATCATCGTATACAACTTATTACTACCTACCCCAATACAGTAACGCTACTACTCCATACACGTTCACTACTGCACGTGCAGCAGGTGATGCAACACCTTACACAGTCGGTGTTGTTATCGACATGGGTACTTTCGGAGCCCTCGGTTTGAGCTCATCCATTCTTGCGGCAGATGATCCTCTGGGACCCACTGAACAAACCACTATTGCTGCTCTTTCAGAGATGATTAACGATTACGAGTTCGTAGTCCATCGTAAGTCAACTTCCGCCCTGGTTTCGTACTCGTCCGAGGAACTGAAATCTTCGGGGACATCTTCTAGAGCTACTCATCAAAGAAGATGTTCTCCAGGTCCTCGGACGAGCGCCTCGCCCTCTAGATCTCTATCAAAAGTACATGCTGATTCGTCTATAGCCGGAGACTACGCGTATGCGGATGCTTGGGCAAAGGAAGAGGCCGCAGGCGAGATTCCCACAGGATCAGCTCTGGCGCAGTACACCATCGTCTATGGTACGTCTCAAACAAATCTTTCAGATTCCCGTCTGGTTCACGAGAGCTTCGAACGCTCTCTAGCGTCAGCGTGTTCTTGCTTCTTCCGCTTATATGCTCTCGAAATTAGCAGTCTCGACCTCTGAATACGTTATTTTCCCATCGAGATATCTAGTACTGATTTGTTGACAGAAAGCATCCTGAACGCCTTCTTTGATGAGTTGGAGCCTATCACATCACAAAAAGCGTTGGTGACCATGTTTTGTCACTAGAGGAGTGTTTGATGCTGACCAGTCCTTGCGGCATTAGATATATGGTAAATCCAGGAAATCACGAAACTAATTGCGACAATCTTGGAACCAAAGCATGCACTGTCGGCCAGGTAAGCCGATTCCACGTTTGATTCTACATTTCGAATATTTTCGCGCTAGCAGGTTTACGAGCTGTGTGTCCGTTTCGTTTAATCGCCTAGGCGATAATCTTGTGGAACTACATTTCTGGCTTTGTATACAGGAGAATTATTAGCGTATCAGGGCATGTGACTGGTAGCTGTGAGAGTTGAGCTGCTGGGCTCGTCTATCCTAGGCTGGCTGTGGTTGATCTAGTCGAAGGTCAGGCTAATTCGATGTATAGACAAACTTTACTGGCTATCAGAACCATTGGCGTATGCCTAGCAACCCTTCTAATGGTGTCGGCAACATGTGGTATTCCTACGAGTACGTTAAATTCCGCTTTTGTTTTGTATTTATGACAATCAACCGAGATCTTCGAAACATCCCCAGGAGCTACTCCCTAAAGGAGATATGGTTCAATTCTACGGATGACCCCTTCGGCTCCTGGATCCTTTTTAAAAGTGTATACTGATCTGTCTATAGCTACGGCATGGCACATTTCGTTCACATAAGTACCGAGACAGATTTGGGTAATGGCGGTAATGGCTTGGTGGCTCCTGACAGTGCGTTTGGTGGTCCTTTTGGCACCACCGCCAACGAGCAGATTAATTGGCTAACCAACGATCTTGCTTCGGTTAATCGAACATTAACGCCCTGGGTCATCGTTTTGGGTCACAGACCTTTCTATGTTTCATCCTCGAGCAATATTTGCGCTCCTTGCATTACGGCCTTCGAAACTTTGTTTTATACCTACAATGTTGATCTTTACGTCAACGGACATTCTCACTTGTACGACAGGACTGTACCGATCTATAACAACATTATTGATCCAAATGGTTACAATAATCCTAAAGCTCCGATGTACCTGACCAATGGAGCTGGTGGACACTTTGCGTAGGTCAAATACTGCTCTTACCCTGAATTCATTCTAGGAGAGCTCGGGATCACCTCCGGGAGCATTTCATCAAACAAGATGCATTTGAGCTCCCCAAATAAGCTCCTCAGCTCCTGGACCTTATCAAACTGTATGCTGACTTGTCAATAGCGGGCTTGACACTCCTTCAGCAATTATGCCTTACACTGCCTATAACCAGGCTTTGGATTATGCATGGACAACCCTGGAATTCCTTAACAGCACTCACTGGGTGGTTAATGGGTTGTGGTCTGCGAACAACACTATCTTTGACACGGTGACTCTTTACAAAGCTCACAATTTTGAAATCACATCCACTTCAAGCAGTTCAATGGTTTCCATGCCTGCTACGTCATCCTCTCTCTCGTCGACGCTCTCATCAACAAGCTCGACTCTCTCGTCAGTAAGCTCATCCCCAACGAGCTCAACCCCGACCACGACAATTGGAAATACTGGCACGTCTACCAACTCTGCTGTTCAGCCTTCCTACACCAACTTCAGTGGCCTTGGTCATTTGTATGTCTATGTCAATGGCTTGTTGATGGGTGACATCGGTTCCAGTGATACCTGGTACTTCTTTGCAGGTCAGGGTATAGCGACATGGACGGCATATCCTGCAGCCGTAACTCCAAACGGGTTTACTCTATACAAGAGCGGCTGGTGCTATATTGATAAGTCAGCAAAATTCCAAGTCATTATCAACAAGAGATTCCTGCTAATCGACTGTGCAGCACACAAGCTTTCGACTGCAGCGGCACAGCTGCACAGGCACAGGTATTTGGTCAGGATGCAGAAGGAGACATGCTCTACAATGGAAACCCGGCGTTTTATGCTTCTTCTCTCGCAAGTACTAACGCTAAGCCTACTGTATACGCAACCCCTTTGCCTATCTCCATGAACATTGTGTGGGGCAATCTTGTTGCCACCCCTCTTTCAAATACACTTACAAGTGGTTCAACCCCTGGCAGCGCTCCTACTACGACTTCTTCAGTGCTGTCTAGCACGAGTCTCACGGTACAAATTACAGGCCCAAGCAGTTCTCAGTCCACTTCCACGTCATCCAGTATGAGTATCACGGGATCAAGCCTTGGGTCAAGCGTTTTGAGCTCTACCTCTGCATTGGTCACGATGTCCTTACTTAGCTCGTCCTCCTCGGGCATACTTTTAAACTCCTCAGCTACATCATCCATGCTTGGCTCTTCCTCCTTCTCGAGCGTGCTTCCAAGCTCCTCGGCTACGTCGTCAGGAATTGCCTCTAGCCTACTTCCCAGCTCCCTCTCGGTTTCTTCATGTGCCCCTGCTGTCACGATCACCGCCTCAGCATCAATAGTGACAGTCACTATGTCTACGGAACTTGATTTCACGCAGTCAGCGTCAACTGTTTATCTCACAAATACAACGACCGTCTATATTACGAATAGCGACTACATTACGCAGCCAGCTTCGACTGTTTATATCACGAATAGTGATTATATCACTCAATCCGCCTCGACCATCTATCTGACGGCGTCTGCATCAGTCATTACAGTCACAGCTTCTTGCGTGGGGACCACTGTGATCTCAACTTTGGATATCCTCACGACCGTCTTAGACGTCTCTACACAGAATATTCTATCGACAGTCGTCGATGTCTCGACCGTTTTGGACATCTCTACGCAGATTATCCCCACGACATCAACAACCACACCGGCTCCTGTTCAACCAGCCCCGGCCGCGTGCAAAAAAGACAATTGTCTTCGTGGCATACTCGGCAAATCTGCCGTCGCTACTTCCTTCTGCAGCCAGTATCTCATGACTCCTTCTCTCCCTACACCGACCTATGCCAGCGCCTGCGGTGGTTTGACCTCTCGTGTTTCGTCCGCGTGCTACTGTGCTATCACCGCTTAGGCCACAACGTATGGAGTTGACATTCAAAGAGGAGAGTTCGTAGATAGAAATCAAGAAAGATAGATAATATTGGAGATGAGATACTTCAATCCGTGACTTATGTTTGTGAAGAACCGGTCTCGCTATCAGATGAGGATGTTCTGTAAATGAAAGTTTATTAGGCCTCCCCTTCAACGATAGAGCAGGCTGATTAGTTCCACGAAACAAGTTTCCAATCATCGATCCTGGACAGGGCTTGGGCATTGCGGGGTATAAATCTCTCATACAGGCCCCTACTACCACTGCCGTTGCCCAATTTTTTCGGAAAGGGTGACCAAGGCACTGCTACCTTGAATAGGGAGTGAACAATACACTTATTACCGAATTCTGACATCGGTGAACTGCGACATGCAACATAGGCTGGGTAAAATGCAAGAGATGGTGGTACAAGCCCAAAAGTCAGGCCTGAACATATGCCAGAAGCTTTTGTGGGGGACAAAAATTGCCACTTCGGGAAAAAGGTCCATGCGATATGCAACGAATAACAAAATTGGCGATTCATACGCGGTGATTGGAACTACATTGGAGTGCATCTAGATCAGCCAAAGCACCAAATGAACGACGTGGCTGTCTGAGTGATCAGAAGGAAGTCCGATGTCTGAAATGTGGGCGGCCACTCGACCGAATCCGGGAAACAGCGAAAGCGAAGCAGAAAAGGGAAACGTGCTCTGAACTCTCGGTTCATTGTATCTTGTATTATAATATTAAGTAGCCACCATCCCCATTATGCTCTTGATCCGTCAATTCAGTATGGACATTCGCCACGCAAAGCGCCACTCCCTATTCTTCTATACACAGAAAAGTAGAATATCTATGACTTTCAGACAGGACGTATCCCATGAAGCATTCCCTCAATACGCCCCATTATAATATATTACGCCTTGGGTTTCCTCGCGACCATCAAGTACATCGGCGTGAAAAGATCCTCCTTGGCACCAGCGACCAAGCAATCAGCAGCAATCGCCAAGCTGTCTGCGGTCTTCTGAGTTCCTCCAGGTGCAATACCAACCATCTCCAAAGCGCCGACGAATTTGTGCGTAATAGCACGGCCCCATTTGGTCATTCTCACAATCGTAGGGAAGTCCCAGATGGAACCCATCATGCTGAAGTCACCAGCTAAAGGATAGTACCATGGAGTGGCATCTGGTCTCTTGGCCAAATCCTCATGAAGCTCTAATTCGAAACCCGCAGCCTTGATGGCTGCAACACCCTCCGATATCTTGACCATGTTCGAAATTCCATCACCAAGCTCGATACCAAGACGAATTTCGCGGTGGTGTGGGTTGTCGTTGTCGTAATTGTCAGTCATGAGCCATTCGTAGACACCAAATACACCGCCGGGTTTGAGTACACGAAAGATCTGGCTGTAGACGCCCTCGAGAGATGGGGCATGAACTGTTGCCTCAATAGCATAAACAGCATCGAAGGAGTTTTCGGGGAATGACATTTGCTGTCGGGCATCAGCAACAGAGCATCATTTATGGGAAAGAAGAACGTACCATAAAGTCACCCTTCACAAAGTTCAATTGGTTTGCAAGACCTTCCTTCTGCGCATAGCGGGTGGCTCGCTCGATCTGGTAGTCATTGTTGTTCAAACCAGTGATATGTGCACCCGTGAACTTTGCGATTTCCCTAGCAGGTCCACCTACGCCGCAGCCAACATCAAGGACTTTGTCGCCATCCTTAATCCCAATTTTCGCTGCAAGATAGTGTTCGTGACGGGCAATCGCTTGGTAAAAGGGTTCACCGTATGCGAAACGGCAGAAATGGAACGATTGGCCCCAGCCATATTCGTAGAGATCTGTTCCCAAGTTGTAGTAGCTAGTTACGATCAGTACAGGTCGACTAGAGATATGGGACAAATACATACTGTCTGGTCAAAGTAGCATATTCGGCTTTTCGTGCCTGGGAGGAAAGGGTATATTAGCGTATAAACATGTGTCAGGAGTTGCGCAGCAGTACCTCTCTGATCTCAGGGGTTTCGTCCTTTGCAGACTTGTTGTCCCAATGCTTGAAATACTCGTCAACAGCAGCTTTCTGGGCGGCCTTGTCTTTCTTCATCATAGCACTGAAGCCGCCCTGAGCATTGGAGGAGTTCTTGTGCATTGCCTTGTTGAAAGCAGCATCGCGGGAGTGATCCTCGGTCTCGAGTTTGGATGGCGCCATTGTGAAGGGAGATAATGGAGAAGGTCTGTTGAAGAGGAGCGAATGGTAGAATTGAAGGGAGCGACTTGAGAATCGAAATTTTGGGAGAAGTGGAATGATCGTGAGTTTATGTATTTCTTGAAGCGCATTCAATTATTTTGGAAACCGTCAGGACTACGAAATTAACTGGAACCGCTAGTGCCCAATAGAGCTTAGTCTGTATAGAATCACGAATACGAGTTCGAGGCTTTGGAGCCTCTCTCTCTTCTCAATCTAATGTCATAAAACTTGCTTGCAGGAGTTTCAATGGTCTTTCTTGGGCCTTTGCAAGGTAGGTTATGGGGAAAATGTATACTTCTATTTGTCGAGGCCTCGAACCTGCAGATGCAGTTGGGAAATTCGCGACTGCGGGAAAGGGGCAACTTGGCAGGGGTTTCCGTCGGCAATTAGGAAGCACCTCTCTATCTGTGAAATTCCTCGCCGATTTTAGCACTCGAGAACATCAAAATGTCTTATACTGACTCCAACATTACACCCTCCTACATAATTTGTTTCTAATTAGACTTCAATTTTAACTTATCAAGAAGCTATTCTACGTCGTTAATAAAAATTATTAAATATAAACTTAATATATTGTGCGAAATACTTTATATCTAGAGCACCAGCCTTGTCACGCGATCCTGACTAATCAGAAATATCCTGAATGTGATTTTAAATGTTGCCCCTCAGCCTCATCTACATCACATCTCAAACCACACCACCGCACTGTGCTCTCCACGAAGACGGTCACACACACCTTGAAGAACAGTATTAACAGCAGCACCGTTCATAAACTCATCGAACAGCTCTCTAACGATCATGCCTCCTCAGATCAAGCAAGATCTGAATCGCTCTGGTTGGGAAACCACCGATTTCCCCTCCGTCTGCGAGAACTGTCTCCCAGATAATCCCTATGTACAAATGATCAAACAAGACTACGGAGAAGGTACGTGTTTAGACTCCCTTCTTTGATGATCACTGTGTCCCGTATCATTCTATCCGCCTCAGTCATCTGCTCTATACAATACTTGGAGACCAATGCTAACTTGATCGCAGAATGCAAAATATGCACACGACCCTTCACAGTATTCAAATGGAAAGCGGATCGAACTTCACGGAGCAAACGAACCAATATTTGTCTCACTTGCGCTCGACTTAAGAACTGCTGCCAATGCTGCATGCTCGATCTCTCTTTCGGATTACCAATTGTAGTACGTGATGCAGCGCTTAAGATGGTAGCTCCAGGACCACAGAGCGCGGTGAACAGGGAGTACTATGCGCAAGAACATGAGAAAGAGATTGAAGATGGCAGGGGAGGAGTAGAGGCTTATGAGAAGACCGATGAGAAAGCCCGGGAACTATTGCGACGATTGGCGAACAGTGAGCCTTATTTCAAGAAGCAGCGACGGATCGGTCCAGCAGATGGTGAAGGTGCTGGAGGAGAGAGCTCGACGTCAACTGCACTTGCGTCGAATGGGCCGGGTCCGATACGAACACGAGATAGCAGGGGTTCGCCAAGTACTCGGGGGAGTGCAGTGCGCGGAGGAAGAGGCGGGGCACGAGGTGGAAGAGCGTTCCCAAGCGCGGCACAATTACCTCCTGGACCGCGAGATATCCAGCCACCAGCCGACCAATCCATTACATCGCTGTTTGTCACAGGTGTTGAGGACGATCTTCCGGAATTTAAGATTAGAGACTTCTTCTCTCCCTACGGAAAGCTCCGATCATTGGTCTGCTCGCACATGTCGCATTGTGCCTTTGTCAACTACGCTACGAGAGAGTCTGCTGAAGCAGCTGCGGAGGCTTTGCAAGGGAGAGCTGTGATTGCGGGATGCCCGTTGAGGGTACAATGGGGAAGACCTAAGCCAATTGGAACTATGGACAAGGAAGAGAGAATAGCCACTGGGCGGGAAGGTCGTTCTGCATTTGCTTCGTCGGGTCCATCCAACAGTCATGGAACTTCACAAGGAGCAATCGCTGCCCCACCGAAAGATGACCTAGCAAGTATGTCTGCAGTTGCTGCACCTCCGGGTGCTAGTGATGTGCCGTATGCTAGCTTGGCTGGAAATTGATTGGAATTGTTTAGTAGCATTGCTCGGGAGTTTGGAGTTCGAAAATAGGGATTAAGACCATACCAGGGAATTCTCAGCGATTAGCATAGCAATGGATTCTAGACATACCCGAATCTTCAACTTTTGGTTCAGCATTAGGGGTGATGGCATGTAATCTATGAATGTATAGTCAACCTCTTTCAAAGTAATTGTCATGCCTAGTTGTTACGCAGGCTTCGACCTGGACCCACCGACAGTGCTCTTCCCTGTGGAGTAGGTTAGTGTCGTTTTCTGAGGCCATCAAGGCCAATTCCGAGTCTATGTCGTAGTCGCTTTGCTAGAGAAAGTTTCAAGAGGCTGACGAGAGTGAGATAATCAGACAATGTTGGGCGCTCGAGAATAGATTGTTTGACTTTATGCCCTTTAAGTATGAAGCTCAATAGACATCTCTCCTTTCGTTGATCTGGTCGGAAAAATCATCATACTAGCATACACGTACAGTCCCAACAGCTCCCCAGATTTTGATTACTAACAAACGACACCTCACTAGTGTACACCTCGTCTCGAACATGCAGACTCCACCCATGCAGCTATAGGTACAAAGAAGGCTTGCTATAGTGCTATCGATCTGCACATGTCTTCCCATCAATGACTATTGTCTTCCCGTTTGACAACTTCACAGTATCGTTGTCACCTCGTTCTGTGTGTTCATGTATGCGGAGTTCTGTATGAAATTAGCCAGCGGGAATCGAGGAGCATAAATCAAATCATCAGACAATGGGCAGCCCACATGATTGTGGGCTCGAGTTTCAAGGTCTCCTCATGGAAAAGGAGGAAGGGGTCCTCACTGTATTTGTCCTCCCCTTCATGCTTTCCCTGCACGACATTCTCCTTGAGGAATCTCGCAACATCTTCTGCATGTGCGATCGCCGAAGCAAGGCTTGGATCATCAGGACTCATTGCCGCATTCTTTCGAAATCCTGCACGTGCTTCCTGTCGAGCTGCATGAAGGACTGCAACATCGCCTGTGATGTGTGAGTAATGACCCTTCACTTTCGTGCCTAAGTGGAGAGAAAGAGGACATCAGTCCGACTCACCATGGAAAGCGATTCTTGTTGATCGAAGTAGGTGTCTGTATGCTGCCAACGCCATCTTGATCAGTTCTCTCGATGGTTTCAACCTGCAGATATGTCAGTATACCAATGCAGCGTGCTTTGTGACACATTGGGGCTGATAGAGAAAATAATGATAATAAACCAGGTCCCTTCGAGATACCTCCAATATGACAAGAAGCGCAAGAATGATACCGTGATGCTCTTTACTGAATAGATGTCCCAGTGACTTTCAAGACAAAATCAACCACATTTGTTGCGAATGACAGAAGGCTTTACAGTGGCATCTGTATTACTTAGTATAGATGCTACAAGCACCAGGAAAGAGGGTTGAACACTTGATTCTTTGTCATTGAGACTCGGTCAATCGACTTTCCAATGTCAATCTGCCCCTTCTATGCTAACTACACGCTCGAGTTTAGAGCCTTGAGGCGTTAAGCATTTAGTTTGAGAGGCATTTCCAATTTATTTTAGATTGAAGAACGCCTTCTCATAAAGCACAAAAGATATTTACGTGACCGCGTGCGCGGCAATAACAAGATTCATGATGCAGATACTTCTGCCTCAACGACGAGACCAAGGTTATCGATCGCTTGAGACAAGATACTGAACAAGGGAAGAAGCATTGCTATAGAAAGTGGGAGACCAAAACGTACCAAGTGCACCAGATGGAAAGGACCAGTACAATGTTGATGGCTGTCAACACAATCTTAAGAGAGGAGATGATGCGGAGTTGACAAAGTCGAAAGCTGAAATTCGAAGCCTGTGCAATATAAGGAAGAGGCTTAAATCTAGCAGAACCAATGTGATTGCCTTGTCAAATGTACGAGATGGTAGCTTCAGGGGAGGTTGCTGTCAATCAAAATTATTCCTTATCGATATGCTGCCAGATACGGTTAGACCAATATTGTCCGAGGCTGACTTTTTTTTTTGCAGCTTCTTTGAACGATGCTCTTCAACTTTGCGCAGATCAGACAGGTTACTCCCGTAAGTATACCTGCATAGCCCTGTCAGAGAGTCAGAAGAAGACAGGCGACAAATTCGTCGAATATATCAGCGAGCCGTTCGAGGGCCAAATACAGAGAATCTGGATCAACCTCTTCCCTCTTGCGCTTCATTGTCAAGCCACCCCCTCCGTCAAGAGTCGTTCGCGAGTGTCAATTGAAATTGCGTCACTTTAGACTACAATGGCTACTCATACACAAGTATCTCTCCCACTGCCCTTTCTTCCTGAGGGGTGGTCTGCAGAGAAGGATTTCAAGGCAATCGGAAGCCTTACTGCAGCAACACAACGCAGCATCGAACCCGTTGGACCTCACTTTCTCGCCCACGCACGACGTGCCCGTCACAAGCGCACCTTCTCCGAGGATGACCGTATTCAAGCCCAGGAAAATGTCAAGAAGGTCGAAGACGATGATGCCGGGGAGATCAGCGAGCCAGAAGACCCTATGATGCTCTCCCGTGATGCTAAGGACTGGAAGGTGTGTGATCTATATACCATTGTTCTTGGAGCATACTAACATATCCCCCAGAGCCAAGATCATTATGCTGTCCTCGGTCTTTCGAAGCACCGATTCAGAGCCACCGAGGAGCAGATCAAGCGTGCCCACCGCAAGAAGGTTCTTCGCCATCACCCCGACAAGAAGGCAGCTGCTGGTAGCACCGAGGACGACAGCTTCTTCAAGTGCATTCAGAAGGCTACCGAGATCCTCCTCGATCCTGTCAAGCGTCGCCAATACGATTCCGTTGACGAGCACGCCGATGTTGAACCCCCGACCAAGAAGCAACTCAAGGAGGGCAAATTCTACAAGCTGTGGAGCAACGTCTTCAAGGCCGAAGGTCGATTCTCTCGTGTCCAGCCCGTGCCTAAGTTCGGCGACGAGAACAGCGCTCAGGAGGATGTCGAGAATTTCTACAATTTCTTCTACAACTTTGATTCTTGGCGATCATTCGAGTACCAAGATGAGGATGTCCCCGATGACAACGAGAACCGTGACCAGAAGCGTCACATGGAGCGAAAGAACAACAATGCCCGCAAGAAGAAGAAGAACGAGGATGTTGCTCGTCTCAGAAAGTTAGTTGACGACGCCATGGCCGGTGATGAACGTATCAAGAAGTTCCGTCAAGCAGCCAGCGCCAACAAGAACAAGAAGCGTCTCGAGAAGGAAGCTGCTGAGAAAAAGGCCATTGAAGACGCCAAAGCCGCCAAGGAGGCCGAAGCCAAAGCCGCTAAAGAAGCAGAGGAAAAAGCTAAGGCTGAGAAGGAATCAGGCAAGAAGGCCAAAGAAGCAGCTAAGACAGCCGTCAAGAAGAACAGACGTGTTCTGAAAGGCAGTGTCAAGGATGCCAACTACTTTGTTTCTGGCGACGCTCCCGCTTCAGCGATCGATTCCGTTCTCAATGATGTCGAGTTGGTTCAAGGCAAGCTCGATGCGGAAGAGACTGCGGCTCTGGCTGGCAAACTCAACGGCTTGAAAATCGCGGATGAGATCAAGGGTGTCTGGTCTGGTGAGGTCAAGCGCTTGATTGGGGCTGGTAAGATTAAGGATGGCGAGGTCAAGACTCTGGCTTAGATGCTTTGGTTGAGAGCTATCCTTTAATAACGTACGCTTGCATAGATGGGTTGCATAGATTGCGAGTAAAAATGACTAGATATACTAGACGAATTCAGTTCTTTTGCCATGAACACACTTCGTGACTGAGCTACTTTCCACATTTGACCATTGTTTCACATCACATCACGGAGTCGGCGGTTGATTGCTTGTATTTGCTGATCCTGCATTGGAAGAGCTTTTCGCACATAGAAATTGTAGAACCAGAAGTAGGCTGCAAACTGGATGCCATAGCATTCTCGTATGCTGCTATATGCATTGCACTCACCCGCTTATACACAACTACCATCTCCTCTCCTCCGCTCCCGGTGTCGTATATTCGTCGTTCATATCGTCTCTCGTCTCAATCGCCTCAATTACCATCCTTTCTTTCCTACTCGCACTACCTCCACTCATCCACAAAACGACTTAATTACCCATCCGGAACGCCAAACTCAAAAAGCCACTTTTAACGCCAGCTAGTTTTCCCTAGCATGTGTATTGCAATCCCGTTTTGTAAGATGCGAGGTATCCTTCCTTAATTGACCAAAAAAGCCAGCCGTACAATAGGAAAAGTAGAAAAGAACGTATGCACGCTGAAACGCAACGGACGAACATGACCTTCCAGCCCAAACCACTTAACACACCCGAGTTCCGCCACACTAGCATTTCCCCTTAGACAGGTGAGGATAATTTAGGAGACAGCAACCGTCTCTGGGCCCTCTTCGTGAACAGCAAGCCTACTCGTGCTCCCTCCCGGATTGCTTCCCAGACTCGTTCTGTTCGCTTTCTTCTTCTTCGCTGCTGTGATTGATTTCCCAGCCTTCTCTTTCTCGGGTTCATGGTTGCCCTGCTGAGAAAAGTCTTTCCATTTTCGCCAGCCGTCAAAGTCTATTAGAGCTTGCATGCACCCCCATTCCATGACTTTCCGTTCTAGCCAGACGAAGTTGACAGGCTATTAGAGGTTAGTATAACTAAATAGTAACTGTGCGGAGTAGCCAAAGATGGGTAAGAAGATTAGGTGTCATACCTTTGTCAAGAAGTCATTGCAACCCGCCGCCAAGGCCTCATGACGATCAGATTGCAATGACGAGGCAGTAAGAGCCACAATGATGACTGGACTTTTGAATAGCACCGTACTGGGTAGCTTGTCTTCTCCAGATGGCTCATCTGGTCCTTGCTCTGGAGCTGTCGACGACGCACTGCTACTGAATACGCCTATTGAATTAAGTCTCTCCAACCGCCTAATCTCTTTCGTGGCTTCAAGACCGCTCATGATAGGAAGTTGAATATCCATAAGCACTAAATGGAAGCCTCCTGCTCTCCATTTGTTGACTGCTTCTCGGCCATTCATCGCCGTTTGCCATCGGACTTTTAATCTCTTCATGAAAGCTTCGAGAAGTTTTAGATTGATGATGTTATCTTCCACGATCAAAACATTGATTGGAGGAACAGCACCATTGAGCATGCCGGCTGGAAGAGATGGATGGTCGCCGTTGGCTTTCTTCAACTTCTTCGCTCGGTTGAATGGACGTGGTGAAGAGATTCGAGGTGGTGGTGTTGCAACACGTTGGATCTGTGATGCTAGGTCGTGAGGTTGGACTGATGGTGCAGGAGGGGTAGGTAAAGGAGGGGCCGCTGGAGGAGCAGTCGAATGTTCTGAGGCACTGGAGTGAGTTCTTGATCGCGTTCTCCCATACGTTGCTTGCATACCGTTGTTCACTGCTGGCTGTGGCATGGAGCCATTGATAACCGTAGGTGAAGAAGTATGCTGGCGTCCAATGCGAGGTCTTTCCCGGTGATGCCGCCTAGCAGTACTGCCTGGAGAAGGAAGTGCCGGAACATGGCCAGTGGTCAAGACAGACATAGAATGTGTTGTCAACGCCGGATGGTGGTTAGCAGCTTGGCCATTGACACCGGGTAGGGCAGCTGGGAGATGTGGTGAAGACGTTGCAGGCATTGGCATGGGAGGAAAATAGTCCGATCCTGTCTCTACTGGTCGTTGCTCATCGTAATATCGATTTTGGGGTTGAGGACTTGGCTTGGGTGTTCTCCGTAGAGGGACATCAATGATCAAAGCTTCTTCCACAGTCTGACCTCCAGGGAAATAGGCATCCAGAGTTCTGCTCATTGGCTCTTCTGGTCCCAGAGTCCTCTCCTGCCTTTGCTCTCGGGGTATAATTCTCAGAGTGACGTCCGGCGAGTCAAAGCTTCGTCCCAGAGAATTGGCATATTTCTTCAAGATCATGTCTCGCACATCGTCCACCAAATCGTCCTCATTAATCGTAACCAGAGTTGCCGATGCACCAGGGCGCTTGACCCATATCTTCCTGCTCACCATGTTGGCACTTATCGTAGAAGGACCTTGGTTGGTGAAGTAATCGAGGGTCGCAGCTCGCGATTGCGAGGGCAGGTCGGTCTCCAGGAGGGTCTTGATCAGTCTTGTCTGTTGAGATGGCAGCAAGCTCTGTCGTCTGGATAGCTCTGGCTTGGAATTGCTGGCAGAATTCGCAGTATACGTAGGTGTAGCAAAATGGATGCTGCTGTTTATGTTTTCGTCTCTACCCGCTGCCAGAAGCTCATCCTCGTCCTCCTCTCGCACAGGGAGTATATCGGTATTCGGTGTAGGGAAATCGACGGTGGAGATGCTGTCGTGCTTGAGTTTGTCGTCGATGCTGTTGGAGTCGAGAAGTTTGGATGAAGGTGCTTGTAGTTGTAGATCGCTACTGGGTTGGTATTTTAGTTTTGGCTGCTGCTGTTCGGCGGAGGCGGCGGCGGCATCAGGTTCAACCCTAGCAGCCTCACTAAGGACAGCAACATCTTTCCCGATTTCCTTCTCCTTCTCGTTCTCTTCGATCGTTGCGCTGCCAATGGTCGACGATGGACGCCGACTCATACGGCTACCGCGCGATTTGAGACTCCGGCTGGCGGGTGGAGGTGCTTTGGATTGGGCTTCACCGTCAACGGACGACTTGGAAATGGTTGATGCGGTGGAATGTCTGCGGGAAAACTTCGCTCTCAAACGAGTCGTCAGGTCTCCTATTGCCATTGAAGCCTCCCCCAGGCTCACCGGCCTGCGAAGGTAGCCAGCTCGTGGTGTTGGACAACAGCAGAGCGACGACGCGTTGGTGGGTTGTGGAGCTCTGAGGAAGCTTCTTTCTCTCTGGTGCTGTGTAATAAAGATCAGGTACCGTCTCCGTACCGAATGGCTGCTTGCAAATCCGGATGCTTGCTTTCTCGAGGTTACACGCAAGACTCGGTCCCGTAAGCAAGTAATCAGTATTCAAGCTAGTTAAAATAAAATTACTTCACTGTACTGTACTCGAGCTATTGTACGGGGTCGTGGTATATAGGGATTGAAAACTAAAGGAGATTCATTTTCAATGCTACCACGATGCTACCCTCCATCTCCGTCTCAATTTCATCTCAAGGCGCGCTCTCTCTCCCGTCCCAAGCACAATCATACTTAATATTTTTCGCCCTCGACCGCGCCAGCTTGCGGCCTCGCCTTCATTTCATTCGCAAAGAATTCCCTGCCTCCGCAGGGGCCAGACATGGAAGCGAGGCAGAGATCTCAAGGGGGCAAGCTGTCCCCGGTCATCGATATCTTGAAATTGTCCTCACATTGCGAGATGATTGGCATCCCGGATACCCTGCATTTGCCACCGCAATGCAAGAATACCCAGTATTGGGCCTGCCATCGCCACGATCGCTGCCCCAGAGGTGGAGAACGGAGCAATCTTGCGATTTCTGATGTTGGAGTTCAATTGAATGTGGCGTTCAACGGCCCGGTATGGCTGAGAGACCTTTGACTGACATCGGATCTGGAGGGGCAGTGAGGCGAATCTGATCAGACCGAGTAGCGTCCAGGTTTGGTTGGCCTTGAGATAAAGATTGTCAATTTGTAGGGAACTATTCCCAGTCTCAGAAGTGGGTATTGAGGGTTGTATGGAACCGGGATCTGATATATAGCAAAGCTTGGCTTGAATAGAGTTCACTCACCAGCTGCTGTGCTATAAACTTGTCACCAACAGGATTAAGTCGAAGCAAGTCCAAATCTGCCATGAAGAGCAGTTCTGAATATATGAGTGAACAGCAAAACTTCAACAATGTAATCAAACTCATCATCCGGTCTACTGCTTCTTAGACATATATACAGAAGGCACAATGTTTGTCTAGTGAGGACGCTCTTCGTTGTTGCTGATAAGACAATATATAGTCTTCATTACTCGACCAGGTCTGCAAGAGTCGCCAAAATCCTCGTCGCAGTCTCGGTGAGCTTGTAAGGTATCTCTTCGCTCTGTATATGTATTTATCATTTCAAACCCTTTCAGAGAAAGTGTCTGGAATCTGGCTTCCTGCGATAATGGCTGCCGAGAACAAAAGGCAGAAGCCATTCTGTCAACTCAACTGAAGCATGCATGCATGCATGACCTCATTTCTCACTGTACACCTAGGGAGGATAGTACCACCACATCCCTATCTCCTGAATGAAAGCACCCAGACTCCCCACCTGTAAGTCATGCACATCCCATTCCACGCCCATATACAGCAGGTTCCGGAAGACATTGAATGTTTCCTAGCAGCAAACTCCAAACGAACCCTTCAATTTTTCATTCCTGCAACCCAATATGAATTCCAAGAAAACATCCAGTCCTCTTGGCCGTATGAACATGCTCCATTTACGCCCGCTAAATCACGGCAATGCGGCAAGGTATGCACGGAACAAAGGAAATGGCTTTCTTTACATGTCAGTGGAGCCGGGGAGGCGCACAAGCTTGTGACCGAAGTGTTGATGTGGAGGAAGATGATTGTGGTGAACAACCTTTACCAGATTCTTCAAGTTAGTCCGCGACTTCGAAGCGTCGATGGTCTGAGCTGGATCGTCGTTGCTATTAGGTTGACAACACTCTGCATTCTTAAGCCACCTGTTCTTCGCAACGGCAGCCATCGAGGCACGTTTTACTGGGTTGGGGTTCAGCATTGTAAGTAGCAAACGTCTCAAAGCCGGCGGGTTGATACACCGGTCCAAGAAGGAGACATTGGGGTAGTCCATCTCGGTGATCGTGGCGTCTTCGACATGCTTCCCGTTCCATTTTTCCCATCCACGAACCAAGTCGTCGTATCTCGGTGAGCTTCCTGGTTTGGCTTCTTGCCATAATACGCCATTGGCGGTCATGCAAAGCATTACGATGGCAGCTCCCCAGACGTCCAGTGGACGTGGGTCGTACTCATCTAGAATGTTAGTCGTCGTAAAGATTAGATTGCTTCGACCTTACCTATCCTCGCAATCACTTCTGGAGCGACGTATGGGGCACTACCACACATTCCAGGAGCACACAAACGCACTTCTCCCATTTCCTTTCCACATTGACCTCCAGCCGATCTTAAACCAGGGTGTTGGCCAGCAAAGACCTCAGAGACACCAAAATCGGTGATCTTGAGCTTACTATCCTTGGTAATCAAGATATTCTCTAACTTGACATCTCGGTGAGCGATTCCGTTCTTGTGAAGATAATTAAGGCCCTGAACTAGCTGCTTGAAGAAACAAACGCGGTCCACAAGATGGTCCTCTTTGGATAAGTATTTCTGGCTGACTAAATTGAACATGTCGCCCTCGCTACAGAACTCCATTACTTGGGTGAAGCGGTCATTGTGGGTACATAAGCGATATGTCTCCACGATGTTGGGATGGTGAAGGCTCTTTGCGATCGTGTACTCAGACTTTACCTTCTTCTCATACTCCTCGTTTTCTTCCTTGGTGGACATCTTGCGAAACTCCTTAGCGGCATACAGCTCGGATGAGTGGCCCTTCCTGATGACCAGTCTAACGTTGGCAGTGGCACCCTTCCCGAGTGTCTTTCCTCGCAGACCAAGTTTGTTCTGGTCACTATATTCAGAATACAAGTCTCCAACCTCTACCACAAAATCATCGGGCAGACTCAAGCTCATCCTGCGAGCCTTCACCCCAGTGCCAATCTCGGCTATTGTGGGCCATATTTCTCGAGCCGGAAGTTGAGCACCATTCGCATCTACTGGTGGAGCAATTTCAAGAGGTGCCGATTCGAGGTCGACACTAGTTGCACGACTGGAGCGGCGAGCTTGCTGAAGGCTATCCTTCTCGTTGGATCCCGAGTGTCTGTTCTTGGAACTCGAGAACTTGTCTCGCAATCCAAATCCAGTCGATGAACGATTCTTCTTTCTACTGTTGGCAAAAAAGTCCGCATGAGTTGGCTCCCCGGCTTGCGACGGAGGACGTGACTTGCCATCCGCTGGAGAACTAGGGGACGGAGGGCTATTCGACCTAGTTGTTGGGGAGGAGTTGATAGTCCCAGACATTCTCCTGACGGATTCTCGGCGGTGCTCCCTGCTTGAAATCGGATCGGACGGACTGATACTCGACAAGTTCCCTCCGTCAAGCTGGGTGAGGGGCTGGATAGAGGTTTTCTTCATAAATCCAGACATTGCTCTCTTCAGAGCGGAAGGCCTTTCGGCAGATGAAGGCGTTTTCTGCATCGGGGATTTAGGAATTTTGACTGCAGGAATTTGTACCGGGTCGCTCTTGCTCGTAGAAGCTTTCGGGGTCGCGGTAGCCTTCAGGACCACGGGCTGAGAAGGCGTGGACTTGTGCACAGAAGCAGGCTCTTTTGTATTCGATTCGCCCATTGATTTCGAAAAGGGATGCGCATGTGGGTTGTCCGATTCGACTGGAGTAATTGGTTCATTTCCTGCCTCACTACTGGTCTCTTCTTCTTCTGGTATAGGAATTTGAGGATCGAATGGACGGGATTCTGGAGAGGACGGGAAACTCGAGCTCGCCGACGATTGAGAATCTGCGTGCAGAGTTGCGGCAAGAATATCGTGATGTGAATTGGGAGGGAGTGGTTGCATCAATGTATAGGGCATGATGTCCGGTCTCCAACTGTACGAAAGCGGCGAATAATTCTTCAGATGGCTGATTACGAACGGAAATGTTTGAGTCTATGAACGAGCTTCGAAAAAGATCTTCTTGCTTACTGACGAAACGACTGCGAATATGAGCTCTCCTGTGTTCGTGGGAAAGGAAGGCAGGTGGTCGTGCTTCCGGGTTGACGTCGTCCGTACGTACGTGGGGTTCAGAAATGTTCGTTACATGGACATGATGTAACAGAGGGAGAGGAAGTCCAAAATGGAAAATGGTTGCAGAAGAGAATGATGATCGACAAGACGTGCAGAGTTGAATTGCACGTCTGCCGGTACTGTGCTACAGGTTTTGCACCGGAGCAGGAGCTTGTGGGGGACAGTCGAGAAGTGAGCGAGAGAAGTAAGTGACTTGGGGTTTTGATGCGGGATGCTTGCAGCTGCAGATTTATTGCGCCGACATGCAGAACCGTCTGCCGTAGAAGGGTCCACGATGAATCTACTCGGCACAGATTTGCCGCGCGAGTTGGTCGCTGATTTGCTCACGTTGCTCAGGACTTGCGAAGAGCTGAAGCGGCGGAAGTTGGTGAAGAAGAAGAAGAAGAGGTAAGGAAAACAATATTCGCGCCAAGCAGGGACGGTCAGCCTCCGGACTTGGACTTACTTCAAAGTCAAGAAGGCAGCCAAGCAGATGATCTAGTGTGCACGACGGCCAAGTCTGACGATGAAGCAGTTCGACCGTCACAGAGTGTGTGAATCGAGTGTCCCAGTTCGCGAAGTGGCACAGGACGAGCGAACAGAGAGCGGAATGAGAACGACAATCCCCACTCCTGTACTGTACAGTACCTACTGTCTAATAATTGTTCACAAAAACTTTTGCTCAGCGGCAAAGAGGCAACACAACCTAGAGGTCTCTTATGATCGATCGGCTTTCCCAAAAGAGAAAAAGTGTGTCTGGGTGCTTGCAGGGTTGGCAGATGCATCAAACTTTGATGGCGAGCTTTTTTTTTATTCTGTCGAATCCTATGCTGCCTCTGTGTCTCCGTGTACAACCTTGACCTGGTTATCTCGCAGCGTGCGCCCTTCAGATACCGATGAGGCGAGTAATGTATCATCCGCCGTACCCAAGCTGGTGATACATGCCGCTAGAAGACTTGCGCTGGCAAAGTTCCAACTCTACAGTACATATCACACAAAAGCAGCATCTCGGACGAAAACGGCACACATGTGGAGTTTTCAGGCAGTATCCGTCGCGAAAGAGGACATTGACGACACAGCCAACCATGGTTGTGGACGAGCATCTAAATATATATATATATTGATCTGCTGCTGGGGATAGAGCAAGCTCACGACGGCAGGACGGCCAAGAGCCACACGAACGAGTTTTTCCGCCAAGAAGCAGGTACACACCTTGAACGGATCCCAGATCACCATTTGAGCAATGAGACAATCGTGCAGCTGCTGGTATGGCGAAATTTCCAGGCCAAGGCCGAGCCAAGACGCACCGAACAAACCAAGAACAATACTGTAGAAGGCGACACGAGAAGAGGCAAGGGGTGCCTCTGGGTAACGTCAGCACAAGTCATCGACGAGGAGGGCGATGCTCCTCTTGACTGACTGGAAGACTGCTCACATCACGACATAGATGAAGATGTCTACAGGTGTTCGATGCTGCAACTGACAGTATGGGCGGCAATCGCGTGGGGCTCAAAATTATATCCTGGACATCCGGGAGTGAGGGGCGTCAATGTGACTTGCAGATGAGTCCAGGCGCTGAAGGAGGATCATGATCGATCACGATGTCTGCTCTCCTCTCTTCGTGGAGATGAAATAGTTCAATCACCCACACCCATTCGTTATATACCTGTTCCCAAGAGCACAACGGTGTTTGGCAGAGCAGCCTGCGACTTTTGAAAAATAGAGTTCTACGTTGGCCGACAACGACGATCCAGACAGCGCATGGTTCCGCTCCTTCAACCCCACCACCATTTCACATACATATACATAGGTACAGTATCACGGTGCTGGGAGCAGTCAGAGCACAGATACCCGCTGCTATTGCGCACCGACGACGCCATCATCGGATGACCCTGATATTGAGAGAGATTTCGTGGACGTGAAATATCAAGAAGGCCAGGAAACAATCTCCAAAATCTCTCTTCGTTATTCCCGCCGTCAATACTAAGACACGCGGGTTTCATACTTCTTGTCTCTGGTCGGGCCGGCCAAGGGTATTCCAGCGATTGGATCCAACTCCTGTTCTAAGAAAGACTTCTAGATGTGTTTGATAGGTGGCTGTCAAATGAAAAACTTCCACAACTGATACCTTTACCTCTGAGATACTGTCAGACACTGACATAGTGCTAGTCTGTCCCTCCCAATGTTGGTCATCTTGATATTGAACTCTTTCCCGTCCTGACTTCTACATTCAGGTCGCACGAGCAAGCCGCCTGGGAACAAACAGTCTTCAACCCTCTAGGGGCCGATGTCAGTGTCACCTTCCCGAACAGACGAACTCGCTCAACGCAATACGAGCTGAATGTGTTGCCGCTGTTCATGTGAGCATTACGTCGTTCTGGCTGAATACACGCTTTTCGCAGCTGGGAAAGTTTCCACCAGTCTGTGTAACTCCAGATGTAGGTACCTCAATCCAGAAAGTCATCGTGCATGACATGCATGAAGCTTATTTACGATTGGGAGACACTACGGCTACGGTGACGGTGACGGCGACGGCGACGGGTCGCTGCAGGATCGTGGAGAAAGTATCGTCGGCTTCCAATGACAACGATTTCCTCTCGACGGTATCTCTGGGAGAACACGGGACATTTTACTTTTATCTCGTCTCATACTTCAGGTCGAGGAGTGCCTTCTCAGCGCGACATCTTCCAACTCCTCTCCAAACCCAATATGGAAGCCGATCACGAAGCCGAAACCATGTCCCATCTCGGAAGATTGGTTTCCATCTTCGGCAACACATCAGAAAAGGCGGTGTCTCCAATACCCCATGGAACACAATATCCCCACGCTTCATCCCACGGAATTCTGGTCATCACGCGCTCAACTGCGGCATTTACGCCGACTGCATCTCCTGTTCTGCAGCTGCCCCGTACGTTCTTCATGTGCAACCCAATCGAGGTGCGACAATTCCGGATCCTCGAATGCAGGATCGTGTGCATAAGGCTAACTTGTGCAAATTGTGCATCCTCCGTGCCGTTGTCGTGTGCGAGCTCTCCTATTCTGGAAAAGATGTTGCTTTTTCTTTCGTTCTTGGGGAGGTGTGAGAAGCAGATTTTTCATCTTGCTTCTCTTCCCGTGTGCAAAGCCGATATAAGTACTGGGTTTTGTCGCGCGAATTTTTCTTTCTTTCATGCAGGATGATGGTCTAGTGTTGCATGCATTCTGGGTCTAGATTTTGTACTTCTGGTCCGCGTTCCCGTCAGAGTACGGTCAGTAGTCGATGATATTGTGGGGTGGATTGTTTCGAAAGTTTGTTCTCCTTTGGGCCGTCCTAATGCCATCCTTGAAGAGGCATCATGACCCTCAATTGGGCGTGTCCTGGCTCTACAGCAAGTTTGGGAAGAGTATTTGGAACGTCTGTAGACTTAAGTCTGTCATGAAGTTGATATCAGGTCTGCATCACAACGCCACACGACGTACAAGTCATACTCAAGTGAATTCCAGACAAGTTCCTCTCACCATCGATTGTGGCGCTTCATGTCTGAGTTGAGATTTAATCTGATGTCATTGTCCGTCCGAGAATCGAGTATTCTCGAGAGACTGATGTCGGGAAGATCCAGATATTTTCAAGTGAATGTGTACCCTCAAACAGCGCTGGACACTTGTATTAATTTCTGGAAGAGGGAAAAGCTTTTAGACAATCTGAAGTATTAGTATGAAGTCAAACATTGGACGCATATTTAAAGCTCGAGTAAGTTACACACTTCTATCAAAAGCTAATGTCTGTATCTTCTTCAATCTTTTGAGAACATTAATGTCAAGAAATGAAATCAACTTCGTAAGAAACAAAGAGCCTCCTCGCACAGCAGTTCACAAGAGCATAGTCGAGGACAATCACCCAAAAGTCCCTTCCTCGTTCTTTCTTCATTCCTAACCGATTCTTAATACATCTCAATCCCAAATTCTGATTTCACATTCTCGCCAGGAATCCGTCGAAGTCCAGCTTCTCGAACAGCTGTTATGCTGAGACCCTGGGTCCTCCTCCTCTTTGCGGACCGGAGCCTAGATTCCGGCGGTATCCATTCCTCTCGCCAATGACCGTATTTTCAAAGCCCAGGATCCATTCTCCTTCGCCCTGGGCCAATCAAGTCGAACTAGATAAGGGACTCTTATCGCCTCCCAGGCGAGTCGTTATTCCATATCACCTCGAATATCGACGTTTCGGAGGCGCAGGCCAAGTCTTATCAAGCGTTCTGTCCTCTTCATCAGCTCGAATCACGATATCGGCAAAACGGTGCAGGTACCCGAGCGGCTGTATCAGGAGAACGATACCCATGTCGTCAAAAAGGTTCAGGAGTTGGAGGCGGTGGATGAAATCGAGCGGTCGGCACAGAAGGTAAATGCCGAGGTCATCGAAGAAGTTGATCAGATTCATGTAGGTTGTGAAGGAAGATCGAGAGAGAAGTTATAGTAGTTCGAGACGGATTGAAATTAGAGAGAAGAGATGAAATAGTAACATTACCTACTCTCCTTTTTGTTCGACCATCTCACGATTCACGTGAGTCTCAACGTGTCCATGGAAGCCTCACTGTGATGAGAGGTGATTCAGGAGTCGTAACGAGTACAATCTGTATGTATGTGTTCTGTCCAGCACTCTTGGGTAGCAGCCAGCAAACATGGTGAAAGTGGCATCCGCATCTCGACCGCCCGCAACTCAGCTCTCCCTTTCTCCCGGCACTCCCGTCCCAGGGCACCACGTCTCCCGGGACCAAGTGTCGATACTGGACAGGAGTCGAGGGTCCAGAGTCTCCAGACACTAAACGACGAGCAAGGATTCGAGCCACGTCACATCAGCATCCGGGACTTTTCAGATTCAGGGGAGTGCTCGACTGTGCATTTTGGGCCCTGAAAATCCCGTCCAGGATTCGCCCGGAAGCCGCATGGTTGGGTCCCAGTCCACTCAGCGCGCAGTGGTTCTTCGCACGGCGTTTCAATGAACTGCAGCAGACGGCGGCGGCGGGACATGGACATGGACATTCACCAAGAACAGAACAGACGGTCTGACTGTTTCTTCTTACATGTGCCACATACTGTATGTATGTAGTAAGAAGCTGGAAAGGAAGAGCGCCGTCGGGATGCATTCATTGATGGGTGTTTGAGCGGAGGATCGAGACACGCCGTGCGATCCTATTAGTCGGGTTTGGGGTCTGTCCGGCTTCGATTGGCTTGATCGCTGTCCGCCAGTCTTTCGGGCCGTTCCTTGGTAAGATAGACTTCACTGAACTGAACTTCCCTCCCTCCTGTGGCCCATCATCCGCTTCCCCCCTAGCCCCCAGTACTGTACTGTACTTGTGAACATCCCGTCTACAACTCCACCTGAATGCTGCTTTCTCCCCTTTTCGTAACAAAGGACAACACATACAAACACACCGCATCGTGACATATGATCCTATGTTGAGGTGTCATCATCCTCCAGCTACAACTCACTGCACTGTCAACACTCGCACCCATCTCCACTTCGCGCAGTTGACATCCGGGAAGTCGCGTGCGCCGTCCCCATCGCCAACGTCATAAATCGCGGCCAGCCAACTCCGTCACACCAAAGTCAATGATCAACAACCACAACCTCCAAACTCAATTACCACGATGTCTAAACACCCGTCAGACTCGTTCCTGCCTTCAGGCGCTCTCGATTCACCCCGCAAATACCTAGGTCGCAACGATCCGATGATCTCTCCTCTCAACGTCCCGCGCAGCGTGCCTGATTATATCCCTTCTCCACACAACAGTGGCTCGCCGTCTCCCAACACCCAACTCTCGTCGCAGAACCAGTCGCATCCGATTTCTCCACCAAAGACCAGGTCTGCGAGCGCCGAGGAAGATAGCGCGGCTCTGGTAGAGGACTGGAGGGCATACACCCAGAAACTAAGGAGTCAGAGTGAAGGTGAGAGAGCACACATGGCTGCAGACCGAGCGAGGATGGAGGAAGTCATGGCAGAAGAACGAGCACTGTGGGATAAAGAGCGTGATCTATTGAAGGCTCGCATCCTAGAATTGGAGGCGGAACTAGGGAAGAGTGGAAACCAGGCGCGAATCCCACATCCCATCACCCACAGACAACCCATCTTCGGCTTCACGAGTCCTGGATCGAATCCCGTATCAGTAGCTGGCAGTATCGATAGTGTGCACTCGCGGACCGTTCCGCAAGAATCGGGAAGGAATGCTGACGGTAGTCCATTCTATGCGCCTGCTCCGAGGAATCCTAGTCGAACCTTTGATCCTTCCGAGAACACAGACCTGAGGGTTGACGATGTCCATGCGCCACGAGAGACCGCGATTTGTGTTACCAGCAAGGAGCTTACGTCTTCAGACTTCATTCAGTCTCCGCCAAGCACTCATGATCTGGAAGCTATTCACGAAGCACCTGCTGAGAGTATCGATATCTCACATATTCAACCTGAATTAGAAGGAGTCCTTATCAAAGCCTCAGCTGTTGATCCTACTTTCGCTGCCAAGGTCTTAAGCCCACGGCGATCACCACTGAAGCTCTCGCCGGACATTAAACCGCCTCCGCGAGATATCACGAATCTGAGCAGAAGCAATTCCAAGGAAGAGAAGCAAAAGAAGACTCTGGAAGTCGTCACTCAGCCGGAGAATAGGAGGTTAACAATGCATGCTGGCCATACGCCAAATCACTCCATCTCCAAGTTCTCGTTCTTGGGTGCAGATGGTGAGAGCGGTGGCGCTACGCCAACACAAGAACATCACACAAAGATCGAGAGAGTGCATCGGCCTTCTATTGCTCCTCCTGATGAGTACGTTCCGGAAACTGTCGAGGATGAACCGGAGGAAGACGATCACGGGGATAGAGAACTTTCAGGTCCACTGGGATTGACCACCGATACGGTGAAGAACGACGCTTTTCTGGAGAAGTTGGTAGAGAAACTGGAGGAAGCGAGGAAGAGTGCCGATGTCAGTCCCAGTAATGATCCCGAGGATAGCAGAGCCAGCATCGGTCCCCCGCCAAGGTCGACCTTAGACGAAGACGATGACGAGAAAGACGATGTTCCGGTTTTGAGATTGAAGCCGAGTGTCAATTTCGGACGGCCACTGGGGAGCATGTGATATATTTATTTACTTACCGTTTCCACGGAAGACTCGGCTTCGGGGCTTAAGATGCGAGCCAGGTTTATACTCTCCATTCGCTCATCGCGGTTCAATGGCGATTACTATCTCCTTGTCAGACAGGTGTTGAGGGGCTCGCTTGGCTATAGTAGCAGGCTTGGTGGTTTCTTTTCGGCGGAATTTCTTTTACAGTAAGCACCTATGGAGAAGGATTGACTTTGCTAGTCCGGTGGCTACGTTCTTGGCTGGAGCAACAGGATTGGGAAGGCGAAAAAAGTCTATTTTCAAAAACAAAATACTGCGGGGGCAAACAAAACTTCAAGATTGGATTTCTCTAAATGGAGCTGGACTTTGCTTTTATTGGACTGGGCGGGCGGTTTAACTTCTTTTTTCAACACGGAGTAGAATGAAAGGGAAAGGAAGGAATTGGGATGATACACCACCATAGATAGAATACAGGATCACTGCTATGGCATATCCGAGCTAGTTAATTGTTTCTTTTGTTTGGAGAGGGTGAGCGGTGAAGAGGACCAGCGGCGGAGAAGAGAGAAGATTACAGCGAGCTGCGCTTAGCATAGCACGGCATAGCGGAGCGAAAGCGAAAGCGAGAGCGGTGAAATGAAGATACCCTTTACAAGAATACTTGGTGTTTAATCATTGTGTTTGCCTGAATGTCTCGGGTGACGAGATGCTATCACATAATTTTGAGCAAACTGGAATCCGAAGGGAACAAGACTCAGCTAAGAAAAGACTCCCCGAGCTTGCTTAATAGTATGAATGAGCTCAATACCACAAGCAGAAATCGGGTCTGAATACAAAGGAGTTTGCTGTACAACATCAACTGATTGTCCCACATACAAAAGATCTTGGACCGTTTCTCGCCAGGCGACTACCGTCGTCGTTAAGACCATTCCAACATCTATGTCAACAATAGCTATCCGTGGTTCTCAGCAATAGCAATAATCTCCAAATAAATTCAGTTTGTAATTCTCCTACTTATACTTACGCTATATAATAGCTACGCGAGGATCAAGATTCGTCCGTCAGACTTTTATGTATGTACCAAAACAATCTCGGCTGCAAGCAAGGAATACTATGTCCGAGTGTCAACCGAGGAATTCAAGGTAGCTGGTAGGGAAACTCGAACGTTGCTTACCAGTACTCGTAGAAGCAAGAGATTCTTGAGCGGAATCGGTCAGGTCTTTTTCGAGGCACTCTAGGAGCTTGGATGGCTGACTGCCTTTGGCGCTCTCTAGGAGGTCGCAGACCATTGTGATGATATTATACGGAATCTTGTATGCTTGAATGTCGAGTTTGTGGTCGATAGTGAGGGGATTGGTGTTGATGTCTGTTTCCAAACTGAGCATTTTTGGATGGGTGGACGTTCGTTCAATGAATTAGTGTCAATGTCTGTTTCCAAGCTGGCAATTTTGATAGATGGATGTTCGTTTCTTGGTTGTGGGTTTGGACGAATATATTGCATGTCTTTGGTTGGATGGCTTTTGTTTGAGTGGATGTCTGTGTTGGAGGCGAGGATTCTGCTGTGGGGGGTGGATTTTGCATGGTTGATGTTTCATCGTTATTCGGTACGTCCTCCTCCCTGGTCTCGTGGATTGTTGTTCTTGGACTCCTGTTGTCGAATGTCTTCGACATTTTTAGGTTTGATGGCCAAGCACTGCTTCATCTCCACTTAAAGCCCTCTCTCTCTCCAATTTATCCATCTCTTTTAGACACTCTCCATTCCCCAAATTCAATCCCATGAGCTCATAAGCATAAGATTCATGTCAAACCCACTCAACTTTCACTCCTCTCAAACAGCTTCCAGGTCTCCATTCCTCCGCGCCCATCTCCAACTTCAATATCATCCAGCCAACCCTGTTCTCGCGTCTGAACAACAGTGTGCGTACTCGTACTAACAACGATTCCTATCCCCTCGTTATTCTATATCTACTCCCTCCTATCACCCCAACTTCTGTCCGCCATCACGCCCGTCGATACTGTCCCCTGCCTTTTATCCCCCAATTCTAACCACTCTTCCTTTCCTCCGCTACTCACCTGCCGTTCGCTCCCCCGACTCTCTCCCGACACTGTAGATCCCGTCCCCGTCCCCTTCGTCAGCGATCTCGACCGCTGATACGGATGCTGCTGATCAACCCTCAACGACGGCACCGGCGTATCACTCGCAAAGAACGCAGGAAAGTGATGCGAAAGCAGCGATTGAATAGCTGGCAGCGAGGGAATGATGATCGCAACATAGACCTCGATAGCAGTCCAATACATCGGATCGGTGAACTCCCACGTCGGTTCTTGGTCGCTTTAAAAGAGGGCAGTTTGGTCAGACGGATGATGGAGCAGAGGCAGATGAAGATGCCTACTCCGAACATGGCGAGGATTTGCAGTTTGTTTCGGAGGCTGCAGTTCAGGCCTACCAGCCATGGGACGGGGATTACGAGGATTACGAGATCCTGGGCGATGTTGATTCCAGCGGAGCTGTAGTTTAGGGCATTCAGGTCTAGACATCTGTCCGGATGTCCTAGGTCTTGCTTCCATCCTTCCCAGTTGTAGCTTAGAGGTAAACATTGCAATAGCACTAAGAATTGGTAGAGGACGGTGCAGATACCGACCCAGGCCAGAGTGATGTAGCAAGCGATCCGACAGCGCGTGTAAGGAAAGATGCGCAGGTAGAAGAGCAGAACAGACGTTTTGCAGAGTCCTAATAAGGTCACGTAGGCTATTTCTCCCCAGAAAAAGACTTCGAGGGCTGTTACTAAGTTTTCGGTGCCGACGTTGTAGATGTTTTTGCCGAAGCCTTCGGCGGCTGCGAGACAGCCTACTATCATGAATGGGAGTAGACATCCCTGTGAGACTGGTTAGTGGGAATTTAGTTTGTGGTTTGGGAGGATTACATCAACGCCCACCATGATCCAGTCGTCTGCGTTCCATATCCCTCCTAGGGTCCAGCGTGAGTAGAGACGTAGGTTTACGAAACTAAAGGCTACGATCCCGAGAGCGACTGTTCCGATGAGATGCGCTTGACGGGATTGAACTGGTTCTCCGCATGCTAGATGGGTTATATTGACGATTTCTGATGTTGTGTCAGTTCGTGGTCATCACGGCCGAGAAAGACTTACGTAGTTGTTCGATGATTGTGCAATTTTTAGAGACGCAAGTGTTGAGGGCGGATGAGCGGGAGTTGTTGGTACAGATACATGGGATTGATATATTGCAGTTGAAGTGCGGTATGATCGAGGTGACGCAAGCAAGCTGGTATTCCGGTGAGCTATCATTCCAAGAGGAAGGTGTAGTAGATCTTACACCGCATTCTGGTACTGAGTCGAGATATTGTTGTATATTCGCTTGGACGGTAGCTGAGAGCAAGAGAATTGAAAGGAAGCTCAATGGTCCAGCGAGCCTCATAATGAGTTGTAGAAGAATTGTGGGACTTTCCAATCTACCTAGTGTGAGGAGGTCCCTCTGTCATAGAAACACAGCTAGAGCTTCGATCACCATCGCTTAATGATGAATTTTGATCTAGACATTATAAATGAACACTCGAGGAGTAGAAATCGAAGTAAGCATAAATGTCTGGGGAAACAGCAGGATGAACCACTAAGCCCTCCAAGTGGAGTCATATACTCTCTGGCCATCAAATAAGCTTTCGGATGATCGATGAAGATCGACGAAATTACATTCCTGACTGGTTTCGCCAGCCAAGAAAGACAATTGAAGAGAGTGAAACATCGTAACTGTAACTATGAGCAGCGAGTCATGATTCGCTAGAGCCCTAATACCTCGTGCTCGTGATAGCCTTGCGCTGACTCGCGCCTCGTGGTAGGAAGAATGTTGGTATGTTACACGCAGCGGGACGGAACTGTCCGAGTGCCCCTTTCCCCCTTGCGATTGGCCTCGATTCGTGCAACTGGGATGCTGAGGTGATACTGTATATTACTTGGATTATCCTTTCTGACGGAACTTTAAGTATATATCAACTGCAACATATGCACAGATGCTCTGTCGATCAGGCCGGTTCTTCAGATCAGAGCCCTCATTGGACATCTGCGAGTAGGCGTCTTGTGATATGTCGTTCGTCTGTTGCTGCGGGAAAGAACGAGGAATAAGAAGAGTCCAGGAACCGTCACACCAATACGAGTCTCGACGCAACAGAAAGAAAGGTGAAGCAGCCAACGCTGCAAGGGGTGACCCGTCAGATTTCTCGCAAGGCGATCAGGGTCTGAACTGTTAGAATTTCTTCGCGCAATATTGGCGTCAACTATTGAAGCATTACGGGTGATGATCCAGACCTTTCACCCACCTGGGCACTTTCTGAAGTGAAGACATCCTGCTTGCGTGTGACCTCTTGCTGACTGGATTTGCACAAATTTATGCTCAAGACTTGCAGCAGTGACTGCAAAGCGGCCGTTGATCGAGGCTGAAATTTCTCATCCCGCGTGGGGTGAGTTCCAATCTTCCATCCAGGCTTCTGAAAGTTTGATGAATATTTGTTCTGGGAGAGATCCGAGAGGAGAGGATTCACTCACTGCCGAGGAACGAACGAGCCCTGTCTCTCCATCGGTGAATTTCGTGGCCGATTTTGCGACAAGGCCCAAATTTACAAAATGTAAAGTATTACGTATAACAATTTAATTTTATATTTAATTTTTTTAATGAGAACGTAGAATAGCTTCTTGATAAGTCAGAACTTGAATTCAAGTAGAAACGGACAATGCACTAGTGTGCAATGCTAGAATTGGTACGGGACATTTCAGTGTTCTCGAATACCAAAATCGGCTAGGAATTTCACAGCCCTGTCACCCGACAACCACACCCCAGTCATAGTACGTACTTTACTTTGACCGCTCTCGTTCAACTGCGACTTCGCAACCTCATTCCCAATATTCGGAAATGACGGTGAACATTCTGATTGTTGGAGCTGGCGCTGTCGGAGCTTTCTATGCCTCTCGTCTGGCCCAGGTGCCCGCTGTACAGGTCTCAGTCATCTGTCGCTCGAATTACCAGGTCGTGAAGGCCAACGGCTTCTCCGTGACCTCTCCGCAATACGGCTCCTTTACATTCAGACCCCAGCAGACGTTCGCCAACCCCAAAGAAGCAGTCGACTCGGAGATCGAATGGGACTATATTGTCGTGAGCACGAAAGCTTTACCGGACGTCAGTGACGATTCTGTCATCCTGCAGGGACTGGTGAAGGGTACACATACCGCAATCGTCTTGATACAGAACGGCCTGGGAGTGGAGGAACCATACACCAAACGCTTCCCTTCTGCTGTCATATTGAGTGCCGTCACCATCGTCAGCGCGGCGCAAACATCTCACGGAGTTATCAAGCACAATCGCTGGACTCGAATCAGCATTGGACCTTATCTTCCCGCATCGGGTTCCACAAGCACAACAGCAGCAGCAGCAGAAGAACAGATAGCAATTGAGTCCAATAGGAACTTTGTACAGCTGCTTCAAGCCGGCGGGATCAAAGATGCGGAAGCCTACTCATCCTCCAAATTGCAGATGGTGCGGTGGCACAAGATTGCGATTAATGCGAGTATGAACCCATCTGCAGTTCTATCTGGTGGCTCGACGAATAATGCTATGTCCACGGACCCGGAACTGTATCTCCATCTGAAAGGAGTCATGGAAGAAGTGTTATCTACCGCCCCAAAAGTGTTGGGCACGCCTTTGCCAAAGGAATTTGCTACTAGTGAAGCCATATTGAGAAGCACGCAGAGGAACGCAAGTGGTAGTAAGCCCAGCATGCTCTTGGATTGGGAGTCGGGCAAGACAATGGAACTTGAGGTTATTTTGGGTAATCCCATCCGGATAGCAAGAGAGAAAGGGTTGGAAATGCCCAGACTACAGAGTTTGTATGCTCTCTTGCGGATGGCCCAGGAGAACAGAGAAGCGCAGAAACGGAGCAGTAAGATCTAATCATCGAATTATGGTGTTGTCTAATATTACATACGTTCCTCTGCTTCTTCCATCCCCTCTGCTGGCTTCTCCATTATGTCCCAGTCCCGACAGTCTAGGACGAGCATGTGTCCCGGCGCATGAGCCATTATGGTACCCTGCAGACCCGCTCTCATTACAGCCTCCTGTGGAGTCACACCGCATCCCCAAAAGACAGGAATTTCTTCCTCATTCCCTTCACTATGACCTAGCGGCCGTCCGTCAAGCGTCAATGGTGTGTCGCCCCATTCTGGTTGGTCGATGTCCGTGATTCCCAGTTGTTGGATCGCATCCCATCCCCATGCAAGCGGCTCTCCATGCGTAGCCGTAAACGGCCTGGTAATATTTCTCACTGCCTCAATCTCAGACCTTCGATATGGTCTCATCGATACCACATAAGTCCCTGTTATGAGAATTAGTATATCTCTCATAGATAAAATGGACGAAAATGCCCCGCGAATCATATGCCACTGAGATATGCTTGCATTTGGAGTAACTTCAAGTCTGAAGCGCCCCGAGATAGCTGAGTTGCGCGAATGTTGCCCGAGTCTGGCTTACCTGAAGTGAAGACGCCAGCGGGACAGAGTGATATCTTCGTTCTGTACATTGGTACATTGCGGCGAAGGACTGAGTGTCTTGGTGGCAACTCGGCATCTGCAAGAGCCGATTCGAAACTGAAAGAGCACCCAATGAAGAAGGCAACGTGATCCTCAGACCACTCGTTGAGAATGTCATCACATTGGAATCTGACGAGCTTGCTGTCGCGGTAGACCATATACTTGGGAGCGTCTCGTCTGATGTCGAATCTCGAGATGATCTCATCACCAGAAAGACCGTCAACCCATGATTTGACGGCATCCCAGCTACCGCTCGTCTTTGATTCAGCGAGAAGTGGACAAGGGACTGGGTTCCGCGCGCAGAGGAGACGGAAGTCGGTTGCATAACGTGAAGGAAGAATGATGAGATTTGCTTGAAGATATGAGGGTGCGAGTCCAGCAGTGGTGGTCTTGTGGGAGCCATTGCGAGATGCTTTCCGAACGGAGGCGCCAGTAAGAAGTCTATTGGATGCCATTGGAGAAGTTGTTTGTAAAGTGAGAGTGGAAGTGGGCGAACCACTTTGCTGAAAAGAAGGCATATTGGCGGTTGTTGAGTGAATTGAGATATGTGAGGGTGAAATGAGGATGAAGAAGGTGCAGATGTGTTCTTTTAAGGAAAGAGCAGATGCGGTTCTGGTGAGAAAGGGATAGTGGCAAATGTTCCACCTAAAGAAGGACAATTGGTGAACACCAACGCGGGAACGACTGTTGAGGACAGCTCAAAGTGTTTCAAGCTGTCACCTTTGTAGCCTCTTGAGCAACGTGAAGAGATAAGTCTTAAAGTGACGTCTTCGGAGCTGGCTTGCTATCTATCTGATCAGCCTTGCAGATGTATGCAGATGAGAAGATGGTTGGTGATGGACTTCCGGCTCCGTGTTGACTGTTTGAGGCGGCCGTTGGATGATCCTTGTCAGATACTCTAGGCCGTTGAGATATCGAGGACGATGGCAATGTTGCAAAGTACATCTGAGGTAGCCAAGTACCCCCATCTTTATAGCCAGAGATCAGCCTTGTGACAAAGAATGCTCGTGTGACCGAGAACTAAAATTTGACGGCAACATGATCTTCTGTCTTGGTGTAATTTCGTTCCCGTACCCGTGGATCTGGACTAGACCCCGACAGCGCCTCATACCGGTACGTAATGAGAACGAGGGCAGAAAGTTTAAGGAGATACATTATAGTGTGTGCAATGGAACACTTGACCACTGGACATAGATATGAACTAGCAGTGCACGCAGATCGAGTTCACTTGGCCACACTCGTACCATATTCTCTCAGCTGCACCAGGAAACTGCTTTGGTTGTGCAAAAGAAAGTGAGGAAATAACGTCAACGGCGGCGGTGAAGACGCAGAGACGAAAGAGATGCAGACCAAAGATCTGGGTAACTCTCAGCCACAGCTGACCGTTGGGAAGAAGCGATTTGTGTCGTTTCGGAGTTCTCAGCCTCCCATTTCCCTTTTCCTGGAACAGAGAAAAAGTACGTACTTTCTCAGGGGCTTTCATAAATTAATGTTCCAATTGGACTAGCACGCATTCGGTTAGGTCACTTTCGCATCCATAAGACCAGAATCGTGCATTTTGGTCTCGACAGCAATGCAAGTCAACACGACCGCAAACCCCCCTCAGTGCGAGACTGGATGATTCAATGCCATCGGCATTCCATACCTTCAAACTTGTCGCAATGGCGCCCGCAAATAATCGTCAACCCGCTCCGATTCTGCCTCCATCAACCCCATCAAACAATAATAGTCCGCGTCCCTCGCCCACACAGCAGACCACAAACAACCAGCAACACGAGACCCCAACGTCGACACCTACTACCGAGACCCGTATGAATCCCCCTTCTCTCCCTCGGTCTCTGATGACCCCTGCACGCGAAATGCGCGAAAGTTCTGTCATCTCTTCAGCTGGCAGTTCGGCGCGCAAGCCGCGACAGAACCTCGATGAGAAGGACCATATGCTCATGTTAAAACACTGCTACGAGCAAAGAGGCAATTTCAAAGAGGGAACTAAGGCACAGTTTTGGACAGGGGTAAATACGGCTTTCCAGAAGGATACTGGCAAGGTACTGGCTCAGATGAGCGCAACAGTCGGGAGATTAGTAGAGTCAAGAAGACGTCAGATTGCCGATTGGGAGAATGGAGTCATTCCGCAGAAACCTGGGGGCGAATTAAATGATATGCTAGATCAATGGATGGAATTCTTGAAAACCGAAGACGGAGAAGCGGAGGCGGAGAGAATGAGACAAGTGGACGCGAGGAGAAAGGTTGAAGAAGCTCGAAAAGAAGCCCGCAGACAAGCTATTGCGGCTGAAGCTGCCGCTGCTGCTAGTGCTCCTGCTATCCAACCCGGCCATGTTCCAATACAACAGCAACCTCCTCCCGCCATGGCGCAAATGGGACAGCCACCCCAGCACCAATATCCCCCACAGCAGCAACATCCTCAAAATCCCCCACCACCATCACAATATCAGAGTGGAGAGATGGTAGTAGCAAATGGTGAAGAGCAAGATATGAATGGCTATCGTCCACACAAGCGGAAGAGACAAAACGAACGCGCTCTTACGCGGGACTTACAAGCGCAGATCGAGCAACAGCAATGGGAAGCCCAACAGTATGCCATGGCACATCCACCTGAACCACCGAGAAGAGTTATAGTCGAAGGAGCGTTGACGAAAGAGGATTGGCGAGACATCATGGGCAACGATGCACGATTACGAGCGATAGAGAACAAGGTTGACAAAATCGAGCTGATTGTGTCTCAGAACAACAAGCTATTACTTCAATTGGTACAGAACCAAAGCAAGGAGAGAGATCGGAGTTCAGAGGAGGAGAGAGTGCCGGTTCATCTTGATGCTGAATTCGAGCGAGATTACTTGTGAGCCAAGCCAGCCCTCGAAACACCTTGTACGACATACTGAGAATTATTGAGGTCTGGACGATACTCGAAAACACCGCTACCTATTCCTTGAGAAAGCTTTTGCGACTCAAGTCAAGCCCTGACGAAGACCAAGCCACTTCGAACCGAGTCGAAAACTGTTTGTGTTTAACTCCATGTCCCGCTAAGATCATCAAGCGTCCACTAGATTTTATGTTCACAGCTTTTTCTCCTCTTGTACGTCATTACCTGCATCAAGTCCGAAACATAGCGTCTGACTTGTGGGACATGTAGTTCATATTGCTTTGCTTTTTTAACCTGCTCTCGTACGAGGAGAAATATATAATTGTGAGTGGCTGAGGGAAAGCATGGCGTTATAATGGATACGGATGTATTACCACTGGGATGGCATTTCCTCAATACCCACGATCGAAGAGCTGTATTTGACAGGCTTGTTTAGCTAATGTTCGAGCACGTCATTTGTCTAGCAATTGCAAAGCCTGATTGGGTTTCTGTACGCTTATCTTTGTTTTGAGATGTGCATGTCGATTTATTCGATAAGAATACTTACAATGCAGAAGTCATCTTCAGCCACCGCTCTCCACCGAATCATTCCATATATGAGCTAGATGTGGCATCTATCACTTCCTCGGCATCAAAAGATGACTCAGCTTGTTGCAGACTTTCAGACCTTTTTGGGTATCTTTCCTTACTGTACTCATTCTCTTGTATCCGCGTATCTCGAGACTAATAAATCACGGACATCGATTTGCATCTTCATGTTCAACTAAAACGTTAAGACAATTACACAGATGGCATTATATAACCAAAGCGGCAACGGACTAAATCACGATTGCTGCCCAAACCGGACAACAAAGCCTCTTCTCCAGGACGAATGCGGTGGTCGTCAGGTTGCAAGCACATGCTTTTGATGGATGTGCTGCAAGGTCATGCATCTCAACACATTTCGGCTGCAAGGCTACTGCTTTTCACGCCACCTTATCTCTCTCTACGATTCCGTGCATGGCGCCACTATTCGGACATGCAGCGCCGCTGGTCTCGCAGCCTTTCATTCTCTCGATGTTCCTCTGTTCTTGAGACAAGTGCTATCGCGTATCGTGGGCACCTCTCAGCCACGTTCCTTGGAGGGGTCTCTGGCTTACGCAGCAAGGTCCTCGACAGCCTCGCGACCCCTCGATGGTGTCGCGTCTGTCGAGTGTGTCCCGCGTCATCAAATCCCGGTGCGCGCGAATTCGATATCTTTTCTCATCTCTGTCTCATATTCCTTTTGATGGTATGCGGTCAGAAACGCCATTCGGAAACAGCAAGCGGCCTCCGCGGTCAGCACGGCATACCGACCGGGTTTGTCTCTTCCTCAGGTATCTTACCCAGTATAGTGTCCAACTTCGCCGCAATGTCTATCGAGGACCGACATCAATTGGTGTGTTGGACGTTGAGCCCTTCTTGCCTTAGGTCAAAGGAGTAAGTACGGACTTCCTGGGGCAGGCGAGGATATAAATACAGGCACGCAAGACGGAGCGGGAGATTTATGATCTATAAGAAAAAAGATATAAATACTTTGGTACAAATCGATACATGGGTGGGCATACGGCAAAACACGTGGGTGGCTTCGAGATAAGGAATAGCCGGGTAAGGTCCGGGAAATGGGGGAGGGAGTTTCTTCTGGAGCCAGTCGAGGTGGGCGCTTTATGCACAAGCCCTTCCTTGGCTTCCATTGATTCTGCGCTCTTTCGTGCTTTCGCGTGCTGGTGCTGGTGCTGGTGCTGGTGCTGGTGCTGGTCCTCCTCCTTCCTGTTGCTGGTTCTGTTGCGTCTGCGTCTGTTATCGCTCGCTCGCGCCTCGCCTTTTTCTGTCATTGCACAATCTTCACAATCAATCACCCTTCACTACCTACCTACCACCTTCACCCTCGTCCATCCATCCATCCATCTGCATCGCCGCCTCGCCTCGCATCGCATCTTATCCCTATCCCTCCTCCCCTCCTATCCGCATCCCTCCCTCTTCATATCATACCTACATACAGCCATCCACTTCTCATCCACATATCTCTTTCTCATCTATCTCTGCCACTCTCTGCCACATAACGCAACGCAACGCAGCACAGCACAGCACAACACAATCCCAACCCTGCTCCGTCGATCACCTCTCCTGTCCTATCCGCGGCTGCATCCCTATCAATCGCATCCCATCGTCCCTATCCATCTCAATTCTCCCTCAAAGTCCCGTCCTCACTTCACCCTCCATCCGTTCATACACGCATCACGCCAGTGGCCACCCAAGACCTCCTGTCCGTCTGTCCTCTTGTCTATCGACATCATGTTTTTTAATTCCCGGAGCTGACACCAACCCTCCGCTCGCGATCCTCCTCCTTCTCAATCTATTCTAACCCCGAAATTCTCCCTCGTCGCGCTCGCGCAATTCCTCCAGCTAAGGCTTGACGATCGTCCATCGCTGCCGCCGCCAAGATGAACCCACCTCCCGATAACGCGATGGAGCGCCGCAGCTTCCAGACCTCGTAAGTCGCGTCTGTGTCGGGTCCACGTCTTTTCGCGATTATCTGTGTAAGGTGAGATGAGAGAGAAGTGAGAGCGATATGCTGACTGCGTGTTTTCCAAAAGCTGCGAGCGCTGCAGAAGGCGAAAGGTGGGGCGCCCCTCGGCTCCAACAGCGGTTGTGTCTTGTCGTACTGAATCACCTTTTTTTCTCTGTAGATCAAATGCGACCGACTTCAGCCATGCTCCAAGTGCGAGAAGGCCAAGTCCGAATGTACCTTTATCGGCTCGGGCGAGAAGCAAAGGTAACTAATTGTCTTTATTCTGATCCATCCCTTCCTCAATATCTGCTCTCTAGCTATTATATTACTATTTTTATTATCGCGAGACTTACGCGCCGCGCTAGACCTTCTCCCCGAGGATATGTACAAGCTCTGAAAGGTCGCATCACATCACTCGAGCAATTCATCACTAAGCTCGCCTCGGTGGACAGCGCCCAGAGAGATGAGATGCTAGCAAACTTCAGCAAGACATCAACGCATGTCCATCAACCTGACACAGCTGCTCCCGCCGAGGAAAATGGCAACAAGGCCGCTTCGGTTCCGATCCGATCCCGAACAGGCCACCTGAGGAGACTCAAAGATGGCAAAGCCGCAGAGTTTTATGGTGCAACGAGTTTCTTTCAGATCAATCCTTCTGATGAGCAAGGACCACCTCTTGCTTCGGAGATCTCCAACGGCGATGGTTATGAGGAGGTTGAGAACCATGTTTCCGAGGAAGTCATCGCTAGCTCTCACTCTCACTCTCACTCGGCATTTGCCCCCTCGAGCTTGCTCTGTAGGAACTTGATGGCGGCATTTTTCAATGGCCAATATCAGTATCACGTATGTCTAGTCTTGTTTTCATCTGGTCTCTGGAATTGTTCGAGACTTGCGAGGTAAATAGCAAGTGCTACTACTTTACTCTTGCCCAGACTACTGCTCCCATTTCCTCGAATGAGGGAAATAGGCTTCGAACGTCAATTCAAGCAAGGAAGCCAACAACAGCCATTGGGCTTCTGGTCAAATTCAAATTTGCTATTGTGACTCCTCAATCGAATGATAGGGACGGATGCCTTTGCCACTCAGCAACAATCGAAAAGACGCCACGCTAACCATACAATGACAGATGTGTCTCTATCGTGAGTATTTCTTGAGGGATTTCGACGCTGGCGCGGGACCGTATTACTCTGATTTACTGCTCTATGCGATCTGTGCTCTTGGCGCTCTAGCTAGCGAGGAGCTTGCTCCACGAGAAATATCAGACATCTTCTTCAATCGAGCACAACAATTGCTCTATGGTTCGGCACTCGAGTCACCGAATCTGACCACCTTACAAGCGTTGATCTTATTAGGTCATCGCGAGATTGGTCATGGAAAGACTTCCAAAGGATGGCTGTTTTCGGGCATGGCCTTCCGTCTTGCTCATGAGATGGGACTGCACCTTGACCCGAACAATTGGAATGGCTCTGATGATTCGCGAGTAGAAAGAGAGATTCTTCGACGTACCTATTGGGCCGCATTTGTTGCCGATAAGCAGCTTAGTCTCTATTTTGGACGACCGCCAGCTCTTTACCCTGGTCACTCAGATGTCCATGCTACCCTTCGCATCCCGTATCCTCCTGAGTGGGAAGCTCTTCTCAATACATACATCCAGAAAGGCACGTCGGAGACAGCTTATGAGGATGGAATGGCTCTTGTTGCTGCTTTCATTCAACAGGCAGAGCTGTCGAAAATACTCCACCGTATGATTACTGAAGTGTTTGAGAATCGCAATTCTGATGCCGAGGAAACTGTCTTGGCTACTTCGATTATGGATATCCATGTTGCACTCACAAAATGGTCTGCTGATCTACCGGCCAAATTGCATTGGAACCAGTGGTAAGATGGTGGTACGGATGTGTCAAGGAAAATAAGCTGACCCTATTTAGGTCTGTCGGACCAATTCCGTCTCTTGTCCTTCACTTGCAGTACGCTACCAACGTTCACACCTCCTTGAAATCCAGTACTAACAGGCATTAGTATGTTGTACCACGCCGCAATGATAATTCTCCACCGTCCTCCCCGGAACATGTTCCGAGATCCGAAAATCTCCACGAGTCAAGACGTCACGACCTGCTACGAATCTCTAGAAGCCATTATCAAATTACTCCGCATCTACTCCAAACATTATCAATTCAGCCACCTCCCTTTCACATTTGTCCATATTCTCGCATCTGCAGCAAGCGTTGTTTTGATGAAGCGCTACATCGAAAATTCCTCCTGGACCGAAGTCTCCATCGCCAAACCATTGGCACTGATTCAAGACTCTCTCAGTGCCGTCGCACAAACATGGCCATGTGCCAAACAAGTCCAAGGAGTGATCAACAGTGCAATGAAGCACTCACCACAAGACAATCCGCGGAACGAATCACCGCAAAGCTTTGATCTCATGACGAGCTTTGTGAGCACCGGCAGCAATGACGGGACTCAGAATGAATTCGGAGAATTCGAGATGGGCGAGGTGGATATGGATCTGTACGACTTTACGGACGTTCCATTCCAGTGGAGCGATGGATCTTTCTGACAGCGAAGTCCGCCATGAAGGCGGCGATGAGAAGCTCATGGGGCTCAGCGGTATGGATATTGAAACATCTCAAGATGTTAATCTTAACGGCATCGGTCGTTCCACTGATCGGCACCGAGGAGGGATTACGATCATACGTAGGCTTCGTTGGAAGCGATAGTTGGAGTTTGTACAAGCAAGGATATTCCCGGCTACAATCAAGTGACTGTAAGCCTGACCGGCATAATTCCTCAAACCGCATCAAAATCCAGCATACACTGGACCATCCACGCGCCGCCATCTCAGGTGGCTCATACGTTTCATTCTACTTTGTACAGCATTATTTTTCTTCTGTGGTCACGACGGAAGGAACAGGGCGGGCGGATATAGACACTTTGGGCATGGGACATGGAAGGGCTCCTCGGTCTCTCACTTTTGGTTTGGTAGTGTAGTCAGCGTTTCGTCATCATCTTCCCTATAGAAAAGCGTCATATGATATTGTTCGGCAACTGAAATCCTCCTGTCCTACAGTAGCTCGAGGTGATTGGAGCGCGCTTGTGTTGTACGACGGACGTTCCGTGATCGTGGAGACGAGTGGTTATGCATACTGCAGTGTTCCTCACACGACATCTCGCCTGTGTTCAAGCCACGGTTCAGCCTTGTGTTTGTCTTGAGCTGGGGTCCGAGGCTTTCCTTCGTACCTGTATCGCTTGTGCAGACTTGTGAGACATGTTGATACTTACTTCCTTTCCGTTGCAATCAGATAAATCCCCTACTAACAAGAGGAACTCCCCCTGAAATCGCTAGTATCACGTCAAATAAATGACCGTTGCGCTTCGACGGGAACTAGCATTAGTTCCCGCGGCGACGGTTCTCGGGAATTGTCCGCTTGTAATCAAGGGCTTTTATTCTTATGAAGAGGTTCGGTCTATCTAGGTAGAGGTGTGAGTGGGAGGAAGTTGGGGTTGAAAGGGTCGAGTTGGTGTTTGGGGGAGGGGAGGTCTGTGGTTGAGGATTGAGTGGGTTTGGGGCTTGGATAGGAGGGGGAGGTTGTTTGATGGTGTGGATCTCGGTGTGTGGTTGTTGATAGGAAAGCATGAGTTGTAGGTCGTCAGTTTGAGTAGGTCAAGATTGAAAATGGACTGTTACTTCCTATCGAGAAGGGGGAAATGCAGATTCATGCAGTAACTCGCAATAGGGTAACAAAGACACTGAGGGGACTAGGAGATTCACTAGAATGACCGAGGGGCACAAGAATCTGTTGAGGAACCTAGATTTGAATCTCCGCTATGTAGAAGAACTAGGCACATATGAATAAAGTCCTCTTGTTTGCCCGCGACCGAGTCCATTCTTCCGCTTAGAGAGTGCTTGTGATATTGCAATGAAAACTTGTCTAAGTGATATTGGGGGTGGTGTAAGTTGTTGTGATGTGATGTGTAATCCTCCCATCCTGAGTAATGAGTCGAGTTGTTTTGTCGAAAGATAATCCTTGCCGCAGATAACCAGATCTGAAAAGCTGAGATCCATTCGAGTGACCTTAAGCATGAAGCCCAAGCTCGAGGAGGACGCCTCATTCACGCGATAAGTTGGTATTCATGGCTCGTCGTCTTCTTCGTCAATATCCTCATAGTCCTCATCTTGACCGTCGTTCCTCGACGTGTCGAAGAAGTCGCCATCGTCGTAGCCCATATCATCATCCGAGTCATCCTCAGGTTGGTAGCTAGCAGCAACCTCGGAAATCCAGTCGGCGGCAAGTCTATGGACGTGCGCCATGAATTCATCATGGAGGCGGGTCTTGGTAAGTGATACAACCTTCCTGGAAGAGGTGCGTGAGCCATTCGCACTGTTCTGCTCAAAGAAAAGATTAACCTCTTCACGGATCTGAGTCAAGGCTACATTGTAGTCAACAGCGAACGATGCAGGGAGCCCGTCAAGCATCTCGTCAAGAGCAGCCTTGACGGCATTGAACCCTTCACGATACATCAATATACCATCCTGAATCATAGATGTTCTATGGGTTGTCTGGTTACGCTGAAAATGCCCTTTGCCTGATTTCATGTCAGAAATGGATACGACATGACGTGAGATAGCCACTTACCTCCTTCTCCTGCACACTGGGCGTACATTGGTTCCAAGAAGTCTTTGACAGCAGGAGCAGCATACCTGTGCGACTTTTTGACAACTTTCTCGATTTCTTGAAAACGTTGGTCCAATTGAGCCCTCAACAAGTTTTGGGTTCGGAGAATGTGGTCCTCGAGAACATCAAGACCATCTGAGACATCGGGGCACATGTTTCTGTCAGCTGAGCTCTCGGCGAAGCTGGCAATGAACCGGTCAGCGCCCATGACGTATAATTCTTTCTTGATAGGAAACTCTTCGAAAAAAGTTTTGTGCCATTGTGGGAGCAGAGGCGTTGTGAAATTGCGAACCCTGGGTAAATTAGAGAGAGTTAATAGCTTCAGAGGACCCCACTCACAAGTCTTTATTCCACGTATGCGTCCGTTGCTTTGAATCCGTCCATTCGCCGCGCTCCCTGTTAACAGCCTTGTGGGTGCTCCAATGTAACTGACCACCCCAGGTTCCGACAGTATTTAGGGCCCGACCGGCAGCAGACTTCTCAGCTTCAGGAACTGCAGAGTAGATCTTTGACTTGACCACTTCTTTCATGGAATTTCCAATATTTAGAGACAATTCAGAGAACTTCTACCAACCCGTTAGATATCAAGATCATAGTCTCATTCTGAAATTAAGTCATTTGTCGTAACATACCTGTTCGAGTTCTTGGAGCTGCTCGTCCATCTGATGTTCCCAAAGCTCCCTCAATTCAGCTGTCATCTTCAGATCGCTATACTTGTCTTTAAGCCAAGGACCAACAGAATCCAGAAAGGTCTCTACATCCTCGAGAAAAGCCTGTGCATACTTATCCCGCGTATCAAACGTAGTTCCAACGAGCCAATCTCTCAATGCTCCGATCTGGGTTTCCCCGATGTTCGGAAATCCCGAGTACTTTTTGTTAGGATCCTTGCTCTTTTTATATGCAAGGTATATCTTGGAGGCGACACAGAAGACTTTCAATGGTCCTGTGGATTCTTTCTCTATTTGCCGAAGAGTAGCTTGATAGTCTTTTTGTATGGCCGCAGTGGCGACATCATTTCGGTTCTTGATGCAAGCTGCCCTAATACGGGATCTGACATGAAAGGTTGAATTTTCAATTCCAGCTAGACGCCTAGAAATTGACAGCAGGTTCTTCGTGCCTTTCTCAATCTTAGCCTGCACCTCCGAGAGCTCTTTCTCCTTTTGAGATAGCTCGTGACGAAGAGTGAGCTGTTCGTCTGTTGCAATTGAAGAATTCGAGACTATATGGTGTCAGTCGATATTGAACAAAAAGAGCAAGAGTAGTTCACCCACCATCGTTTGTCTCCCCAGCAGCTCGCTTGCGATTCTGTGACGATGTTGAATAACCTTTCGGGGGCAATCCAAGGATCTGTCGGATTCTTTTTATTCTCGCTATAAGTGCCTTTGCTTCTGTCTTGTTTGCGTTTTCGCGCACGACAGCTGCTTTTTCCTCTTTCGAAACTTCATTGAATCTGCTGTTGAAAGTCTTCCAGTTCTCAGATTCATCGGCGCATTTCTTCTTTAACTCTGGATATTCTTTCATGTAATGGTCAACGTCAAACTTCTGATCATTCTGCGTCACTACGAAGCAGAGGGACTCGGAATTGTAAAGGCCATCGAGCTGAAGGTCACACTTAGTGACTTTGGCGAGGAGATCATGGGCGTTCCTGTCGCTCATCGCTCTCTTGCATTCAGCTAGGACGCACGTAACACTTAGTCGGCTCTGATACTGTGCTGCAATGGCTGATCTCGCAGCATTGTTGTCCATGTTACCTGGCAAATCAACCAATGTAATGCCATGCATCAAAAATTCCGACTTGGCGAAAACCTTGACAAACTTGACCAAAGGCCAGTAGTTAGATGCGTCGTCTCCCCCATTGCCGCTGTCGATGTGATTCTTGATTTCTTCGGCCAATTTGGTCTTCGTAGGAGACTTGATCGCTTGCTTGGAGCCAAGAATATGTCGAACATCAGGGTCGTTTAAAAGTTTCTCGACCGAATAGTTGGACCGTAGAGACTCTAGGGATCTGATACGAGGGTAGACAACCTTGACCTTGTCGAATGTCTGTTGGATGAGATCACGATTTTCCTCCTCGGCCCCATCATCTTCATCTCCAACAGCATGTTGTCTTCGGTGAGAAAGAGTCGCCCAAGTTCTTCGCGCCACTCATCAGATGTGACATACTCAACCTCGGCCCTGAATAATTCAGCTGGATCATTGCTCTTGTTGTGAGACAGTTCAACCACGACAGCAGTGCAAGCACGGTATGAATTTGTTGGGATAAGATTTTCATAGCCAACAAGAGCGTTGATCAAAGTTGATTTCCCGACTCCAGTCGCGCCAAGGAATCCAACAAGGATCTGGTGTTCTTTCTTGCGGTTCAAAATCAGATCTGTTGAACCGGTTAGCAGGTATTGGCCTAGCCTAAGTATCGAGCCGAGCGTTGGAAAATGAAAGTAAATGACAACATACCAATCTTTTCAATTCGAGATTGGCAGGAGGGGTTTTGCAGAACGTGCTCATGAAGAGTCTTTCTGAGATTGACCATTGCAGAGTGAGCCTTCCGATTTGCTTGCTCCTTGATGAGGACGCGCTTCAGTCGGCCAACGTTTTCGCAACTTCTCCAATCTGGGTTCGGAATTAAAGAGTCGCCCGCGTTTTTAGTCATGTTCTCATCTTTATCATGCTCACTTTCGTGGTCGTCCATGTAGGGGAAGTCTGGTTCTGGAGATGCCTCGGATGACATATCGTCTTCAATTTTGCGAATTCTATGGTTCGTTCAGTCCGGTATTCAATGCGCTCTTGAAGGCTGTTTCAAAACTGGAAAGCCCTTAATCGTCGTGTAAGCACGAAGCTGAGATCGGAGAGTAGATTAAGAACAGTCTTCGTGCGTGAAGCGCGTTTGGAAAAAGCAATAAATAATGTGATAGAAAAAAAGAGGAGTGTTATGATAAAGTTGAGCCGGAGAGAAGCATCAAAGGGAAGGCTCGATTGACTGACCTGAAGGACGTGAGAATTGCTGAAGCTATTGGATTGAGAAATATCGTTTGGTTGCGTTGTGAACAAAAGGTGGAGACGTTGTCGAGAGAAGGAAGATGGTAAGAGAGTATCAGTGAATCGAGCAACAGGTACCTAGGTACCTCGAGAAGCCTCGCTTAGCTTAGCGCCAAGGCGAGGAGCCTTGTTGAGTTCCTGTTGTTTGAAAGGTGAGAGAGTTGGATGCTTGTGTGATTCACTCAGCTACAACTGCTGTGTCTACTCTCAGCCGGACCAAAGAGTTGCCGGTTTTAGTCCCATGTACACATACTATATATTGCGCCAATCCTCTGACAAACAGTGAACAAAATATGAGCAATTCTAGTTGACAGTTATCTAAATTTTGGCATAGCAACATTAAGAGTCTCACAACGTTTAGAACTTCGGAGATCAAGGTTTCGAGGTGTATGTGGGTAACTTCCGTTTTCTCGAAGGAGGAACAGTCGTCGCCTTTCTGCGACTGAGAGACTGCTCTATACATGCCCAATTTCTCGGTTGCTCAGATATGCAAGATTGGCGAGACCTCTCGATTCGAAATTTAAATGTAGCATCTTAGCCACAAGCTGCTAGTCGGGCAAAGAATGATTGGACCCTTGTAAGCTAGATCTCATACTTGGTAGTTATTTGTACGGCTGATTGGCAGTTGGGAGCTACTTACACTTCAGCCAGCTTTGCTTTCAAAGTGCATCGACAAGGATCCATAAGGCTGCAAAAGCCTCAAAAAAGAAATCCCAAAGTATTATCCAGCTTTGCAGGAGCACGCTTTGCTTCAAGGTACAGCAGCAAAGCAGGCATAAACACGTGGACTTCCACTATGATACTCAACTTGTGCATCTAGAAGGGTGTCTGGGCTCAAAAACATTCTGCAAATAAGGCTTGCGGACCTTTCTTCTTCTTCTCTAGGCAATACATAGGAGGGGCCCTGAAATGAGGAGACGTCGGAAGCACGCGGAGGATACGTCCTATCACTGAGTGCCTGACAGCCCTTCGCCGGATCATAGAATGATTGAAAGAGTATGCCTCAGTTCCTATGTACAATACACGGCTATCAAAGCTCATTACCTCATCTATGGCATGAGATGTCTGATCATGGCCCGTTATGCGCGTAGATTTGTCTTGTTCGGAGGTGTACTGGTGTCTCGCCTTTGGGGGCATCGGGAATAACCTTTTCAAGTTTCTATAACGGTTTAAATCAGTATTCGGGCACTTAGGAGCTAAAGAATGGCCGAGTCGTACCAGATTCTCAAAAACACATTTATTGAGTTTCCATTCTTCTGGTCGACATTGCCAGAGCTGCTGATTGTTGTTATCGAGGCATTGCCAATGCTTCCGGAATTCTGCCAAACAGTGCTTGTTGACATCTTCGATTCTGGAGAGTTAATGGTATCAGCATCTGCAACTATCCCACAATCCTCTTCTCTCGAAATATAATGGCGAGTTGTAATAATCCCTGAAGATGCACTTGATCTCTGTAGTCCACATATGATCCTCGGGATCACCTTATTCTACCACTTCGGACATTACTTACACGCTCGTTGCGCATCGTGTGACTCTCCTTCCCTCCTTCAAGCAGTCCACTTCACCCTTCCCGGCGCTCTCAGTCTTGCATTGCATGAAGTCATCATTATACGGCTTGCATCTTGCTCCGATGAAGAAACTGGCAGACAATAAGGGAGCCGAACTGCTTCCGATTTCTGCAACTGGCGGGATGTCTGCAGGTAGTGGTGTTGTATCGACGAGGGTGGTTTGATTGAATCTGCAATTGGAAGGATTAGCATTAAGCTTCTTTCACCTCCTCGGAAAGTATATGAGCTGCATACCTGGGCTGTCTTCCCGCCATCTTGTGATTATGTGCACAGAGTCGAGGAGTTCGTGGTGGGCTCAATTGAAGCTTTTGGTGCTTTGGAGAGAGAGCTCGATGTGAGGTTCAGGAACGGACCCACTTGACATTTCCTGATTGGTCACAAAAGCGAGGCTAAATTTTTGGGAATCGCGAAGAGCTTCCAGGTCGCGACGAGCTGTAGCCAAACCACGAAACCATTTGCAATTTCCTTCGATCTCTGTTGCGAAGATCTCTACCCATCACAATACCCAACATTGTATTCTCGCATGCCTCTCCTTTGCTCGAGATCGAACAATCATACCCTTGCGCGACCTGCGCAACTCCCAGCCTAACGCGCTCCTTCTCCCGCGCCGTTGCAGCCAGGAGCTCTGCTTTTGAGATAGAAGGCAGGTTGCATAGCCGTCACGCTTTCTTGCCGAACATTCGAATTGTCTCCAAAGCTTGTCATTATGTTTGGAGCTTCCCTCAACCTGAACAAGCCGGCCGGCGGAGGGCTGTTTGGGTCTTCGCTGAATACGAACACTCAGCAGACTGGCAGCAATCTCTTTGGCAACCTGGGCTCGAATACGCAACAGAATCAACAGCAAGGAGGTGGTGGCATCTTTGGGAATCTTGGTCAAAATACCCAGCAAAACCAACCGCAACAGACTTCAGGTTTATTCGGCCAGAGCACCCAGCAACAACAGCAACAGCCATCTGGGCTCTTTGGGCAGAATGCACAACAGAACCAACAGGGCGGTGGATTATTCAATGGATTCGGCCAAAGCACAACACAACACAACCAGCAGCAAGGCGGTGGCTTGTTCGGACAGAACAACCACCAAAACCAAAACGGAGGACTTTTTGGAACAGGACAAAACCAACAGCAACAGCAGCAAGGTCAGGCTGGAGGCATGTTCGGTGGATCAATGCTGGGCCAGTCAACCCAGCAAGGTTTACCACAATTAGGGCAAAGCACAGCGCTATGGCAACCGATGAATCCTCGTATGTCTGTACCGATTCCAATGCTCTGCACCTAACTAATTTCGTAGCAGGGGAGAAGACTGTTCCCGAGCAGATGGCGACAGTGTTGGAGAAATGGGACACGGGCAATCCGAATTGCGTCTTCAAACACTATTTCTACAACAAGGTAGACGATAACATGGCTCCCTATTACCGACCCGCTCCTGGTGAAGACGCCACAGCTTGGGAGGAGGCGTTATCGAAGAAGCCAGGGCCCGGCTATATTCCAGTCCTGTGTGTTGGCTTTGCCCAGATGGGGGAGAGAATTCAACTTCAGCAACGGAACTTGGCCAATTTCAATGCGAGATTACACGAGATCAACGACGCCCTCTCGCAAATGATGCAGACCCACGAAACCAAAACGAGTATAAGGGCGATGGATGCTCGGAGAAAGCACATCGTCTTGAAGCAGAGATGCTTAGCTTTGGCGACCAAAGTTCAGGTGCTGAGAAATAGGGGTTATGCTATGGGAGGCGACGAAGAGGATTTGCGGGCGAAGTTATTAATTCTGGAGAAGAATATTCATGATCCGGGCTTGGATGCTAGAGGAGAAGAAATCTGGGCACGCATGCTTCTTGTCCAAGAGCGAGCTAGGATGTTAAAGACCGAATTCGATAGGGCGGGTAATGATAATGCAGATGTGCTTGACGAGGATACGAGCAATAAAGCAAAGAAGGTATGTTTCTCGACAATCTGGAACTTCGAGTCACAGCTGACCTTTATTAGATTTTGGAAGACTACAATACTCAATTGCAGCATCTAAAAACGGAGGTGGACTCGATATCCAAAGAGTTGACTGAATGGCAAAAGGACCAAGTATCTGGGTTCCAAAAGGCGAAATAGACGAAGAATGATACCCATGCCCAGCATTTCACGACACGGTATATGCATATCTGCATTTTGCGTGGCGTTGGTTGTATGATATAAACTACATGTACTGTAAGTGGCATAGCATTCTGTAATGAAAGCAGCCTTCGATCAACAAATCTCAAACACGTGCTCTCGAGTGACTTGATTGATAATGTTGAGGAACGGACCAGCTCAGCTTCTGGAAGGACTAGATACTGACTATTGTTCCCCTATTGCAATGGAAACAGAGATGTTTGGATTCTTGTGCAGATCTTTCCCGCTGTCTGCGATATACGCCGTATGACTCATTACTCGAGAAGACGAAAAGTGATGGTTGTCGGAATTCTGTGATCCTTCACACCAACACGTATTTTGAGCCTCTTGAAAACGCCATTCAACATGTCTGATCCCAATCTTAAAGGAGACTTCGTCGAGGGACCACCTGCCATAGATCCCAAAACCAAAGGTGACATTGTTCTCAAAGGGAAGCACAATGTAATACTCATTCCTTGTGTACTTGAGCACGCACCCAGTCTCTTCGAGAATCTCTGCGGACCTCAAAACAATAGCCTCTACACATGGCTACCCTTCGAACCATTCCAAGACGTGGAGTCCCTCAAAGCGCACCTTAAACTTCTCATGTCCTTCCCGACAACTGTCTTCACCATCTTCGTCACGGAGGCCTCGGAGACTGGCTCCAAACCCAAGGAAGCCGTCGGCATCACTTGCTTCATGAATATTGTACCTGACAATCGGTCTATCGAGATTGGTCACGTTTTTTATGGACCGAAGCTTTCACGAACGCCTGCTGCTACGGAGGTCAATTATTTGCTGATGAAGTATGCGTTTGAAGAGCTGCATTTTCAGAGAGTGGAGTGGAAGACGAATAGTTTCAATGAGGCGAGTAAGAGGGCCGCTTTGAGGTTGGGCTTCACGCATGAAGGTCTGTTCAGGAAGCATATGATTGCTAAGGGAAGGAGAAGGGATACTTGGTGGGCTAGTTGTATAGATGATGAGTGGTTCAAGAAAGGGAAGGGTGGTGTGAAGGAGGCTTTGGAGAAATGGTTGCATCCTGACAATTTTGATGCTGAAGGGAAGCAAAAGAGGAAGTTGGACGACATCAGGGAGGATGGCGCATGAGTGAAAACTATGATGACCACGATGATTTGGAGAGCTGACATGAAACATCCATAGATCACAATATTAGATGCTTAGACGAGGCTCACATCTCGGCTTCGCAAGCTGGATATCGAGGGATGAAAATAATGGACGCACAGTGCTTTGGCAAAATCATGCAGTTGTGCCTGATGCTTCTGCAGATGGACAACTAACGATAGTACGAGCAGGAATGCCGCCATACTGGCCTGATGGAGGAGACGCTAAATTACATTTCAAAGTCCGAATCCGACCCTCGGAAGTTTCGGATATGCAGAACGAGAAGGTTGGGGCACAAGTGAAGCTCTGAAGTTTAGCTCAAGCCCTAAGCACCTTTTACTTTTTTCAAAATTGCTGAACCCTTGTTTGCTCGGCCGAATTGGCTCTGCAGCTGGTACTACTAGAGCTTCTTCTCAAATTTACATGTCCTTTTTTTCATTCTACCTCTATTCCTGAATTATTGAAGCACCTGACTGTCGTTGATTGGTAAGTTACAGTTCGTTTGAAATAAGAATATAAGCTTTCGTTTCGTTTCAAATGATCAACGAGCCCGAAAGCTTGACGGGATGACAACCAAACCCATCTCAGGATATCCCAGTGATCTAGTGCAATACAAGTTTCACATCTGCTTGTGGAAGCCGTGCACTTGAACGTCCCACCGTTCATGAGATCATATCAAATGGATGTTTGTCGTCCAGCGTACGAGCTCGGGACTTATGCCGCAAATCTGGCGCTGGGTTTCTCTTCAGATTGGGTGTTAGATGTGAACATTAGAGTTCATCTTAGCTGAAAGCTGTTCTCTTGTGTCAGTGTTGAAATTCATGGAAACTTTCTTCACGATCCGAAGAGAATCGGACTTCTGGGATCTAGTAACTTGCAGGAGTAAAATCCAAGTTCAAAAGAAGGATATAAAGCTGTCTGGCCTGCTCTTTCATAAGATCTTCACAACCATCACTAGGTTGCCTCCTCATCTTCCTCTTCTTGTCATCAAATCTCTCCAAAGATATCTGATCGTCTGTTGCGTCTCCAAAATGACCAAGTTCCTTCTTCCAACCCTTCTTCTCACTCTATTTCTGAACCTCGCAATTTCACTTCCCCTTCACAAACGTGCTGCATGTTCCTCCGCTGTCCAAAATTTCGTCAACGGCATAAACGATAATATTACTGTCCAAAAACAAGAACAAGCTCAAACGAAAGTCATTCAACAAGAGCTAGCTCAGGCGACTCCAGACCAGGATGATTTCCAGAGCTCGAAATCGAAGTTGATCACCATTGTGAACCAAGGAATCTCCATCCGAACCAATAACCAGAAAATTGCGCCAAGTGGAAACGCAGCTATCGCGGGTTTGGCTACAGTGAGTTTCCTGTGATATGTCCTTGGTTGATGGAGCTAATGGGAAACAGGTAGCAAAGGCTCAACAAGGAGAGCTGAAGCTGGCCCAGGGATTGACGGGAAACCCTACCACAGATAATCCGAATCTGTCAAAGTTGCAAACGATGTTTTCGGGAGGCATACAGCAGAACCAACAGAATGCTAAAGATGTAAGTCCTATATAATCGGTCTGAAGTTTGACGATACTGATTTGGATTTCCCAGGCTGCTTCTGGTTATACCATTTCACAGTGAGATCTGACGTGACCAGAAGGAGACGCTAGTTAGGAGGAAAAGGGAATAGGAGGAATAGGGAGAAGACTCATAGTTTTCAAATTAGCATCTTCTTGTCAACAAAATGGGGACGTAGCTTAGTGGTAAATCTCACAAGAACAATTGGAAAGCGGGTTAAACGAACTTCTTGTGGAGGCCTGAAAAGGCGACACAAGGAGCATAGAGGGGCTTTCGGTGCCTTCGGGTTTATTGGGAGGTATCCGGGGTTCATCTTCGTCCGTGGACCATTCAGATTGTGGATCGCTGGTTCGAATCCAGCCATCTCCAACTCGAGTCTTTTTTCTTTTTTTTGGTTGTCAAGGCAGACAGATGCTAGCTTTGAGATGAGAAGGTGAACCTAAGAAGAGCTTTCTTGAATTCAATTTTAATCAATTATACAGATGGATATCGGGGAGACCGTATCAGATTAAGTGAAAGAGTTGGTTCCTTTCCACACGTGTGTTTGTCTCCATCATAAGATATTTATTGTCAACTTATTTCCAAAGGCGCCTCATTTGAACTACAAAGACCCAAGGACCACGGCATCGTTCTTGTTCGTGTCTTGACCGGCTTACACCACAAGTGGACTTTAGGATGGTTCCAGAGATTTAAACATTTTAGCCTGCACGTGGCACAGCACGCACATCACGCACATCAAAGATTGCACGAGTAAACAAAGAAAATATACCAAAACGCAGTATTGCATAAAATTCTCATCCGCTATTTAGTGGATGGCTGTAAATACGAAATGACCCTTTTACCCCTGGCGGTTGAAGCCATTTCTAAATCTATAACGCCACCATATATGCCAGACTATGTAATGCCATCAACTCCACGCACATTCAATGTTGAAAATTTCCGCTCCTTATAGTGACATTACATTGTACAATTATGTTGGTGAAGGGGCCGATGCACCTGTAATACCGTCTACTTCGTCGACAGGCTCAACTGGTCCGCAAGTGCAGAAGAGGTTAAGGTCCCCATATGCTATGCCATGTTAGTATGGAATTTGTTGTTCAGCAAGTACGACGACTTACCATCATCCAATCTAGTGACACTGGGCCAAAATTTCTTCTCCTTCAGCCACGGAAGAGGGTATGCAGCCTGTTCTCTGCTGTAAGGTCGACCCCACTCGCCAACAATCAAGTCTTTCTGGGTATGAGGCGCCATCTTGAGAACATTGCGATCCTTTGGCACTTTGCCTTCCTCAATAGCTCGAATCTCTTTGCGAATAGAAATCAAAGCATTAATGAATCTATCAAGTTCCTCTTTGCTCTCGGACTCTGTGGGCTCGATCATAAGAGTGTTCGCCACGGGCCAGCTCATAGTCGGAGCATGGAATCCGTAATCTTGCAGTCGTTTGGCAACATCGATAGCCTCAATACCAGCAGTCTCTTTGAAACCTCGAACGTCAAGAATGAACTCGTGAGCACATCTGGAATTGGCATTGGTGTAAACGATCGGATAATGTGGGCGGAGGCATGACATGATGTAATTAGCATTTAACAGTGTGATCTTGGTCGCATGTGTCAAGCCACGGCCACCTATTGAACAATAAGTAAGGTATTTTAGAAATCAGGGAGTTCACATACCCATCATCTTGATGTAGGCCCAGCTGATTGGGAGAATGCTTGCACTACCCCAAGGAGCACCGCTTACAGGAGCGATTGCCTTCTCCCCACCAGTCTGGACCAGAGGATGACCAGGAAGGAAAGGAGCAAGGTGTGACTTGACACCAATTGGACCCACTCCTGGACCTCCACCTCCATGAGGAATACAGAAAGTCTTATGCAAGTTCAAGTGGCAGACATCTGCACCAATCTCCCCTGGTGAGCACAAGCCGATTTGGGCATTCATGTTGGCGCCGTCCATGTAAACCTGTCCACCATGTTGATGAACAAGATTGCAGACAGCCTTGATCTCAGGTTCAAATACTCCAAATGTACTCGGGTAAGTGACCATGATGGCACCTAGTTCTTCGCTGTGTTTCTCACACTTGGCTTTTAGATCATTCATATCGAGATTCCCAGATTTTGTGTCACATTTCACCGTGACAACACGCATTCCAGCCATAGCAGCAGATGCAGGATTCGTGCCGTGGGCGGAGACTGGGATCAAGCAAATATCTCGCTTCTTTCCTGGCTGTTGTTCTTGGTACTTACGAATGACTCGAAGACCAGTGAATTCTCCTTGGGCACCAGAGTTTGGTTGCAAAGAGACGGCATCAAAACCAGTGATCGTTGCCAAGTCAGCCTCCAATTCATCAATCATGACCTTGTAGCCAGTGGCCTGGTTGGGAGGCACGAATGGATGAATGGAAGCGAATTCTGGCCAAGTCACCGGCGCCATTTCAGTCGTTGCGTTGAGCTTCATGGTGCAAGAACCCAAAGGAATCATGGAATGAGTAAGAGAAAGATCTTTGGATTGGAGGTGATGGATGTAGCGAAGGAGTTCGGTTTCGGAATGGTGAGAGTTGAAGACTGGATGAGTGAGATATTCGGACGTTCTCTGGAACTTAGACGGAATAGGGATCGCGCCATTGACTGGCAAAGATTCAATGATCTGGCTGATCTGGACACCCTTCGAGGAGCTTGAAAATTTGGCGAAGATTGCAAGAATCTCCTCAAGATCCTTCAAATCCACAGTCTCATCGATCGTTATGCCTAGGCGACTTTCATCGAACTTTCTCAAATTGATGCCGAATCTTTCAACGCCATATTGCATGACCTCGTTAGCTTTTCCCTGGCCGACATTGACGACGACAGTGTCGAAGATTACTCTTCCATCCTCTCCTTTGCCCCTTGAACCAGTGTCATATCCCAGAGATCGTAGGCCCTCCTCCAAGATTCTGGCACCATTGATAGCTCGTTCGGCAATGTTCTTGAGCCCCTGAGGTCCATGATAGACAGCATAGAATGCACTCATGTTTGCTAACAATGCCTGGGCCGTGCATACATTACTGGTGGCCTTCTCACGTCGGATGTGCTGCTCTCGAGTCTGCAAAGCCAATCTCATTGCCTTGTCTCCCAACCTGTCTTTTGATACACCAATAAGACGACCGGGGATCTTTCTCTTGTACTGATCGCTTACTGCAAAGAAGGCAGCATGTGGTCCACCGAATCCAAAAGGTACACCAAAACGTTGAGCATTGCCAAAAGCAATGTCCGCTCCGAACTCTCCAGGTGGTGAAAGGACAGTCAAGGCCAGGAGATCGGTTGCCACACTCAGAGTAGCACCTTGTTTGTGAATGATGTCCGCCAAACCCTTGAAATCTTCCACTCCTCCTTCAGTATCTGGATATTGTACAAGAACTCCAATGAGATCATTGCCAAGCTCCTTTACCCGCTTGCCACCATCTGCGAGCACATCGCCGACCTCAATTGTGACGTTAAATCCATCTGCCCGACTTTGAAGTACCGCTTTGGTTTGTGGGTGTACTAGGTGACTGACGAAGAATGTTTTGTTCTTACTTTTGCTTCGAGAGGCACTCAAAGACAGTGTCATAGCTTCGGCAGCAGCAGTAGATTCATCCAGCAGTGATGCGTTCGAAATTGGGAGTCCAGTCAAATCACAAACTAATGTTTGGAAGTTCAACAGTGATTCGAGTCTGCCCTGACTGATCTCTGGTTGATATGGCGTATAACTTGTGTACCACCCTGGTCCTTCCAATACATTTCTCTTGATAACTTCTGGCACTCGCGTGCCGGCATATCCACACCCAATGTAGCTCCTCATGATCGTGTTCTGCGAAGCAATTGACCGAAGTCGCGCAAGCAATTGTGATTCCGTGAACCCTTCTTCTCCTGCAGCTCCTGCAGCATCAACTTGAAGATCTTTGGAAGATAAGATGTCCCCAGGCAGAACTTGTTTAACGAAGTCGTCCAAGTCTTTGACTGGAGGGTCCAATGCTCTCAGCATCTGCTCCGTGGTATCTGCTGAGGGGCCAATGTGTCGCCTCGCGAATGTATCTAGAGGCAAGTAATTGCCTTTCGAGACATTCGCAGAGGGTGCCTTTGTGGTCTCGTCGTTGGCAGAGCTTGTATAGAAGGTTCGTCTTCCAATTGAACCTGCTTTCACCCTCGACTTCGTGCATTGGTGACAAACCCATGGTCGCGTGAGTTGACTTGGTTTTCTCGCAGCTAGAGTTCTGGTTTGGACTGTAAATATCCCAAGCTGAGCTCGGAGAGCAGTACCTGGTGTTGCCATGACTTCGAAGATTGCGAGGCAAGTAGGTTAAAGTTAAGAAAGTCGGTGTGGTGGTTTGTACTCGAGCTTCTCGAAGCTGGTAGGCGGGGTTCGGGCACTTTAGGAACTGGATATCATCAACCCCTCATCGTAATGTCGAGATTGAGAAGGGGTGAGAAGATTGTAATGTCGATGCCGTTCTTCAAATGAATCCGCGAAAGTTTTCCCAACCCCCTCGGAAATTTAACAACGAAATCTTCAGTCTCGTAAGTGGGAGAGTAAAATATGTAAAATAACTCCCAATATCAAGATAAAAAAAGATACGCTATAATTCCGCTAGTGTCTTATCTGAACGCCACTAAAATATGCTTGACGGAAGTGCGCGTGCCAAATAACAGGGGCTTCAAGACATTTACAACATTTTTTCCCGACGATAACATCAACTCTTCAACAGCTTCATACAACCGCAGATATGTTCGGAGGACGTAAGTTGTATTCTGAATTATTGCTAACTTCTGCTAATGATCTTCAGCACCACCACAAATGAGCGCCGCTGAACTCAAGGCTGCAGAGTCTGAGGCTACTCTCACCGTGCAGAAGGTTATCGTTGGAGCCGTTCTGCTGTACTTGTGTACGTCCCGAACTTTGTGCCACTCATAGCTCCGGTTTCGCAGACTAATGTGTTACCAGCACCGTTCGCGATCGATGCTGTGAAGAAGCTTGTTTAAGGGGGCGGGAACGGACAGATGGCTGTACGGAGACGGATTCGAGGCGTACACTATGATGGACATATTGCATGGCAGAGGCGCTGGAATGATTAATGGGTGCATAAGGGATACCTCGATATGACAGATGGGCATTGTAAAATACAAATAGACATACTCAACTACATAAGGATGAAGTTATGTTACCACCCTAAAAACTTAGCCAGGAGATTATGGAGGTTGGTGATTTCAGCTGCAAAAGCCATGGACCGAGAAGCAGGATTGGGAAGCCATTAACCTTGGTTCTTCGGAGCAGTTGATGCTGTTTGTCGTGTGAAAACTTGTACTCTATGGGAAGCACGCATATGGCATGCCATATGCGTGCTTCCCAATTTAAGACTTCTCGTTGAACTTGTGACACCCTAGTTGACTTGAGCTCTCTTCAACACACCTTTTAGGATTCTAGCTGTAGCTGTGCTTCCTGATCTAGGCATGAAACTTAAGCTAAATACTGCATTGTAAACTCTGGGCAGCAAGGTTTCGTTCCGATCACGTTTGCGCATGGCTTCCGGTCATTTTTGGTTGGTTTGAGCCAAGCTAGACCCTGCTAGAAAAAGAGCCGATAATGACCGAACTTGCTACTGGTGAGTGGTGCGGTGTGGCTCCGGCGGAGCCACACCGCACCACACTTTTTCCCCATGTTTTAAACAATTGGCATTATGAAATCAAATAAGGAAAAGGTATTCCAATCAAGCAACAAAGCCCTCGTAGCTCAATGGTAGAGCGCGTCACTAGTACCGTAGCAAGTCAATGACGAGGTTGCCGGTTCGATTCCGTCCGAGGGCACGAAATATATTTTTTGAATTTTCTTTGGCTCGACTTTCCAACCGTAGGTTGGAAAATCGATTTTTGCTCCTTCGTCGCAAAGTTCTTTACCACCACCACCTCTCAGTCGTAAACGAGCCCCTGAAAATCTACCCGAGTACAAACTCTTGGCCATGACTTGAATGTCCTAGGAAGACAGGACATTCGCAACCTGTTGCGCGCTCCCTATTTGCAAATAAAGGCAATTCTGAAGGAAAGTGAGTAGATAGGGTTATCAAAATTATACCCAGAACTTCTCCACGCAATGCCGCAACCACATTTGCCTCGTCTGCTCTCTTCTTCTGTGCCACTAGACGGAATCGCACCGGCATCTCGCCATTGACTTGTTACGGTACTAGTGACGCGCTCTACCATTGAGCTACGAGGGCTTTGTTGCTTGATTTGAATACCTTTTCCTTACTATGACCACAGCTGGGGTTCCCCCAGCTATGGTCAGTGGTCACTTGCGCGCAGTACTGTACTATTGCACTTTCCCAAGTTAAGTTGTCTAAATACAAGTCGTACATTGTTCCTCACTTTCACTCACAGAACAACAACCAAAAGCTTAGTATATACTCAATTGGGCGTGCTAGCGAGGCCTGTATCAATTAATTCTCACATCCTGTCTCATTACTTGGGGGGAGCCACTTTTCCCATCTTTACTTAAACACCATGTGCACTTTGGAATCGTGAAATGAAGTAATCAATGGTCAAAGCAAATTGTGCTGAGTATTTGCATGAAGTTGAACAAGAGGTAGCTGAGCAAAAGGTGGTGAGGGGAGTCAAGCGGAGCGGAAATTTGAATGGAGAACTTATAGCATATCTTTCCGAGAATTATTGACATGGTGAAATGTTCATGTCGTAGTTTTAAAGACGTGATTGGAACGTCTGGATACAATGTGTTGTGGGATGGGTAGAGGACGAGAAAGGGCGAGGAAGTCGAAGCCGACACAATCTTGCATATTGAATGGCAAATGTACGGTCGTAAATGAGACTTTGTGGGCCGTACAAGTCCCCAGAACTGGGTGTAGAGGTAGTTTTGATGCCAATGCGATCAAAATGGTTCGCTTTAAATCCACAATCAGTGCATTGGTAAAGGTTCGAGGTCTGCGTGCTAGAGCGAACAAGGAGACTTGCTGTGGACTTCAGAGACACCTTCAGATATTAGTACAAAGGAAGTTACTCTATCTGATGCCGAATTTTGGAGTAACTACTTGTGAGCCAAAGAACAAAAGACTGATTAAGGCCGGGCTAGAAGCAGATAGTGGAAGTAAAAAATGGTATGCATGGACTCTTGAAACTGTGGAATGGGATTGAAGATCGTTTCCGAGGAAGAAACAAGACCACTTAAAAGAATCAAAGGGCCGTCGAAAGTGAGCATTGGCGACCTATACTGTCTGCTGTGATGGGACGATGAATTTGATTTCGGGTCGGGTGCAGTTCTACTAGGCTTTGGGCAACTTGTCCATGTTAAGATATAGGCGTTAATTCACCAACACAAGAACTAGAGATACTGAAAAGTGAGGTTCTGGGAGTCTCGTTTTTCTCAGTCAGAGCTTCTAGTCACCAGAAAATTTGCTCCGCAATTCTCTCCCAGAAATCTTTTTAAAGTCAGCCACGTGACAGAGCCCACAAAACTTCTCGGCGCGCAGCCTTTCAAGATCATCAACGCGACGCCTGGAGCTTGAATTTACAACAAACTCGCAACCATGCCTTCCAGATCACCATCCCGTGGACGCACGCGTACTAGGTCGCCGTACTCAGATGCTTCGAATGGAAAACCAGTTTCAAGATCTCCTTCAAGACCACGACGAACAATCTCTCCTCGATCCCCAAGCCGAAGCCCACGCAGAAATGGCAGATACAGGACTGAGAGTCGTAGCCGCAGCGCCAGCCATGGCAGAAGCGCCAGTCCGATTAGAAGCACAAAGGTATGTCTTAATGGTGATCCCACAGAGAATCTGCTGATGTCTTTAGGTTGTCGTGGAGAAGCTCACGAAGAACGTGAACGAGGACCATCTACGAGAGATCTTTAGCACCTACGGCCAGATCCGCGACCTGGATATGCCAATGAATCGAGCTTGTAAGTAATTCCTTATAGAGCTCTGGACCACCCTAACTTCTTAGTCAATACGAATCGTGGCACAGCGTACATTCTCTATGCCTCCGAAACCGATGCTGAAGCTGCCATTGCCCATATGCACGAGTCGCAGATCGATGGAGCTGTTATCAATGTTTCAATTGTCCTTCCACGTCGCAAGTTCTCTCCGTCACCACCTATGGCGAGACGTGGCGCCAATATCGATCCTCGAGTCCCTCTGGCAGCTCCTTTCCGACCTCCCCCACCTACCAGACGCCGAACTCCACCTCCAGCCTATGGTCGAACCGAGAGAAACTTTGATACATATCGTCCAAGATCATTGTCCCGATCACGATCCCCCAGGCGCCATCGTACTCGATCAAGGTCACTTTCTTCTCGCTCTCGCTCCCGTTCTCCACCTAGACGGCGAGGAGGAGGCCGAAGAGATAGCCCTGGCCGCAACGGTGGTAGAAGACGGAGGAGCCCAAGTTACAGTAGTTACAGCAGTTATGATGACAGGAGTCGAAGCAGAAGTCGGGGACGAGGTGGACGTGGAAGACGTTAGGCAATGGGGGGTTGATTTACAGCGCTGGAGTTGGGTCAGGAAAAGGGTAATTGTAACTTCTAGATACCAATGGATCGTCTCAATTTGATTCTCCTTTACTGACCCGACGTCTTTCCATAACTAATCAGGAAGGCACATTTGACATTGAAAGTGCTGGCTGGTTGCTCCTTCTGAGGTCCTTAGTCGCTATCACTAGCTACTTGCCTTCTCAATTCGTTCTCTCTACATCTTCGTCCTTGGTGCACCTTCATCGTCCATACAAACTCACCTCTTCTACACCTATACTCTTACAGCCTAAGAAACATCACTAGGTATGTCCTACACGTAGACTCTCAATGATCTACTGACGCAAGCCCAGATGACATCGCCTCCAACCCACACTCATCTACTCCTGCACGAATATCACTATTCTGATTGACAAGCGAAATGGCAAAACACAACAGAAAGACGCACTCTTCCAGGGCTCGCCGCAAACTTGAGCGTCTGCAGCAACAAATTGAGACAACTTGCATCGAAGACGCTGAGAGTCCGCATGTCGAGATTGTCGATCAGGAGATCGAACTTCCCGGCAATGATGGTACGCTAGGGCAATCTCTTGACGGTACATGGGGTGGTGGATGCTCTAACGGCAATGGAGGGAGTATTCTCGACTTGGTGAACGACATTCGGGTTCTCCGAAACAATCCTAGTGAAGGAGCATCAAGAGGAGGAGGAGGACTGGTCTCAGGACATTCAAGAGCGTCAAAGACAGCGCCTGCACCACGAATTCCAAAACCTCCTACCCAACGCCCAGCTGTGACCGCGGAAGAGACTATTCCTCGAGGCTTGCAGATTCCGGCTCTGAGCACAATACGTCTCACTCATGGTTTTCGATACCCGAAAGAGCTGAATGAGTGTGGAATACCACAAGGCGACTGGGAAGTATTTTGCGGAAGCATTGTACTTCCACTAATCAATCGCGAAACGCCGGGAGTCGCCTGGGCGATTGAGCAGATTCTGGATCGGGTCGCCATGTGGGATGCTCAGTGTTTCCGACCACGAGGATTCATTATAAGAATGGATATGCCTGGAGAACAGAAGTATGGCCTTGACTTCATGGACATCCATCACTTCTACTCACTCCGGAAACACGTCGATAACCTCTCGGATAAACCTCCCGTAGTTGGCATAGGGAATCATTGGTGAGAACATCCGCACTCCGTAGCACGCTCCTCTTTTTACGAACTGATAATGTATAGGAAAATGAAACGGAATAAGAAGCCAAAGGCCCGGCATCACAAGCAGGTTCGCAGGAGAATGTTCTGTTGCACGCGGATCATCCTTGATCCACTGTCCGTTATGGATGACCCAGAGGTTGCTGAACAGAGAGGCTGGATAAATTGGAAGGAAGCCTGCAATCATGCCCATGCAGCACTGAAAAAGTCCGAGGGGGAATCGAACGTCAACAATCAACCTTGGAATTTCCAAGAATTGGGAAGAAAAGACCGTTGGCCTCCCGCAAAACATCTCTTCTACGATCGATTCCGAGGAAGGACGATGTATGTTGGTTATGGGGACCACCGACAGAGAATATTCATCCCATCACCGGATTCCATGGACCAGCGAGGCTACAGTCTGCAAACAGTCCTTCCAGCCGATAATATGGAATTCAAGATCATTCTAGCAGGCGTGCCAGGACAAATACCATTGTTTCACAGTCGATATTGTCAACATTTTTAGACTCTCAGTGAACTCCGTAGAGCGGTGCTGGGGATAGTGAAGAGCGAACTTGCTTGGTGGTTTAGTTTGCAGAATACAATTCCTTGACTATGCCTCGCGCGTGTTGGCAAGGGAGATGACGATGTAAGTGGAAGTGAGTACCTAGGTATGTGGCTATTTTCCCAACCTTTCTCATTACTCACAAGCGAGCCCCCTTGATGACAAATTTTGGGTCCCCACTTCGAAAATGCACTAGTCCTGATTCAACGCGAACGGAGGAACAACGGAGACTTTATTTCAAGGCACCATTGAGCCACGTCTTGCTACATGCAATTTTGAAACAAAAAGAATACCATGATGTGATGAGATAAGAATGTCTCCGGTGAAGAAGGCAGATGTGCGACGCGTGCTGGGAGTATATATTGTCCTTGGACCCTCCAAGATGCACGAAGATTGTTTCATGACAGTTTCTTTTCGCTGAATTCATTCTTGCATCTCAATTCAGGCGACATTCATTCACATCGCGCTTTCTCTTTCAATTGATCTCCTTCGGTCTCAAGATGTCGAATTCCATATTTAGTGTCGTTAGATCCTTCTTGTACTCGCAATTCCTCGTCACTCCCGTCTATCCCACGAAGCCTTTCCAAGGTCAAACAATTATAGTCACAGGTTCCAATACAGGACTTGGTTTTGAGGCCGCACAGCATTTCGTTCGCCTCAATGCTTCGAAAGTGATATTGGCCGTTCGCAGCACATCTAAAGGCGAAACAGCAAAAGCTTCCATTCTTTCCTCCCACCCAAAGATTAGCGCATCGACAATCGAAGTCTGGCCTCTCGACCTCTCATCCTATGAATCCGTCAAAGCGTTTGCAGAGAAGGCGAACGGACTAGAGAGACTCGACGCCGTAGTCGAGAATGCGGGGATCATGACCAAGGTTTGGACAGAGTTTGAAGGAATGGAGAGTACGGTCACGACAAATGTCATCTCGACCGAACTTCTGGCTTTGCTATTGCTGCCGAAGATGAGAGAGACGGCAAGCAGGTTCAATGTTGTACCGAGATTGAGTATCGTGACTAGTGATTTGCATTTTGTTATTAGATTTGAAGAGGGGAAAGAGGATGATATCTATGCGGCGTTGAACAGGAAAGAAGGTTGGAATGTTAATTCGAGGTTAGTGTTCCCCTCCTGCTCCTTCAAATCTGCTAACTTTGGGAAAGATACGCAGTCACGAAGTTGATGGAAATCTTTTTTGTCCGTGAATTAGCAAAGAGGATGGACGACTCGAAGAAGCCCAAGGTCATCGTCAATTGCATGACCCCTGGAGCTTGCATGTCAGACTTCAATCGCGAGTCGAAAGGTCTGGAGAAGAGGCTCTTTGAGTTTCTGGCTTTCCTTCTCGCTAGGTCGACGGAGGTTGGAAGCAGAACTTTGGTAGCTGGCATTACCGCAGATGAGGAGTCGCATGGTGCGTATATGGCGGACTGTATTGTTACGAGGTATGTGAACTATTCTGCGAGGATGGGAGATGCTGACCTTGGTGAAGCCCCTCGAAATTTGTACTGAGTGATGATGGGGCGACGATGCAGAAGAAATTGTGGGATCAAACGATCAAGTTGTTGGAAAGCATCCAACCTGGCATTGCGAAGAATGTTTGAGTGATTGAAGGACTTGTGTCTATTTTATCTCTGGAGCATCGTATTCGATCATAGCACACCTAAAGATCAACCTTTTGAAACCTTCTATCTCATCCATAATGTTTCGCCTCCCGCATCTTCAAATGTCAATTCGTGTCTCTTCAAGAAATCAAGAAATCAAGAAGTCAAGAACCTCGTCGCCTCTTTTCCCAACGTCACTATTGACCAACACGCGAACAGAAGCTAATCTCGGATTCTCCATTATAGAAAAGGATCTAAGTATACTAACTAACATTCCTTGCTTTTTGTCTTCTTTGCAGAGATCCGGTCGCTCTTCACGCTTTTAAGCCAATGCACCTTCTTACCACTACAATATCTTATCTGCTCAAGTCTGGCATGTTAAAAAAGATAACCTGGATGGTCATGTCGTCCCTCACAGCTCTCGAATACGGCGGCTGAAAGGCGAGTTTCCCTGCTAGAAGCTCCCGATGATTGCCACCACAGGCATTGCGCAGTAAATGCACAGCGACATTGTTGAGGTCCTGAATTACTGTCCTTTCTTCCCGAAACCTTACATCGAACTCGTTCCAGCGCTGAAGAAAATCAAATTCAGGAGCATAGTTTGCTTCCTGCTGAGGCTCGCTCTTCCACCATACAGTCATCGGTGTCATTTTCATCTCCTTCGTACTATCCGGCTGAGCTTCTAACCACCTCACCACAAGGTCCACCACCTCCCGATTCGTGCACACCTCCCATAGACCGTCAGTCGCCAAGATTAGGAAGGACTGTAGCTCGAGCTTTCTCACAGTCACAACAGGTTTGGCGATAAGATACGGCGGCGTGAGATTCTCACTCTTCTCCATCGGTCTCCTTGTGAAAAATCTTTTGCCAAGTTCAAGCTGTGTATCATATGATGATTTCCATGGGAAGTCGCCAAAAGCACACGAAACTGTCATCCCCAACACTTTTCCATTCTTTATAGCAGCTTCTTCGTTTGGATGTTCTTGTTGAAGCCTTGCAATCTCTTCTTCGTTATCGCCTGTTTGATCCTTGGAGAGAGTTACTACCGCCCAAGTACCGTCAGAATTCTGTTGTCCGAGTACTCCTCTGGAATCGCCAGTACAAGCTGTATACAAGGTATTGGTCATAGCATTGTACAGTATCAGCAGAGCGCATGACCAAGACATAGCGATCTGCATATATCTTATCTTCTCCTCAAGAGCCATATCCTTGTTGTGTGCGCTGTTGACATAGTTATTGATGATAGAGTCGTCAAGGTCTATGAAAGTCTTTTCAATAACAAGCTGAATCGAATCCTCATTTCGCGACTATGGGTGGAATTCTCTCAGCTTACTTTGTACCAGAGTCAAGAGCTCCTTCTCAAGGAAATCCGCTGTCTGCCATCCGTTGTGGCCATCAAGGACCGTGGCCGCAATCCAATTCTCATCGTTCCATGGGGAGAATGGTTGAACACGGTTGAAGCGGTCTTCTCATGGACTGTTAGAGGCCAATCGTGCACCATCAGCTCTTTTGACGCCGGCTATATTCATGTAGTCTGAGTATGCATCTTGTGAAGGTATTCGTGTCACGTCGTCTTTGGTGCCCGAACTCGGTTCCATAGAGCTTGAAAGCCTCTCTTCGAGATATTGCGACTCGGAGCTCATTGTAACAGTTTCTAGTCGACAGTCCTTTGATAGTCAGGTTGAGGATAGTCAGGCACAAAAGAATTAGCAACTCGTTAGTTTAAGTCTGCAACAATTTAAAAAAAAGACATAAAAAGCGGGTCTGTGCTACCTGATATATATGGTATAGCGCAGTGCCCCTCCGGTTTAAGCTTTGGGAGACCCGACGCCCTGTTTCTGTGATAAGTTTCCCCCCTTAACTCCTGTATTCTCTCACAACACCAGTCTACCAGCATATCCCTCTAGTGGAACCGTAGCATTACAAAGGAGTAAGAGTTTTGCTCAGAAGAAAAGATATGATTCCTAACACGAGTTCTTTGACAGACATTAACATCAGCAATCAGGCATTATCTAGACTCCGAGGCAGCGCCCTGAATCAATGACTCGTCGTCTCCTCTTGGCCAATCAAGGCATTGCCCCTTTTGAAGCTGTCACGTGCAATCGACGCGGGGTTTGCGGATTTTGAGAATTTTGAGAAGCTGGCGGCTTTTGAGGAAATTGAGGACTTTCTAAGGAGTCCGAGTCGACTACTAGAATATGTATGACGATGGGATGTCAACAGGGAACTACACATTGGATATATAAACTCAGCTTGAATAGTCTGTAAGAGTTTCCGATCAGCAATCTATCATCGACACTACAATCTACTCTCAAGAACACATAATTATCAACGTCCATCATGGGCTTCGCAGGCGATATCGTTCAAATGAATGTCGGGCAGATCTTACAATCTCCCTTCATACCACATGTAGACCTCACGGGTCAGACAATCGTCATTACTGGAGCCAATACAGGTCTCGGTTTCGAAGCCGCTAAACACTTGTTCGTCCTCAACATACTTTAGAACTCATCCACTAATCACCATATAGCTATAAACTTAATGTCTCCAAATTAATCCTCGCATGCCGCAACATGACTAAAGGCGAAGCAGCTCGAAAAGCAGTCCTCGCCTCGAACCCTACCTTCGAAGGCAAAGTCGAAGTCTGGCCGCTCGACATGTCATCCTTTGCATCCGTTCTTGCCTTCGGCGATCGCTTGAACTCCCTCTCAAGACTCGACGCCTTCCTCTCCAATGCCGGCATCGAGACCAATGATTACGAGCAATTCGAAGGTCACGAATCAGTCATTACAGTGAACGTCATCTCTACCTTCCTTGTTTCTATGCTAGCGATCCCCAAGTTGAGAGAGACGGCAAAAGCGCAGAAGAGACCGACACGATTGGTTGTAACGGGGTCGGTGATGCATATCTTTGCCAAGTACCAGCATTTAGTCGAGCCAGGTCGCGGACGGATCTTCAGTTCATTGGATGATGAAAAGACAGCAGATATGAGTGGGAGATATAATCTGAGCAAGCTGATGGTGCTGTTGGGAGTTAGGCAACTTGCTGACCAGTTGGATATTGGTACGAAGCAAGGACAAGGAGACGTGATTGTGAACTGCGTCAATCCGGGGTGGTGTAAGACTGAGCTGTTTCGGATGAACACTGGTGGCCTTGGTGGTAAGATTGGGCTTGCATTGATTGGTAGATCGGCGGAAGATGGGGGGAAGACACTTGTGCATGCTGCGGTCGCTGGAAAGGATACTCATGGGAAATATTTGGATGCTTGTCGAATTAAGCCGGAGTCCACCTGGGTGAGGAGCAAGGCGTCGATCGAGACTGAGAGAAGGATGTGGCTGGAGCTGGTAGAGATCTTGGAGGCTATACGACCCGGTGTGACCAGATTGTAATTATATATCAGCGGTCGTGATCATCTGTCATTAGTAGAATGTATCGAAGCCGTCCAGTTCGATGGGATCACTACCCAAGTCTTGAACAAAAGATTCCCAGTTGACCCAAGACAGCATGTCCTCTTGGTCCCAATTATTGCCTTGCTGGTACAAATCTTGGACATGATCGCTCGTTAATGTCCATTCATAATTCTGGACATTTGTCTCGAGCACAGGTGGTTCGAGTGGTACGCTGACGTTCTGAAGCCTATTGGTACCTGTTCCGACTACCTTCCCGCTCTTGAGTGTTCGCGCTGATTGAGCTTTACTCATCAACTTTTCAAGCGAATTCCATAGAACAGGGTCATGAATTGTGGTCTTGTATTTAGCAAAGCTGGCTTCGGCAACCATCCAAGCTCTTTCGATAAGTGAACCCTCGGTATGCTCACAGAGCTCAGCAAGGACAATCGCTAGAGCGTACCACTTATTCCAAGCAAACCACTCCCAGGCTCTGAATTCATTTGTTTCAGTTTTGCGTACTGTTTGCTCCAACACCTCCGTGGCGACTTGCAGGATGTTGAGATCCTCATTTGGTGGAGGCTTGGTACTGTAGAATCGATACATCGGGCGACGTACTTGGAGTCGAAGATTGACGACCATCGCTTCGCAGACGATTTTGGTGAAAAGCTGAAATGGGTCATTGAGGTTGCAGTATATGACGAATTTCTCGTTCAGAGAATTCGCACAATCTTCCACGATGGCATATCGTCGAGTCCAGTCTTTTTGTAAAGTTGGAATCGGAGTTCCATCTGAATCGAGGGGAGTATATATCATCCTCCGCATCTGACGTAACATTTCATGAGTAGCGCATGCAAAGGTCATATCGCAGAATGTGAGTCTACTCGCCGGAATCGTTCCAGTAGCGGGCGAGATGTCCTCGTCATTGATGTGAAGTGGAGTATTTCTGAGCAGGACTCCATTCGCAAGAGCCGAGTATGAGCCACTATCAAAGGCCGCTTGAAGGTCCAAGATACCTATGGAGTACCAGATGCGGCGTCTCATTTCTGTCTCGAAGACGCTATGTTTTTTGTTCTCAAGATCCAGGCCAAGAAATTGTCCAATACGAACAGCAGTTCCCACAATGACACAGACAGCTCGAGGTCCTTTGAAAACTCGAAATCCAGCCTTTCCATATATTAGCCGAAGCAATTTTGACAAGAGATTTTCTCACTCACCAAGTAGACGACAAACGCTTGTAAGACTGTCAAATTGGTGGTAGTAAGTAGCCCAGACCTTGATAACATGACTTCAGCAGCTAGCTTGAGTCTGTTGTTTAACTCATCTTTGCTTGACCCAAGGAGCTGAGAGCATTCAGACACTGAAAGACTATTCACAGCAGTGAAGAAGACAGAAAATTTGAGCGCTTCTTGTGCTAAATTCAAAGGCCCTGCCCGCAGCAACATTGTTCTCAGAGAAGGTCCGTGACAAACTTTGAAGATTGGATCAATTCGAGATAGATAAACATCAAGCAATGCAGAGACGACGTTCCTGGGCGGTGATTCGAGTATATGAGCTTGCACAAAACATGAAGCATCGCCATGCATCAAAATATCGAAGGTCCGAGATTGGATTCCTTCGGTTACGTCTGGTTTCGGCTGATTAAGTTCATCATCAACCAAATCATCTAAGAGCTCTCGAATTCCGACGACTTCCTCATTGATGGACGACCACGCCGGTTCCGATGCCTTGCCAATTGTGTCGTCTTCCGGAGGCGTGAGACCGACCGACATTTCCTCGATCCTTTGAGATAACAATTTCTCCAATCTGGCAACTCTTTGTCGAAGATCTCCGTCGCGCTGAGCTACATGGCGGCCTCTCGGAAGTCGAGCTCTCGTTATCGGAGTGCAGATGAGGCCTGCTTGCTGACATGCAGAGCATGGACTCTCTTTGTCGCATTTTCTTTTTCGGCGTTGGCAATTGCCACAGCTGAGCTTTGCGACGAGTTTCCCATTTTCTATGTTGGAGGTGATACGTTGCATGATGATGATGATGATGATGCTCGAGTGGTGCGGGATTGAAGTTGCGGATGAACCTTTTAAAGAATCGCTAGTCATGCTAAATAGCGACCGTCACGTCTACGAGTCATTTGAAGAAACATGTGAGAAGCCTATAAATCAATTTTGGCATAACTACGACTATGGAAAAGAGGCCTAATTGTTCGATACTACCAAACCATCAACGGCCCAAGTGTTTGTTCTTATTACATCCTGTTAAATCGCTCAATAAAGTTACTTGCGCCAAGCTGTTCGTCCAAGAACTCTCTTGGTCTTCGAGGTTCGAATCCATAGATGCTCGAATATTGTCCGCCAAAGAGCGTTGTTCGGAGGCGCTCTTAGTAGGGGAAAACTTGCCACAACCGAAAGCAAATGTCAGCCTTGACAAACTGCGGAATGTAACGGCTGGGTGTGACAAGGGGGGGTTAATGACTTCCTTTGTTTGGAAATCTACCACGTCTAGAACAAATTTTTGGATCCTGTGCGAGTGCATAAGCTTGGAGAGACCTTTGTAGACCGTATCCAGAGATGATGATGGTATCTAAAACCATCATCACTTTCATGGAACCTGTCCCTCAATGCAAGACACAGCTGGAGTTGGGATTGTTTGAAGTCAAGCAGGTCTTCATAGTGCTCTAGCGTAGAGGACCTGGATTCATAGCAGGGAGAAAGTGCGACGGGAGAACCATAAGAGCTGCCGATGGCGCAAATCAAAATACTTCCGAATCCGGGATCACGAACTCCTCTCGCGATCCTTTCGTAGGATACATGTATCGTCCGTGGCTCGAAGCTGCACTGCCAGATCTGAAGTCTCAACTCAGCCGGCAACATGCCGAAGCAGGTGAAGGACCGGCCGTTCCCTTTACCAAATTGGACTTGCATTCCAGGTAATCCATTGCTCATGTGAGTAGCCATAAGCGAGCCGTGGTTTGGAATCTTTGCCGTTGAAGACTTGGCTGCTCCAATCTGATAGTCCCGAGCGACGTAAAGGATGGAGAGGAAGCGCAAAGCAAAGGCGCAGTATTCGGAATTGGAGTTTCTAGATTGCAATGTAGCTGGCGGTCTAATGTCGAATGCTGACCATATGAAGCCAATACAAATTTGTATTATTGTGAGAAAATAGTGTGTAGTTGTGTTGGGTTCTGTTGTATGAAGGAAGAACAAAGCTCTAAGTATTCATACTGCCAAAACTGGTAGCGCGCAGTAGAAGAGTGAATAGATGGCAGGACTACGCTACTAGCCCTAGTGTCCCCGGTCAATGGTCGCATTTGCAAGTTAAGTAGGCAAGAAGTCAAAATAAGCTTCTATTTTACATATCCATACAGGTCTGAAAACGTGACTTATCTGTCTACTATCCACCCACTGGACCACCGGCCCAAGTGCCTGGCTCCATCACGTCCCTTAATTTTGCTAGTTTCCAAGGTACATTACCAAATGTCATCTGTTTCAATCGTCAGCGCTCAATATCCGAGCCGCACACAATGTCTCGTTTCTTCCCTCTCACACTCAAGGACAGCGGTCCTATGTTCGAGATCGGAGAGTAAAACCTTAAAAGTCGCCGAATCGCACCGTAGTTCTTAATCCTCTCCGAATAACTCTTTTATGCCGTCATAACGACTGCGCGCTATACCTCCTCTACTAATCTCAACAGCACGACCAATTTCTCTAGGAAACGTGAAATTTCGGAATCCATCCTAAAGTTGAGGCGGAAGCTGCCCAAGCGCGAGAACCGTCCAGTAAAGAGGAACGAATGTGTCATTGGATGATTCATCATGCTTGACATGAAGGGTTGTGCAACATTCAATATCGCCAAACCTGCCCGAAGTATTTTTAAGAGCGGAATGTCGGTGCGCGTTACGAAGATAAAACCTCCAGAAAGCTTTCTTAATAATAGGGCAGGTGCTCGTTTTAAAACAGCTTGTTTTAAACCGTTTTAAAACACGTTTTAAAACAGTTTTATAAAAAGCTAATATTTTAAAATAGAAATATATTAAAATTACGTGGAATATAAATAAAAAAAAACTCCGAAAAAAAAACTTTTATATTAATATTTTTAATACTTTTAATACTTTTTGTCACGGTTCTAGTGATATCATCGGGTATATTACGTGAGATGTTTCATTTAATGTTTGAGCTAGTGCTGAGGATTCAGCTTATCTGGCCTCAGCACTCTTCTACTCTTTTAATTTTTGGTCTATTATTCACAGATTAGTGCGTACGTTTTAATACTTAGTCCAGAGTGCGTGGCTGTCACACTTTTAATACTTTTAATACTTTTAATACTTTTAAAAATAATTCGTGGATTGAAAATCTATGGAATAGAATAAAAATCTATAGAATTAGGAGAAATTCCATGGATACGACCATTCTATGGATTCGCGGTTACAGATATCCGGAAATCATGAGGGTGTCAAAGCTCGTATTCACTTTCAATTCCGAAAAGCCCTTGAACTTGATAGAATCCCATCCTCTCCCATTCTTGCGGCGCAGATCAGGATGCTGCGTGATATTGTCGGCTTTTTCGATAAGGATATCCCTATAGAAGACAAGAGCGAACACTCGAGACTCCTGGCAGACTGAAAGTGCAATGGGCTGGGGAGCATGGTCACCAAGGCAGCCGATGGTACAGCGCAGAGCTAACTGAGGAAGGTTGTTGGGATGCACTGTCCCGACCTCTTCGAAGGACATATGCACGCGTTTCGGCTTGAAAGTATCCTCCCACTACAGTAAATTAGCATATGCTTCGAAGGGATGATCAAGGTAGCAGCAGCCGAGCTCCTCGAGCTCTCCTTGGATACATTCGATTCCCATTGCTCGGCTTCACAAGAAAGGGAAAAACAGAAAAGAAAAGGGTTTGCTAACAATTTGGAGTCTGAGCTCGGCTGGCAGCCTAGAGAAACAGGTGAACGTCCTCTCTTGCGGTTGCTGGATTCGGTGTGGAACGAGCGCGGTGTGTGTGGACATGGTGATGACGAAGCCGAAGACCTTTACCACAAGAACAAGACTCCTGCTACTTGGTGGGGTGTATGTTGGCGATTGTTGAAGGGCTAAGACGAATGGCTCGGTGTTTTGAAGTTGAGAGTGGTGAGCTGCGCAAAGGGTCGAGCACAAGGCAAAGACGAAGACTCTTGGGCTTGCTGTCTCTCGATTGCGGTGTGCTTTTCAGTAAGAAGTTACAGCGTCGTCGCGCTGTGTTGTGTTGAATGTGAAAAGGAAGGGAAGCAAGCTCGAAGTATTTGGGGCGCAATTTCTTAGTGCGCAGCTCGATGTTCGAGATCGAAAGTAAAGTGAAGACGAAGGCTACTTGAAGTTCCCGAAGAATCTATTCCTTGTCGATATCGCGGAGAACAGAAGTAAATTCAGTATGCGCGGAGCGTTCGGAAGTATCTGGAGTTGTTTCGTGTTGTGCTTTGTGTTGAACTGCGGAAGCCCAAACCCTTCATGATTATAGAAAATACTGGTTTTTCTTAGCTCGGACTAGTATTTCATAATTCGAGACCAGATGAAAGCGCTAGCTAAACCTCAATATATACCTTGAATGACCTTTGTTTGCTAGAAGTTGGAGAGAAGGTGACTTTACGGTCTTTCGATCTCAGACGATCCTGGAATTTGGTAAGTCGGTTTTGTTAATTGGTGTAGGAGATTCAATGATTGATTACAAGGAATATGATTCGTAGTTGGCTTTGCGGAAGCATACGATATGAACAATGTATGGCCACCTGGCGAACATGAAGTAGCACGTCACAATCCATTCAATGGGCCCGTCAGAGTACAAGACGTAAAGTTTTCATTTTTTTCCATTACGCACTATGTGATGCATTTTTTGACTCTCAATCTTCTGTAGCGCCATATCATCCTCTATTAGCAAACCCGATAGGCCGTTACTTATAGTATCCAGCCATGCAATGCTCCAGCCCGGTGAACACCAAGTAGGGTATCAAGATAAAGCATAAACTCCTTGCCATAAGCCATTGAGACCAACCCCAGCCAGCGTGTTGAAAGAAGCAGGAAACGCAAACATAACAATGTCTTTTAGACATATGGTGGAAAGCAAATATCAAAACAACGAATACAAAAACAAGAACTTGGTAGTGTTGTACAATGAACAGTATCTATGCAGGAACACCAAACAGAAAGGCAAGTTGCTGAACACCGAGACGGCCCACTTCCCTGTTTGCACCTTCATCAAGAGCAGATTCAACGAGTCTTCGCTTTTTCTCCTGGAGTGCGATGATTCGGTCTTCGACAGTCTTCTCGATTAGGATGCGGTGGACTTGTACCTCTCTCTGTTGACCAATTCGATAAGCGCGATCGACAGCTTGCATCTCGATGTAAGGATTCCAGAAAGGATCTAGGATGATAACTCGAGAAGCAGCGACCAGATTCAGACCAGCGTTTCCGGCCTTGAGAGAGATGAGCATGATGTTGTAATCCTTTGAATCCGTAAAACTGACAACGGCATCATTTCGCTCGTCGGCGGACATACCTCCATCATAGCGCAGGAATTTGAAGTTTTTCTCGTTGATGGGAACAGAGAGAAGATCAAGAAGCGAGACAAATTGACTGAAGACAATAGTCTTTTGTTGCTCTTCTTGAAATCGTTCCAACAACTCGACACACTTCGTAACCTTTGCCGATGGTTGCCAGTGCTTCTTCAAATGTTTCATATAGCGCTTACGACCCGCCTTCGACTTATTTCCTTCCTTCTTCAGCATGGCAATGGAGATATGAGTTGACTTCTCTTTCTGCTTTCCTTTTTTGTCCTTCTTCGGACGCTTGGACTTTGTCTTGCTCTTGGACTTGGATCTGGACTTGGCTACAGCTTTGCCCTTGCCCTTGGATCTCTTGGAGATGTCTTCGGCTTCATCGTCGGCCTCTTCATCTTCAGTCGGATCGTCGTCGATGCCATCAGTGTCGGAGATGTCATCTGGGACAATGAAGCCACGAAGATCTCCGTCACTGTTGATATCTTGTTCGCTTTCCGAATCAGAATCATCGTCGATTTCATCGCTGTCACTATCCTCACTGTCTGTGAGATCGTTGTCGTCATCAGCGGCGACTGCATCAGGCTTGTGGACCTTCTTGAATGTGCCGTAGTCAATCACCTTACTCATATTAAGAACGCCACGACAAGTAGGGCATTTACAAGTCGCCGCACCCTCTTCGCCTTCGGCAACATGTTGCTGAGCTGCAGAATCGGCAATCTTGGCCAAGCACTCGGAACACGTATCATGGCCGCACGGGATTATGATTCTCGGGTTTTCTACACCATCGTAGCAGACGGGGCACTGTGAAGTTAGACAGGGGGTATATCGTACAATAGGGTGACTTACATCAAAAGCATCTTCAGCCGCGAGTAGTCTAGCAACAACATCAGGCGCGAGACTACGAGCGAATTCCATCATATCCTCTGCATTCGGACCTCCAACCATAGGGGCTTCGTCGAAGTCTTGGATCAGATGAGGATGACAACATGCTTGACGAAGGCGGAGTAGAAGTACCAAAACGTTGGAGTAATTCTTGTTGACAGTGCCCGCCTTGAGATATCTTGAGAACTTGATTTGAGTCTTGGTCTCAAGTGCTGTGTAAAAGTCCTGCTCAGCTTCGTCGAACACGACATGCTGGATCTCCTCTGTCTTCGGATGAAGAGTGATGATAGGCTTGCCGTCGATAAGGGAAGTCTTGGTTCGTCGCAATAGGATGGCTTTCAAGACAGTCTGGAGCTTTCTCATAGCTTTATCGAGGTCGTATCCTCTCTTCTCCTTTGTCAGCATACCGAATTCTGTGTTGAATTTGGACCATTCGTTGTAGGGTTTGATTCTGAGGAAATGAATCAGAGAATACAGTTCTCCAACGTTGTTCATCATTGGTGTACCAGTGAGGCAGAATCGATATTTGGAGTCAAGTTGGCAGGCAGCCTTGGCTGCTTGGACGCCTCTGTTCTTGATACATTGTGCCTCATCGAGCAAGACGCGAAAGAACACACTCTTGGGGCCCAGAAGAGGAAATAGCTTCCTCATAGGGGCCTGATCATACTCCTGGTTTTTACGCTCCTCAAGGTATTTGATGATCTGTCTGTACTCGGATCCTAAGGTTCCATAAGTGGTTAAGACTACGTCGTAGGTTCGAAGATCATCCCAGGAGGTCTTTCGGCCCTTGCCGTGCATTAAATAAGTGCTGAGCCTATGGTTAGGTGTGATTTTGACCCTAATCTCGCGTTCCCACTGGCGGACTAGAGCAACTGGTCCAACAATCAAAGTAGTCTATTATCCATAAGTTTTAGATGTGCATAAAATTTCCGAAAGATAGAACAACAAGAGCAACATACCTTACAGAGCGGGTCTGTCGATCGACGACTCAGCATGAGAGCGAGCGCCGAGATGGTTTTGCCCAAACCCATATCATCAGCCAGGATACCACCCCTACTGCTTCCTTCTTCCATTGACTTCATCCATGTCAAAGCAATCTTTTGGTGTTCGTACTAGCTGTGTTATTATCTTGAACATCTGAAAAGTGTTTGGCATACTCACCAAGGGGTACACTAATCCATCTGGAGTGCCTTCTCTGTTCTCAGGTGGAAGATCTTCGTCAGGACGGATGTTCTCCAACAGATTCTTGATCTCCTGGTTGGTCTTCCGTGGGTCATTCATGATGTAATCAAGAGTTCCGTTCATGCTTGGGTCTAGATTAAGATGTCGAGATATTTCATCGAAATTGTTGCCGGCATGAGAGATTAAATCGTCAAGAGGGTCAAAAAATGGTGCAGGCTGACCGAAAGCACTGGAAGGGTTGGCAAGGCCTCCACCGTACACAGGAAGGTTGCTCATTGTGTAGCCTTGGCCGGGTGCTGGAGTATGCAAGTTGGTAGGATAGACAAACTCGCTCTTGCCTGTGAAAGGGTTCTGGGAGGAGCCAGGAGCGCCATTGGTCCAATCTGGTTGCTTCCTAAGGCCGCCAAACAATGCCATCTGCAAGGCATCGCCCGTAGCAGTTTGACCCATGCGTTGCAGAGCTGCATTCCCTGCGGCAATGGATTCCGGTGAACGCTTGACGCTCTCTTGAGGTTGGTAGGCTCCCGTTGGACGACTATAACGACCATTGGCATGGAAAGCAGAAGAAGGAATGATTTCAATATCGGAATCACTAGCAGCGGAAGAGTCGTCTGGGAAGGTTCCAGGCATTGCTCTCGATGAAGAGGCTTCAGACTTGATGCCTGGACGGTTGATATTCATGGTGGCGTAGGTACTGAAGCCCGCAGCCATGTTAGAAGGCTCTTCACGCTTGACCCCAGAAGTCATAGAACGAGGCTCTGCCTTGAGGGCAGGCTCTGCTTTGATATTGGTATTCCATGGAAGCTTCCTACTAGAAGATTCACCAGCTTGTGGATTCAAAGAAGATACTCCAGCTGTAGGTGGCGGTCGCATGCCAGACATTCGTCCAAAGGCATTGTATTGGGTGTTTGGCTGTGTGCTGGAAGAACTGGCTGATGGTGGAGCATAGGATCCATTCTGAATATTACGGGCAAATTCCTCATCAAGTCTTACTTGTCGGATTCGCTCTTCCGCCAGCTTCTGTTGCTCTATGGCCATTTGGTTGCCGAACTCCTCAAGCTCTTCATCACTAGAACCACGTTAGTACTCATGTACGAAGTAAGCAACACGCAACGACAGAGGTAAGAATAAGTTGGGGAGAGTTGTAGTGAATTCGTGCACAAACAAAGTGAGGTCAAAATAGCCATCACTAAACACAGGGTATCCATACCCTGAACTCATTATAGATGAAGGTGTTCCTGGCCCTGCCATGTAGGGGCTTGGAGAGGTACGTCGAGATTTCGTCTCTTGAGGAGGATAAAGTGCACCATCGAGGTGCTTGCTATGGGATCGCTTTCGACTTGGGAGACTCATTTGGTTTGGACTAATCAGCTCCTTGAATGAATCTGCAGATTTTGGGGTCGAGGGCATGGAGGATGCAGAGGAGTTCCATTGGCTGGGAACTACAAAACTGTTAGCAAGGTGATTCCGAAGTTCGAAGCTGTTTGAGGCGGTCGAGGGTGTTTGTAGAAAAAGCAATAAGTTTTACTCACTGATAGAGCTATCCACAACTGACGTCAACGTCGAGTCGTCCTCGAGAGTAGGTTGAGCTGGCTTCTTGCTCTTAGAAGGTATAGAAGATGGTGCTTGAGCGGAGAGGGAAAACTGTGACTGTTGTGAACTAGTCAATTGTGAGGCTGTCGTGGTGGTACTGCGCCTAAGTGCGCGCAGTTGGGCCTCAAGCTGCCGAATTTCCTCTTTCACCTCATCCTCAGCAGCCTCACGATTCTGAACGGAGTCATCGATTGAGCTGAGGAGAACCTTTTGAAAGGAAATCTCGTTGATTAATTCCTGGATCTCAGCTTGAGCAGCTTGCGAACTTGGGTGCATAGGTTGTGACATTGCGGGCAAACAGGCGCATTCGCCCAGATGTGGCAATCCGCGAGGCTAGGAAGTACTGATGACGGGGTTCAACCAGCGAACATGTGCGCGGGAATGTGTACGCCCGAGTGGCTGGTGCCTGGACTCCGTATGGGTATGGAGAGTTGGTTGTACACAGTGTTTTGGTCGCAGGAAAAAGGAGTGTGGAGGTGGAAGTGGATGATGATACAAAGGAGCAAGAAAAGTAACGCGTCTTTGGAGCGCGTTTAGCTTTGGCCCGATATTTTTTTTAAGTTTATCGCCACCTCTTATCGATAAGGAAAGAGCTCAACCAGATGCCCTGTTGAGCATGTGATCAAGCCTGCATTCACGGCATGAAACTGCTTAGTATAGAACTAAACCAGTCTGTTATCCTTGCTGAAAAAGTATGCCAAAAGAGACCGCGAGCTCCTAAACCCATCTAAGTAGTCATCTAGTCTGGAGACTCTCTACTCTGTCACGTGAGATGAACCTATTCTACTTACCTACCTACATAGGTAGGTATTGAAGACAGGACGAAAGAGGACTTAGCGTCTCTTTTCTGCACGAAATTTAGATGAAAATTTTTTTTTACAGCTGATGTATTCATAGTATATTAATTAATAAGTATTTATTCTTCTCAAGATTGCTGCAAGCCTTTTTGATGCCGTGAAATCTACTTAGTCGTCAGTGACAGTGACACATTTCAACATTCTTGTAGTCTGCTATTTTGAGTTTGACGACAGGCAAGATAGTACTCGATCTCGATGCCAAACTCGTACGCCTGTCTTTGTTGGCTGACTTGCTCGCTGGGACTACCGGCTCTCGATCACGAACATCCCTCTTATCCAGGGACAATGAGCATCTAAAGTCAAGCAGTAGGTCGGCTATTCGGTGATAGATCTACGCTCAGCTTACTGGTGGACTGAGGAGAGAGCTAAAGATTTCACAATAGCCCATGATTTTTGATAGATCTTGTCATTATCCGTCATCCATTATTCTGAAAGACTTTCTACCATTGGGTTCTCCCCAAACACCTTATCCCTTCATTTCATAAGTCCTAGTCGATGAGCCTCTCCAAGACCATACGTGGCAATGACATCCTCAGCCTTGGGTTTCTTGCCTCGAACCTTGACCTCCCATTGACCTCCACCTGGTGTATAGCCCTGCACATATTCCGTACCCTCATCCATAATCTTGACGTAGACCGTCTCTCCACCATCGAAGACGTTGAAGGCTCGCTCGTTCGATGGCTCAAGAGCTTGCTTTCTTTCTGAGGAAGAACGCAAATTCCAAACCCTCGTCCAGAGCAGGATACTCGTCTTCGACATCGCCGATACGCAAGTCAGGGCTCTGTCTATGAGAGACTGTTTGGAAATGGTACGAGACTTACTAATGAGAGAATCGATGACATGCTCCATCGTCTCGTACGGAGATACTTCATGACCTCGTGAGAAGGTTGCCCGCTTGAGTTGAAAATAGAGACCTCCACCGCAAGGATCGCGCCATCCCTTGCCTTGGAAGCGGGTCCCCTTATTTGGTCCTCGCTTGTTGCGGTAAGCAGGCATCTTGTGTTTCTTGTGTTTTTTGATTTCGAGAGTGGAAGATGAGCAAGGAGGGATGAGGTTGAAGAGGTTCGACGACGTGGAATATCATTAGCGTTACGTTGTCGCGTCGACCGGATTGTCCAGCAAGTACCCGAAATCAGAGGCGGCGCTCGGACCCTTCTTTGAGTTTGACGATATCTTTTTCATCTGTACTTGAAAAGGGGTTATAGAGCTTGAAAGCTACAGTCGGAGCTATTCGTTGAGCTTCCCGCGTGCTTCCAGCCCACTCCCGTATGTGCGCTTTTTTTGTAAAACACTTTACGCGCTGCCTGGCTGGTGCGGGATATACCTACAGATAAGAAATATCGAATCTTTTGCCAGGAGATCAAAGGGAGCTTTTGCACTCGTTGGGTTGCTTGTCGTCTTCCCGTAGTATGTCTTCCTCCACAATAGATCATGATTGCCGACTTAGTGTGTGTATTCTATCAACTGAAAAACATTCTCAATCTTTCGAAGTAGTCGGAATCTTATAGTCAGGACTACAGACTAGACTTGATCAGGTTAGTCCAAAGCTCCACCATTTCTCCACCATTTCTCCAACATCGAAAGCCACCAACATGCATCTTTATCAATATCATGCGGCACGACGAATCCAACATTCTGTCACATGTTCTTTCACTCATCAGAAGCCTATGATGAACTCGGACTGGAGATCCAGTCAAATGAACCTTCAATGGCGCCATACATCCCTTCACGTAAAGCCTCCAAGTTTCAGTGCCTTCCCGCTGTTAGCTTTTGTTATTTGAGTGCTTACTTGGCAGGGTTCCGCATCCTGAATATGTTGAAAGCTATTGGTCGAGGTCTCTGACAAGATTCGTCAGTGGGACGAGTAATCCTGATCAAGAAGCTAAAAATCTAAGCTTTCTTGGAACTTTGATGCAGATGCTCGCGAGGGAAGTGCTGCTTTGAGCTGTCAGAAAGGAGCTGGTTTTGTCAGTGCGGGGCTGGCCCCTATTCGCTAAGCGAGTTTCGCGGTATGAAGATATCAAATACATCCATAGTTTTTCTTTCATAGTACATTAACCCGATATTCTATTAAAAATTATAACTCCTTTGGTGAGGCGTATTAGTACTATTCTATTTCCCATTTTCCAATCCTCGAAATGAAACCACTACAAAACCCTCACCAGAAAGCCCTTGGTAAATGAACATACCCAAATCATACACCAAGCATATTCAAATTCCCAAAGCAAAAACCTAAAGACATTTGACCTTACCCAAGCCTCGTTCTGCGTTAACCGTCTTATCGACATACCACAAAAGGGACAACCAATTTGCCCACCTCACAAGCGGAGCAAACGCCCCATGCCAGATCTGCCCCCTAGCACCGCCGACAATATCTCTGGCCAGCTTCTCGGCAAGAACTTCAACTTTCATAGCTTGGCGCTGATGGTCCATTCGCTCTTTGTATGCGGTGTCTTGAGCATTGTAATAGTACGAGGTCTTGGGCAACTTCATCTGACCACCAGGTTTGGCAAACATGGGCGTATCAGCGGAACCGCACATGATTGTAACAACTCGCACACCTAGAGGTTCGAGCTCAAACTTCAACGTTTCTGAGATACGGGCTTCTGCTGCTTTGGAACTGGCAAAGATGCCTGAATGCGGGTTTAGCTTTTTTCTCACTGGGTTGAAGTTTTGACTAACCTGCCCACACCATATTCATGACCCCGTCAATAGAGCTCTGGTTGACTATTACTCCCTTTGCGTCGATTAACAGCGGAGCAAATGCCTGGACCATGGCAAGAGGACCCCAAACGTTGACATCGTACAACTTCTTCGCTTCTGTAACGTCGACATCCAGCAGCGGAGAAAGAAACTCGACACCAGCATTGTTGACCAAGATATCGAGGCTCCCGTCTGTGCGCTTTGTGACTATATCTTTGCATTGCGAAATGGTTTCTGGAACAGTAACATCCAGCTTGAGAATCTCCACGTTGCTTAACTCCGAAAGATCCCCAACCTTCGCAGGATCGCGGGCTGTAGCGAAGACGTAGAAACCCCGGTCGTGAAAGTTCTTGGCTATAGCCCAGCCAATGCCGCCCGTACTGCAACCGGTGATCAGGACTGTTCTCTTCTGTATAGTTGCCATTGTGTGTCGTTGTTGGTGGGAATATTGATAAAAGCGTGAGGTTGATGCGGACTTGACAATGATTCACTCTCCTTTATGGGAAAGGAACGCAGAGCAATCGCAGGCTGTTTGCAACATTATTACTACCGAAACTTACGAAAAAACCTACTAAATGATCGAAACAATTATTACGTGGAACTTTTGAAAGGTCAAGAATGAGTGAACCGGGAGCTTCGGTGTCGTCTTTTCTACCGAGATTCGGTAGCAACCTGGTACCGAAGGTCTGTGCGCCCAGCTATGATTGCTCAGCTGCCTCTCCGGATTCCCACTCTCCTGTCCACTTCATGGAAAGGCTTCTTCAGAGTCATTTGGTCTAAAGATAGATCCTTTCAAAGCATTGCACTACCCCTGAATCTCAGTACACGTTGTCTTCCCGACTTGATCAAGGTCTTCATTGAAGTGTTACGCAAACATGGCAACCAAAACCGAGCCTGAGATTATCCTTTACGATTTGGCCTGCATCAAGGATGTTTGCTTCTCCCCAACCGTCTGGCGTATCCGCCTCATGCTTAACTACAAGAAGATCCCGTACAGGACAGTCTTCCTTGAGTTTCCTGACATTGAGCCTACGCTGAAAGGGCTGTGAGCATACCACCTTCTTCATGCACTTTTCGTTCTCGCTTCTAGGCTCCAGCCTGTTTCTCTCCCGTCTTCTACCATTTATATTCCAACGCACAATGCCATTCTATTGCACTAAAAGAGACACACTGACATAGAATCCTATAGTGGACTAAGTCCCAGCGGATCTAAATATACGGTCCCCGCTATCCATCACGTGCCAACCAACATGTACATGCTAGACTCAACCCCCATCGCACAATTTCTCGAGTCAACCTATCCAGACCCTCCAGTACCGTTGACGTCAGAGCTAGGTCGTGAGATAGAGGCCAAGTCACGCTCTGTGGTTGGTGCAGCTTTTCGTACATCAGTGACACCGCGCGAGATTAACATCCTCTCTCCACGCTCGCAGGAGTACTTCCGGCGCACACGCGAGGCTTCGCTCGGACAACGACTCGAGGACCTTCTTGATGGTGACAAAGAAGAGAAGAGCTGGAATGCTGTGGGGGATGGTATGCGTGCTGTAGGCGAGTTGATGATGACCAACAAGACTGATGGGCCGTTCGTGCTGGGTGCCAAGCCTAGCTATACTGACTTCTTTATTGCTGGGAACCTTCAATCTGCCAGGATGGTGGACGAGGGAGTGTTCCAGAGGATTGTCCAATATTCTGGTTATAAGGAAATTTACGAGGCATCCCTGCCGTACATGGAGAAGAGAGATTGAGTAGAGAAAACTCAAAGTATGGTATATGAGCCAATACATCCATAACCTGAATCTTATGCTTTATTGAGGTGAGATGCTATCAGTTATCATGAACCTTCAAACAAGGATTGTTACCAATGCTGTTCCCAAGTTTTCAGATTCACGTACACGAGCTCATGACTATACACAGCTCTGCATCCTTCTCAGCAGCGCAAGCCTTCTAGCTGACCATACCAGCATGAGATTCCTAGAAGATTTATACTCTTCACAAACTGGTATACGGGGGCACTTCTTTCGGCTTGACCCAAGTACCCAACCATACACCAAACTTCCACAGAGGCCAAGCAATAACGCACGTGATTACAAAGGCCCAGATAGAAACGGCTCTGTCCATTTCCACCCAAATGTCTCCCAAGCCTTGCCTGTACAATTCTTTTCTGATCGCGCGCGTCAACCACCTGGTGAGCACAGCGGTAAGCTTGCCGTGCCATGGAATATTGCTTCTCATCGAGTTCATGATAAGCCGAGCTCTCTCTCTTCTTGCGTCGAGATTTGATTTATCATTGTTTGGTTTTTGAGTTTGGGTTTCTCTTTCAGAATCAGGATGAGAGTTGTTGTTGGAGCTGTTTGGCTTTTGGGTTTGATAGCGATGAGAAATGGATACACCATACGTCGTTGAAGTGGTAAAAGCGCGAAGATTGACAGAATGAAACCCTTTAGTGAGGATAGTGCTGAGAGCCCGCACAACACTGATCGAGAGCGGTGGCATTTGGGCGGTGCTACTTGCCGCGAGACTAGGTTGATAACGCGATCTAGACTGCCAGATGCAGAGCTGGTAAGCTACCATAGGGGTTTATTCCAGTGATGTGAATGTTGCTAAGGAGCTTGCATGATTTGATGTTTTGATGGTTACGATGTCGTCGAGACGTTCACATCTAGATCACGTCCCGAACCCCTTGCATATTGAGCGGCTGGTGACCGAGTTAGGCTAAGCGGAGGTTCTCAAATGACATGTCGGCTTCCCAACCTCACCATTCTCTGCTCGGGAATCTAGGATCTGAACACCCAAAGATACGGCATTAATGCGCTGTGAATGATATAAATTGATCCATCTCATAATGCTGCTTATGAGGATCGGGTTTCCTTCGATGACTTTGTTCACTTCTTCGTCCTTCGGATGATGATGACGATCCACTTGGGCAACGAAGGAGACGTTTATGGGTTTCACCAATCTGATTACCCTCCTGGTATCCATACTCCCGGAGGCTTAGATATCCCAAATGCTCGCGAGCAGGTGGGATGTTGTCGTAGGATCGAGCTTACTTTCCCATCACAAAGCTCCAACATAATTCACCACACTTCGCCATATCTTACTTCGTGCAAGTACGCTGCGAACTTATGACATTCTGAGGACCCTCCCAATCAGCGGCATTTCAAATAGCGTACTGGTAAACCTGGATCTGGTTGTTTGTGTAAAAGGTTACTTCATGTTGGTTGCAATAATCTGATCGCGTGCATGCTTCTTCCTCTTTTGCCACTACCTAGGTACTCGTCAGCTTTCTCGTCAGTTTCATGTGATTCCATTTGCTTGCTCTTTCTAACTTCACCGTACTTCTTTAGTTGCCTATTTGGTTGCAACTCACGATATTCCATTACTTGTATCCAGATGAATGCAGCTGTTGGCATGAAATTTGTTACGAATTGGTTGTCCTCTTCCTCAAATCTGTCTTCCCCGGTGTTCATTACACAATGCCTATGCAAAAGATCAAAGAGATCCATGTACAGTCTAATACCTAGGTAGAAATCCCAACTTTGCTCCCTCAGATGTTTTCAATGACTCCTGATGACAAAAGCAAACCGATCCTTTGTTGAATAAAAAAATAGCCATGATCGCTTCCAAAAAATCAAATCACAACCTACTCCTCTATTCCGTAAATGTTGTGCAGCAATGTACTCATGTCTAATTTTGGGGAACCCAACTCCAACAACCCTCGATTCTCTGTCAACCTAACGACGACGTCGCCAGTGGCGATGTTGGGTATTTCCACTTTGTAGCTGTTCTTGCTGTTCACCATGGTCTTGAGGGACGAAATTGGCGTAATTCTGTGCTCTCTTCTCATCCCACTTGTCTTCCATCTGCTTCTCAGCTCTTGTAACTTCGTCTTGAGCATCTTGAGGGAGTGTTCCAACAATATTTCGAACCTCGTCTCGGCGAACGGATTCGAGGTCGATCATCATTTGAGTGAAGGGCCCAGACGAATTTACTTGAGATGAATGTTAGTCAACTTTCTTGCACAAGAGTCTGATACTTACACGCTTTCATGTACTCTTCTTGCTGGGTCCAAAAGTTACCCTTCTAGTTCAGGGCGATGTGCTATGATCAATCGCATCACGAACAGGGCCGGTAGGTCAGTGTGGGTCTCGACGTCGAAGTCCTCCTCGAACCGGGAGAAGACATCCAGATCGAACAGAAATCCATTGCTGAGAACAATGTTGACGGGGAGACCTTTCAGGACGTAGAAATCGCATTGTATTGACTCTCCCGAGGTTCCAAACGTCCAGTCAACTCCTCTCACAACTCCGCTTGTGAAGCTTGTCGAACCATCGACAAACTCTACCTCAAGGCTATGGGCCTTTCCTTTGTCTACTTTCAGACCGCGTGCCTGACAATAACTTTCCGAGATCAACGAAAGGTCTGAGCCAGTGTCTGGGACAGCTGCCACCAGCTCGTCGTTGAAAAAGCCCCATAGACGTGCCTTTTCGTTGCCTGCAAGATGAAAGCCTAGTCTCTTTGGGATATTGCGTGCCACAGTCACAATTCTTTGCTTGAATGTTGTCAACGTCTTTGTCTTCTTCAAGAAATCGTTGCCAAGAGCGAAACTGTGAACACATTCACGTAAATTCGAGCAGTTGAGGACATGGGGTTCGGTTTCTCCAGCAAATGTCCAGGTGAGAGAAGTGGTCCCAAGAGAGCTGATTGACTTTCCAGATCCATTCATGATTTCCTTCTCAGTGCCTGGTTCGGGTGCCAAGCCCAAAGAATTGACGAAAGCTTCGGAAGCAAAACAGCCATCAGCTCCGGTATCAGGCGCTGCCCTTGTTGGAATTCCGTTTACCTTGCCAGGTACCTCATAGGTTTTGGCCCCAGAAAAGCCAAAGGGGCATTTGTGCAGTGCTGAGCCCTGGTTTGAGTCCGTACCTGCGTTCGAGGGCTCCATACACCGCCGATACAAGGACAGGCTAGACGGCTCATCATCCCAACTACTTACGTAGGTATAACTTTTGCCTGGTGCTACTTTCTTAGCCTCTATGTTCTGCCGATGTAATATCTTCAAGTCCTGCTCAATCATGTCCCATTCCGGGAACTTCCAATATCCGCGCGCGCCCAACCTCTTCTTTTCGTTGAAGAAGTACTGTTTCAGTCCATCAAACCCTCCATTCAGCCCTAGCTGTTGTAGTGCCAAGCTTTGTATTGGGCCAGCATTCTTGAATTCGTCGGCGATAACATCCCGCTTGAACAAGTACTCGGAGAGGAGTTTTTGACAGTCGAACTCGTGAACGAGTTGTTCATCATCGATTTTGAAAAAGCGCCGATGCGGCTCGCAGTCGTAGTCATGAGGGGGAAGCTCGTTTTGGAGGTGTGAGAAGACACCGATGTCGACGGCATACTCTCCTTCCCCGATAGTGTCGTCAGCTTGGTTTTGTAGCCTCATGATATCTCCGCTCAATTGTTGAATATTGAGATTGAGAATGGCGAGTTGTGTTCAGCGCGTTCTCTCGGTAGCTAGCAAGCTCACTTATATATCCCACTGTCTCAGCAGCATGAATCAATGGAGGCCGAGGCTTCGAACTAGTGCAGGAGAGAAATGGAAGAGTTTGGAAGAAAATCAGACCAGAAAATCAAGCAAGTGGGATGAGGCTGTGAAGGTTACACAGCGGCATGGGATGATTGTGGTAACTGATTTGCTTACATTTTCGGTACGTCGGCGTTTAAATAACCCCTTTAAGATTTTGAGTTTTCGTTACTCGTTGTTTTCCGTATCAATGGAAAAATAAAAGAGTACATTGCTGAATTGCTTACAGTCCCTCCCCAATAGGATTGCGCTATGTTCGGCAAAAGAGACATCGAGAACCCACCCGTCATGAACCCAAACTGTAAAGTCCAAGATGGATTTGGTGCTTTAGCATCGTGGATGGCACTTGAAGCTGACAGCGAATCTTTTGTATTTCAAAAATTCGACGATTTAAGTGCCAGAAACTTGCTTTACCTGCAATGCGAGATGCTCGATCTGAGACGTCAGCTTGAGGCTTTTGATATGAAAGTAGCTAGGCTGGATGCTCGCATGGACTTGAAAGACGCTGCTAGGACCTGGGAAACTCTTGTGAGGATGAGCGCAGAAAAAGATCCGAATCCTGATGTCCAAAATTACAAAATTTTGATCGAAAGACTGAGGGAAACTGTAAAAGAATACCGTGAGCAGATCTTTTGGATAGTCATTGTTGCATGAGTTGATTCGTTTTCTAGACGAAGCTTTGATGTTGCAGTCCGAAGTGCTAACTTAGTTCGCCCAAGCAATAGAGCTTTGAAAGCTTTGAGAAGCTGGGTCGATGGGGGAACCACTCGAAGACCCGACGGCACGAAAATAAGACCCATTCTTGGTGGTCTAGCAAGGGATTATCTCGATAAAGAGGATGGCCTCGCAGTCATCAAACCGTTAGACGACGTGGTCTTGCTATCAAAGATGCTTAGAAACATCTGGCCAGTGAAGGTAAGATGTTCTATCCCATAACTACACAGGGCTAGGGACTAACTCTAGACAAGAGAGAAGTTTCTCGAGACGGCATCAACCTGATTGGGAGATTCCAGGAGCGCTCGATAACCCTGACAGTCAACATTATCAGCGTTGTGGTAGCGGCCATACTCCTCCTAGGCTCTATCACTGTTTCTATTTCGTTCATACTCCTTGGATTAAATTGATCATGATTTATGCTTTTACCGCAGTATTTTCGTTGAGTATCAGTGTCATGACAAACGCTAGACGAGTCGAGGTATTTGGGGCAACTGCAGCGTGAGTAGCCCAACCTCTGTTCGTTTCCGACGTGGATATGGCTAATTCTAATCAGATATGCCGCTGTCCTGGTTGTATTTGTTAGCAGTGGCAATTTGTCCGGAAGCTAGTCAGTGACATATCATCACTTCCACGCCTTCAGCTTGTGGTACCGGCTGTCAGAGATTGAAATGCCTTAGACATTTGGGGGAAAATGAAAGGGGTGTGGGGCATGGGATGGGTCAGATAGTTTCGAACATTGCGACAGACATTCCCAGATTATGTATTATCCTTTTTGACCTCCTTTCCAAATCGATGATCAGGCTTTTCCCATTTTTCAATCGAGCATCTGCTCAAACATTTAGCAATACCCCTCCCTCCACATTCACAGCTCTCAAACCCTTCCCCTCATCTCTCCCCACAACTTTAGCACTCCTCGCCACACCTCCTTCATCCCAGTCAAAATCTACCATACCTCCGCCTCTAATCCTCAACCCCCTCACACTTCCTCCACCCCACACCTTCGGAATCGCGGGCCCAAGAACGACCTCTCTACCCGGCAAATCCACAACAAGCATCGCCAACACCGCCCCCACTATTCCAAAATTCGCATCAATCTGGAACGGCGGATTATGCGCTGAATACATACTCAATCCATTATCCGCAAAATTCCTTTCAATAGCATAGTGAAGTTCTCCATATGCCATTTGAGAGTCGTTTAGAAGAGCCCAGCAGGCTGACCGCCAGACTTTCTCCCAGCCCGCATCGGCGTCGGGTCCAGTGCCGTTGCCGCGGGAGATGAGAGATGTGCGAACCGCGGATTGGATGGTGGTGTTTGTGTAGCCGGATAGAAATGAGGAGATGCTGTAGCCAGGGTACCAGCCAACGAGGTGTGAGAGGTGACGGTGCGTGTCGTTGGGGAAATCGTAGCCTAGGGAGTCGGGGATTTTCCATTCTTTGATCTCGTTGAAGGAGCCGATGTGCAGTCCTTTGTCTAAGATTGAGAGAGATTGGGTAAGGTTGGCAATGAACTTTGTGTCTGGTTCGAGGTCTGGTATTAAAGAGATGGAAGAGAGAATGTTGGTGAAGAGCTGGGGAAGAAGTTGCTGGTAATGTGTGCATGCAAATGTGGTAGGTCCATGTTCTGGACTGTTGCATGGATTCACTACCACTGTCCCATCGTTGAAGTAAGTGTCGGGTTGAAGTTGAGACAACCAGAAGTCGGCAATGCCCTTCATCAACGGGTAGCCTTGAGCAGCAAACCAAGTAGCGTTCTGCGAATAACTAAAGTGGTCATAAACATGCTGCATCATCCAAGCTGCACTGGCGGGGTAGTTGGCCCACTGTGCAGTGTCTTTCATCCCAGTATGACCGAAGATATTCATCTCATCATGAGCTACCCATCCTGGAGCTCCATATAACAGCTGAGCAGTCTCCGTACCCCGAGGAACCCAAGTATCTTGTATGTAGTTCCAAGATGCTCCTTGAAGATCTCCAAGACCGGTCTGGTCGACGCCCCAATGATTCATTTGGAAATTGATGTTAGAATGATAGTCTGCGCTCCAAGCTGCTGTCACTGTCTCGCTCCAACGGCCTGCGAGATTGGTTGGTAGACTATTTTCACGTTCAGATGAGATGAAAAGATGGCGCCCAAGGGTAAAGAGAAGAGACTCGAGATATGGATCACTGCTGTCGGTTCCTGCGTAGCGGTCTAGCATTTCTGAAAGCTCTAGATCGGCAGAGCCAGCAATGTCCGGAAGACCCAAAGTGAACTGGCTCATCAGATTCTGATAATCTGCTGTATGTGCTGCTCTTAGATCGCCCTCCTTTTGTGCAACAGCGTCAGCAGTGACCGTTTCCACGTATGTAGCAGGATCCTCTCCTTTGAACGAGAAGTTGTTTTCTACATTGCCTTTCGTCTGGTCGTAGTTTGTCCCAGCTCCAATCACAAGCGTGAACTCTCGGATGTGAGAATTAGCTGGAATGGTCAAAGCCCCAGAGGCATCGTCGCACACTGCCGTTCCAGTCCTCGTGTAGAGGCGAGCCATACCATCAAATTTCATACCAGTTGGTGCTCCAAGCTGCGTGACACCGGACAGTCGGGCATACTGGTTTCCACAGGTCATGTTGATAAGTGATGAATCTACCAGTTGATTCTCCAAGGTGATCGTCACTTCTGGCAATGCTGCACTGGAAGACAAGTGATAAACGCAAACCTCATTTGGGTATGAACAATATACCGTTGATGTGTAGTTGTTACCATCGTTCGCAGTGTAGCTTGTGACATGAAGCCCAGTCTCGAAATCGAGAGATCTGCGATAATTACTGCCGGCTACTATACTATCAATGGTAATAGACAAGTTTGCGTAAACTTGGTAAGAACCATAATTATCTTCATTTCCGAGTAATTCTGAGACGTCTATGATCTAGTGTAAGTAGTACAGCTATACATTAGGTCATATACTTACTTCCTGTGCCATTCTGAAAGATCCATTGGCGAATTCCAGGCAGGTATTGTGACTTCTCGTCAGTAGGATTTCCTCCAGTATACGACTATTACATAGTGAGTAAAGATGCGATATAATTTCGAGCGAGTACTGACCGAGTTCTCGAAAGGCCCACCTGACCAAAGTGAATCTATATTCAAAACAAGCGACTCATCTCCAGGAGGACCAAATGGCATTGCTAGACGAGATCAATAAATGGGTCTGAGTATCAACTTGGCGTCAACCGACCTCCCAGACGGCCATTTCCAATGGGGTATGCTTGTCTGATAATGTCGCTCCATAATGCAGGTTGACTAGACCATATGGCTCTGCTTTGCACTTGCAATAGAACCAAGCACAACGGAAACAAGTATTGTAGAATTTTCATAATGAGCTGAGAAACGGATGGCATTGCCTCGGAGCATCAATCTTGGGGATATGGGCCATTAGGCTTCCCCATCCAAAGGAAGACTAATTACTTAGGTATTCATCGACCCCGCATGCAATATGACAAAAGCAAACGAACTCTTATGTTACTAAAAGTTTGGGATGACGATCTTCTTGGAGCCAAATGGACTGCGGGGTTCGAAATTATTCCGTCCGGAACCCGGGCTTCATTGTACCGAGACGCATGGAAATTGCCAAAACTCAGTACATGGCACTAACTGGTAGAGCCCTGAAGCAACGTTGTGCTCCTAGCCAAGCGAGATTTTTGAATCGAATTCTGGAAGTATTGACATAGTACATTCTGTCATGGTATTTGAGCTAATACGAGGGAAGCAACACTAAACCACACCTATCCAAATTTCTCTTCTTGCATGCTGTAAAACTTTGAAAAATTGAAGACGGAAAGGGATCATTCGTACTTCGGGAATGCAGGAAATTTCATCCGCTCCATCATCAAATCCGCACCAAATGCTCTTTGCTCTTCCAGTAATACGATCACATCTGCTTTAGAAGAACCGAAGAATACAGAAGGCCCTCCAATCTCTTTGTCGTAGCAAGTAGTGGCATGGATTCTGGAATTAAAACATAATGTTTGAGGACTCCCATGTAAAGATGTCAACAGCAAGCAACTAACTTAAGACAAAATAGTCGCACAAAGATCGAGAAAGTTGGGACTTTTAAACAATTCGGATGAAAGCAAGCGAAGACATCGATTGCAAGACTGGTCGAAAAGGATGTTACCTGCTGCTGCTTGTTTATGCAGTTGAAGCACTTGCTGTTGTCATTCTTAAGGTAGACCGCACAAGACTGAAAACACGAGGAAATGATGGTCTCGAAGATAGAAAACCTCGGTAGTAAATCAGTCAATGTGCTAGTGGAATTTCGGGCGTATTCATGGTCGGTAAGTTCTCCCAACGGGCTTCCAAGACATGAGTGATGTTTGGGCTGTGACGTTTTTCAATTGCATTGTACCGCCAACTCCATAGACCTTGGTACAGTTTCCTCCCAATGAATAATTCCCGATGCGCCGAATATCCACAATTTGCTATCAAACGAATACCAATACAAATTATGATCAATATCTGTCTCCTTTACTAGGACTCCTGCATCCTTTGCTAGGACTTCGACTGCCCTTGCTTGGGCTTCTCTGGCCTGGGGTTTGGCTTGGCATGATAGCCTGGTACGTTTGGCCACCATAAGCATCATATGCCAGACTTCTTTGGGGAGTTTGCGGTTCATAATGTGGCGTCTGCGGCGGGGCTCCCCACTGAAAGTTCCGAGGTGGAGGCGGAAAAAAGGGCTGAGGTTGATGCATATGCGAAGCTTTAGACCTGAACATGCCAAATGCGAGATTGTTGACCAAAATACACACGGTGACGATGAGGATCACAAAGATCTGGTGAGATGTCAGTGGAGAGTGGCAGGTACAGAAGAGACAAGAACTTACCATGGCCTTGTAGCTGATAGGCTCAATGAAGCTATTAAAGATCTGTGCAAATGTATGCGCGCTAACTCGTGCTCGGCCGATGCTATCTGGATCTCTGTTCATACAGTGCTCCCAATTCTCGCACACGGTCTTCAGAGCTGGCACTCTTCGATCACTGCCACATCCATTATCGACGAATTGAGTATAACAAGCTGCAATCTCTGTCATAACAAGAGCTCGTTCGTTCTCTGATGCTTTGTCAACATCTGCACGAACCGTCATCCAGAATGTATATATTCCAAAGATGGTAAGACCGGCGATGAACATGTTGACTCCCAGTTGTGCATAGAAGGACAATACATTTGGCAGATTGGGATGCGACTCGATGTAGTTGAAGACCGAGGCCCAATAACCAGGCTGTGGTTCCTGCTTTCCGTGTTTTCCCTTCCGGCTTTGTGGTCTCGAGTCTCCATCTTCAGAATCCGACTCTGAAACATCTCTCTGTCCCCGGACCAAGGCGTAATCTCTATCGATTCGCTTTCGCTTTCGTACTTTGTTAACGATGGCATTCGCATATTTGCCACGCCGTTGTTCTGCTCGGCCAGGACTACTTCCTAGGAATCCAGCACCGTACTTTTGGAAAAGAGGTTGCCGCACTGTGCCACTTGACACCGTCATCGTTTGTATCTGCTTTGGCAAGTCTGGTGTGTCTTCTGCGTCTGCGTTGTCCGCGGGAGAAGTTTCTGCGCCAGACACTTCTGAAAAGAGTTCCTGATCGAAGGCCTTTCGAGGCGTTGTGAAGGAGGGATTGCGAAATTGGGGAGCCGGCGTAGAAGATGCTGCGATGAAAGAACTCTTGGGCGGAGGGGACTCAAAACCAACTACTTGGCGTTAGATGTTAGGTTGTCACTTTCGAAGTATGGATATCGAGGACTTGAACGTACCTTTCTGTCCTTCTTGGGGCTTGAACTGGGGAAATGGACTTTTGGGATCAGCAGGACCTTGAGTTTGCCATTCCCAATCCATGGGACTTTCAGTTGACCGTTTCTGATTATCTCTGAACATGTTTGGGACTTTCTCGAGGGGTGAGGTAGCAAATTGCAAAGCTATGGGGAAATCTTTCGTCAGTTCCAAGTAAACAAAACAACACGCCGCCTCGAATTTAAGGTTTGGCGCTAGTCGCGAAACCGGCGCCTCGCCGATCTTCAATTCGTCTTCATTCTGCCAGCACAAAAAGGTAGATTCAACCTCCTTCCAGAACGACCTCTACAACAGAACAACTTGGTTCCCGCAACGTCTCCTCTCGGCTCAGAATAATCTGCTATACCCTCGATTAATCTTGCAGTATTGTTTTCGCATCACCCAACCAGCCCTCGAGCTGCGCCAGCTGCAGCCTTAGAACAATCTACAATATGTCGGATTCCGATGGCGGATCACCTGTGCCTGAAAACGTCCACGATGCGGGCGATGTAGATCGACCTGGCTCAGAAGAGCGAGATACTCCTCCGCCTCCAGCTGCGAATCCTGACCTCGATATGGATGATGCAGACAATGACAAAGAAGATGATCTGTCCGATAACGAGTCTGAACTCTCTGAAGTCGACGAAGCTGAATTCGCAGAATTCGACCCTACAACTGTCGCCTTGGAGGATCGTCCAACAGTCGGCATCGATGAGGATATTGCTCGCACACTGAAGGCAGGAAAGCGGAAGCGTACAGACAAGGACAACAAGCCCAAGGAGGGTAAACGCGAGAAGAAGAAACGAGCACGTCGTGATGACGATGAAGACCCAGATGGAGAAGTGCTTGATGGAAAGAGGGCAAAGAAGTCCAAGAGCTCGAGAAGTGACGGAGGAGAGAGGAAGGACCGCGAGAAGGCCAGGGAGAGAAAGGAGAAGACGCCCGAGAACGAGGACAATCTCACAGCAGAGGAGAAGAGACGTCGAGCCCTTGATAGGGCGATGGATGCTGCTCTGAAGAATCCAAACAAGAGAAGACGCAAGAAGGATGAAGTGGTAAGTCTAATTCTCCACTGCATTGGACTGTCTCTAATCATTACAGGATCTCGAAGAAGCTTTCGATGATGAAATTGCTGCTCTCAAGATTCGAATGGAGCAAGCATGTGAGGCAGACAATACAGCTCGCGAGCGAGGTCAACCAGCTATCCACAAGCTCAAGATGTTACCCGAAGTCGTTGCTCTCCTCAACCGAAACACCGTTCAACATTCCATCGTCGATCCTGACACGAACTTCCTTCAATCCGTCAAGTTCTTCCTCGAACCCCTCAACGATGGCAGTCTTCCTGCGTACAACATCCAGAGAGATCTGTTTGCTGCCCTTGTAAAGCTGCCAATTGAGAAGGAAGCTTTACTTAGCAGTGGTATTGGCAAGGTGGTTTTGTACTACACCAAGAGCAAGAAGCCAGAAATTGGTATCAAGAGAATTGCCGAGAAATTACTGGGAGAATGGTCGAGGCCCATTCTGAAGCGCAGCGATGACTACAAGAAGCGTAGGGTCATGACGAAGGAGTTTGATCACCAGTATGTTACTAATTCCTTGAGTTTAACTATACTAATTCCGTATACAGAGCTGCTCAACTTGCCATTCGACCTGGCGCCACTCAGTCTTCTCAGCTTGCCTCTTCCCAGCGCGCACCTATGTCACAGCGAGACATTGACAGGGAGCGCATCCTTGCACAACCCATTCGAAGCAACAGAGCAAGAATGGAGACAGCAAACACCAGTTATACTGTGGCCCCAAAGAGTACATTCGACCCAACCAAAGGATTAGATCCTGCTATGAGACCTATTGGAGCTGGTGGTATGGAGGCATTCAGAAAAATGACCGCAAAACAAGGGAAGAAGCGATCTTAAGCCGTCAAATGTCTTCATTCCCACATTTTGTATTACCAGAGCATTCTCGGGCAAAGCTGAGCAAAGCAGCATTTGACCGCACAGGGACAACCGTTATCTACGATGCATTTCAGCGATGGAGTTGAAGGTAGAAAGTTGATACAGAATGGATATGATCACTATGATGCAGAGCTCTCGAACATGAGGTAGGCTGGCTCGGCAGCGTAGCAGACAATTTCGGCGCTTCACCGTGGAGGACCGGATGCAATTGAACCATGGCAAGCAGCGAACATCAATACTGATTCAAGGCATAGATAGTGTCCATGCAATCTATCACATTTGACTGACTTCGCTTCCACATTGTTTGTTGCACATCGTCGTCGCAAAGCTTCGGCCCGCGGCGAATGGCCGCGGGCCATTTCTCAGACCTCTGAACCACAAAATATGTGGGGCTGTGTCACAGAGTCACAGCTCCTATTCTGAATAGTAACGGATGCACAAGATCTAACGCTTTAGACAAAGACATCTTTTCAGAGCAGTACCTATCTGGACTTCGATGAGTTGGTGGCACTGATAGTGGGCTTGGGGTCATGGTGTAGAAGATCCCATGAACTAATAACAAGCTAACAATCTCCTTCATATCACTGGGTATTTTTCCTCTTGTAATCTCGGTCGGTGCTGTGTTGTCAATGTATTAACGCTGTCAATTTCCCTGCACGTCACCATGTACTCTAAAGTCCTCAACACCAAAGCCCCTAACACATCAGAGAATCTGGCGTTGCAGACATTTCGTTTCCTCGGGGGAATGCCGCCTGGACGCGTGACATTGTGCATGGTCCATGTTGAACCGTTCTGAAGTAGAGTAGGGGTGAATCTGAATCTGGACTCTCTCGCCTAATAGCCGGTTCTCCTCTCTTGCTCGCTCGTTCCCCTCTTGCTTGCTTGCTCGCTCGCTTGCTTATGACCAAAGAGAGCAAAGGAGGAGAATCGGCTACTGGAGCGGAAGAATGAAATAATTTGTGCCTTTCCGATTATGATATGGGGAATGAATTCTAGCCAAGAAGTCTGACATTGGAGAAAGTAGTCTTTAGCGGAAAGAAGGAAGACTTGCCTGGCCATTGGCTATCATTTCGAATCCGTTACCCTGATCATTGTGAAATTGACCACTTGCAGAAGACAAATATATATCTTCAATTCTATATGTCTGTTTCTCCTCGCGAAGGTCGATTGACAGGTCTCCCTATTACTGTGTTCATAGACTGTGACACACATCTCTGAGAACTAACAGAGTGAGACTTTGAATCCTGGAACATGAATGAAAATGTCTTTCGAGGCTGTCTCGATCAAAGAGAAGCAAGGAAATAAGAGGTGACACTGAAGTCATCTTGACTCGAAGGGGGTTAGAGATGTGCTGTAGATCTCAACTTGTGTTCTCTTACAAAACCAAAATTCTGAAGCTCAGACAGTCTCCTTGACTTTGCAATTCCAGCGCATCCAGCGCGTCCTGCGCAATCTGCGCGTTTTGCGCTGATCGCGCCCTCGCCGCCATGTGTCACGTGATTGATACACCATCCCTCCTCATTAGGCTCCACCCTCTCTCTTAGCATACTCATCCTCCATCCTCTCCTCATAAGCCCTATCCCTTTCCTTCTGATCGTCACTCACATCCTCAATCCTCCGATCCACATTTCCCCACCCATTTCCCCGTTGCCCAAGCGTCCTCCCATCCTCCAAAATCTGCCTCCCTTCTGCATCAAACCGTCTCGTCTCCTGAATAATGGGCTCACCGAGCCTTTGTGCTCGTGTATGAATGGTCGTACCAGATGGATTCGATGATCTGGTTTGCTGGTATGCGTGTCCTGTCTGGCCAGAGTTTGAGGAAGCGGACCACGAGAAGGAGGTCGATGATGAGTAGCTGTAGGATGGCATTTTGGTGTTTGTATTGAGATGTATTATTCGAGGGTGATTTGTGTTTTTGGTTGAAATACAAGAAACTGGAATGTTGAGGTGGAGTGGAGTTTCATATACAGGATTTTGGCTCGGTTGATGTCATGCGACCGGAGGTGGCGAATGCTGACACGTGATTATTTGTTCTTCTAGATTCCGAGGGTTTCAGACTTAATCTCAGGAAACGTAAAGAAGATTTATGATACACATTGACTATCCTTCATGCTCTCAATATTATTATTGCGTTGAAGAGGAAATGTCGTTCGCAGATGCAGATTGCTGTTCTTGAACGCACAGTATTTCAGTTTCTGAACGATTTTAGTTCCTGGATTCGTTATGTTGAATGATTTAGTCTACAACATAACTATAACCCCCATTCCTTCTAATGATACACCAAGTCTTTAAGCTGCAGGAAAGAAGAAAGGGTTGAGATAGGAGATGTAGTCAAGGACCATGAAAAGCTCGAGCGAAAAGATAACAACAAAAAGCATCATCTTACACGGCCTTCCCGCCACCTTCGTCTATTCTTCCTGCCCTATATAACAAAGAAAATTGATCCATGATAACTCCCTCATCGATGTCTTACGGCACTAGGTGTTGATAGACCGATCATAACTCATGCCCCGTGTTTTTGTGAGTTTATTTTTTCCCGACTATTCAGTCCACACAGAATTTCTAATGCTTCAGAAGAACAATGCAAGGCAACGCCGTTGCAAAGTAATGTATTACTCGGCCACTTAGTCTGCCTTGGCAGCCAACGAAAAGCAGAAGAACGGAATACGAAAGAGCCGACCAAATGGACCTGATCTGCCATCACAAGTCTAACTATGAGGCAGGCCATAACAACTTGATTTGCCCAACGTGACTTTGCAGCGGAGAACAAGGTTATACCTCGTGCGGCCCCGAAAGATTGAATGATTCAAGGGATCTGAGAGAATACAAATATTCCACACATTCTTGCGTTGAATTAACATTTCGGTGATCTTCGAATGTGGAGCCATCCGCAGTTAATCGGCACGTTGTTGCACTTGCGTAGGTGTACAGAGATGACATTGTTATATTTGTTAAGAAAGAATGTCCGATAGAAAGAGGGAAGTATATAATTCAAAGATTTCGAGATGCACTGAGTGAGGAGTTAGAGCACAGACTCGGAAAAATGATTTTCCACCGCTCCTTCCTATTAATTACCCTGCCAACCGAGACGACGCTCACCAACTTAGCTTCGCTCTGCAATTTTCTTTCTCCTTTCTTTCTTCCTCATCTCATATTGTATCTTCACCACACATGCTCCTTCTTGAGACTCGCACCGTGTCTGTTGATTGTTGAAATCTTTGCACTCCCACCTCCGCTCAGAAAGCCTGATGGTCTTGCTTTTTCTCTGTTGGTGCCTGAGCTAAGGTAGACCCTGAAGACCCTGAAGACCCCGATATTTTGTTTTCATCCGCCACAGATGTCATCATGCCCTGCGTTCCATTTTGTTTTCTCATTACAGACTGCTGCGGCTGTCCGTCGTCGACCAGCTGACTGCTCTGAACGGAGATGATGACTTTGGCACTCTTCTCAACAACCTCTCGTGCTACTGTGCTTCCCCGGATGAAACTGCGAACCCCATAGCAGACCGATGACTGATTGCTACCAGAAATTCAATCATGCGCTTGCTCGTCTCCCCGATTTTCGGGTTTCGAAAAACACATTCCCATGTACCGTGGCCAATATCCCATTGGGCTCGCGTACACTTTGTGTTACTCGAGGCTTCCTCCGGACCGTCCTCCGTCAAACACTATGAGCTATCAGTTCTTTGTCCGGCCACTCCCCTGCCGCATCGTGGTTGTCCCACCACACTCGACTGCGAATGACTCTCTCCGAACAGGATATGGTGAGTATTGGGTCGCCAAACGACGCTCCGCCAACCCCATTCGTTCCTGCGGGAGATCTCTTGAACTCAGATCCCAGTTCCAAGGCGTCTCGAATTTCATGTGGGTAAGACACCAATCGTCCCAAATCGCTCAGGCGCAGCCAGACTCAGGATCTCGGCCTGACCAAAGGTATAAGAAGCCGAAGGCGCCAGCAAGTTCCTTCGCAAGTGTCCACTGCCTTTCTCTGCCGAGCATCATTTTGCAGCCAAAGAGACCCAGCCTGTTTGGTGATGCGACTGCTTTGATACAGACCATATTGGCATCCCGATTTCCACCAAGCATCGTCCCGCTATCTTATGACCATCAGATAGGTCTCTATCATCGCTCCGACTACGATGTTGCCGTTGTGTGGTTGTCAAAGACGGAGCGGGTCATCGCCTATTGCCACGTTGCATGGCAAGCAACACAGCATGAGTGTATAGTACGAGCGACCTCAGATTGAGAAATGATGAAGCAGAAAGGTAAGTTGCATGTGTTGAAGTGACTATTTATATTCTTTTGTATTAATACTTTTTTTTGGAAGCAGAAAGCCCCACGATAACTGTTCACCCTCGCCTCATCGCCAGCAATCTTTGCCCACTGCATATTGATACGTCAAACTTCCATAACTCCATTCTTGAACGCCGTTATTCTTGGGTGTTGCGTGTCTTTTTCCAAGTGCTTCAAGTACCATATCTGCCCAGACGCCAAATTGAGAGTGTTGGAAGGTTTCTGCTCGTATCTGCCATTGTTGTCATTTATTGATTTGTGTATCTTGAGAGAATGAGTTTATGGTTTCTTACCTCTTCTTTAGCAGTTCGTGCCACAATAGGAGCATGTTCTTCCAGGAATAACCCAGACCTCTTGTCCATTGCCAGCGCATGTTGGACAGCGCACACCCGTCATCTGCCTCTGTTAGTGTTCATGCTTGGAAAATCGAGAACAAATGGGGTCTGACCGGAGTGGATTTCACACTGGGCTCCAAAGCAAGGGGTACAGTGTTGCGAGAATGTGTCAGTTGCACACTCTCAAGGCCTTGGACGCTCTGAGATTTAGATTGACAAGTCATGACTGTCGAGTGATCTTGACTTCGAGGATGATTTGTCTGGAATCGATAATGCAACAAGGACGTTTGGAATAGTTGAGAAGAATGAAGCTCGATGTTTTGCTAGAACTGCTGAGATGGGGCGAGACCTCTTTATAAGTTTTTTGGCCCGTCGAGTTGCACTCGATGAGAGGGACGGAACTCTCAGCCTGCGAATGCTAGCTTTGCACGAATTTCGGATCGTCAAAACAAGTGCTCGGCTGATTCCTGTGGATCTCTACTCGTCAATCAGCTTCTGAGATCGAACACGGCGCATGGTCCTTGCCGTCTGCAAAGCAGGCACCCAAGCACTGCACAAGCTTCCAGGAAGGTTCCCGAAGTGAAACGATGACCGAAGGTTCACAAGATACTTTGGCGGAACGTCAAAGAAGATGTCTAGGATTCCTTGAGGGAGGTTGAATACTTCTCACATTCACTCACCCGAGACGCAGAAGTGGAGCGAGAAGGTGTCTATCTGGAAAGGTGCTGCACCGCGGACGCAAACAGCCTTCGTACATTGCAAGGATATTCCGATGTGACTGGGGCGGAACATTTGCTTGGAGGTTCGTAAGGCAGGGAATCGACGGCAAGGAGGGTCTGAGACTGATAGGTCAGAAAGATTTAGCACGATCCCACCTTTCTGCTCGACGAGATGATTGGCATCGGCAACTCCAATCTGGGCATGGGCTTTGTGTAAGGTAAGACAAGCCTTAACGGCAACCACTCGCGGAAAATTAGCCATTCAGGACAGCCACTTGTCGCGAGCCGCTGAAGAAAGTCTATTGGACAATCCATCTCGGCCAGCTACGAAATGGAGCTATGAACTATACCGGTTGAGCAATTGTAGCGAGGAATGAAGCAGCTTCGGACAGACTCGAGAGTGTCTGGTAATCTCAGATGCGGTGTGGAGAGAGACCGCTCGCGGGAACGACGGGAAATACAATAAGTTCCGGCTTTTATTCCTTTTGCTCAATGCTTCGTCTCGAGCCACACAGCTCTGATAACGGACTCATGTCCGTCTACAAGGACTGGGGTGCTGACCTCATGCGCGCTTTGATCATATCTCTACCTGTTGGGAGTACTTGCTTCTGACCTTGCGCCACAAAGGTCTTCGACTGGCAGAAGTGTCGTCAGTTTGTTTCAGCCGGGGCGTGGCCGGAAGACCGAAAAGCGGCACCCATATCAGACAAGTTACAACGAAAACTGCGAGCCGCATAAGGTTCTGGGTGGTACCGCTCTACCTACGGACTCGAGCCAAGATAGTCTCTTTATACGTGCTTTTCATTTGGCACGATACACAGTAGTTACGACCGGCCAAAACGGCAAGGGCAGATCCAATATGGTGAAAGTTCAGCAATCAGCATGAAAATCAAGACAAAAAATGATCTCATTGGCTTTCATTTGGTGGAAGGACGCTTCCCATGACCTCGAATCACATTTCTTCTCAGCTGGGATCCATGTGCCTGAGCTGCGCGGTGCACGGACAATATGCTCAGATCTCCAATACATTCATGGTACTGGGACGCAGCAAGGCGCTAGCGGGCCCACAATCTGACCTCGGAACCTGAGCTATCACATTTCCTATGCTGAAAGGATGACAGAGGCTGCGAGCCGACAGGACTTACAGGACAGGATGCCGACAAGATGAAAAGGAAAGGAGCGCGGAGACGACGACGACGAACCCCACTCTGCACCCGAACAAGAAGTCACTTTATTCGCAATTGGCTTGATTGATCGCTCAGCTTTGCTGTACAGCTCATTCCCAAGTCCTTTGTTATCAGTCCACTTTCAGCACGCCACTTTCCTCTATCCCGGCTGTTTTTTTATAGTATTTTTTACGTCAAGGTTTCGTTTGCCGGTATCCTCTGAAACGCTCTGCTGATCATCGAAAATAGCACAACCCAATGCCCAGAAGCCGGAATGTGGTTTCAATCACCTCGCTTAGTGGGGGCCATCGAGTCGAGACAAGACAGGGCAGAGAATCCTTTGAGAGGCGAGGAATCCAAAGCGGCACCTAGGTGCATGCATACGGCAGGCTCTATTAGGGATCAAATCCGTCCGATTGACTTGATTCGGATTTTGCAAGCGTTCCTCTGCTGCAGCAATGGCGCTCTGACAGAAAAAGCATTTCTGATATCCAGGTTACATTGTCGCGCAACCTCATGACCGGCTGCGGGACGACAATCCGTCGTTCCAGAGTTTGCACTTACCAACTTTATGAGCCTCCGCAATTGAGATCCTTTCCCGAGCGGACAAGAAACCGGTACCGGTACATACAAGTCGAATCCTGGTGAGTGAGATCGAAGGAAAATCCATCCACGCGCTGATCTGCTTGATAACCCGCAAGGAAACAGGCATGGCTTCAACCGAACCACAAATCTGGAACAAAGCGCACCCTTGGCTGCAGTACGACCACGATATGATGTGTGACAGCGGCTCACTGGAAACGTCATGCTGAAGTCAACCCGCTCGTGACCAAATACTTGTTCTATGTGAGCCTACAGCATCATCGTCCCTCTGCATAATCACTCAAGAGTTAGGCGGGCAGTGCAACGACAAGCATGTGAGACAGCAATATGGAAAGACGTACTCACTTATGGACTCTCGCTCTTTTTCGTGCTACAAGTTCTCCGGTGTCGGCTGGTCATGGTCATTGCAGCCAGCGCATATAACCCACACCGCTCAACTGCTCAGATGGATTCTTTCCACTACAAGCAGTATTGTGTCACATCGGACAACCATCAAGAGGCTGCAGCCACTACATTCCTAGGCTGGGCTCGCTTGCGGCTGGCTGCATTCACCATTTTCTCCACTGGAAGCAACGGGCACTAACCCTACATGGAATCCACTCCCTCGGTACCCTAGAGCGCTCTAGACTTTGTTCTACCTCAATACTACGCTGTTTCCGAGTACCTGGTATATTGCAGTCAATGCGACATTGAATGAGTTTCTCAAATTGTCCTCACGGCACAACCTGCCTGCAGGTACTTGTCCATCCCTCTTCCAGGAACCAACTTCTCCCAATCACAGTCTTCTATCCGAGTATGTGTTATGGGTCGATGGTCGCTCCATATCAGTTTGTGCGTTGGTCCCCTACATATCTTTCCGTTCGTTTATTGTATGATTCTAGTCCATCTCTCACATCAAGTGATTTGAGAGATCACTTCTGAACCCGGGGCACAAAGCAATGCTGATTTTCCATGAACAAGTGTCGTGCAATGTACTTTGTTGATTGTTGTCTGTACGTATGTCCAACTCCAGAGTACGGGTAAGGACTTTTGGTCAGCGCCCTTCCGTACACAGTGTTTATTTTCATTATCGTTCCAGCTCTATACTTCTAAGCAAGAAGTGTTGACAGCGCATCTCATGTCCTCTGCCAACACGAGTGTTGATGCACGGGAACCTGCTTTGATAATTCTTCAGGCCAGAGAATGAACATGCGAAGAAAATACCTTCGATCCGTCTTCGGCTCCTTTCGTCGCGGCTACCCGTGAGAGAACCCTCGCGCATGCATCTAAATGAAGCGCGCCAGAGCCTTGGGATTTGGGCTGACGCCTCTTTCTTTCCTTTTTTCTGTCCTTCTATCAAATTTTCACAGGACAGCTATCGATCTGGTCATCTCATCTCATCTCTGCCAGCATCAACCTCCTCAACAACGACTGGATCTCAGAATGCACACATGCAAGCAGTTACCTGCTCACTGTTCATCTATTCCTCTATGCTTCCGCTCTTTCCTGTCCGTGGGCTCTCAGCAGCACAGGTACAGATATTCTAAAAATCTGTTGAGATTCAAGACTGCGTATCCCGAGTCTCGGGACGATCCTCATCTATCTCAAGGAATATTGCATCTTAGATCGAAGATGCTGTGGCGCGGAGGCCCGTCGTACGGTCCGTGCCGTCACCTGCTTGCCAAGATGATGGTGTGGGTTGGTGGCTGACCTTCGCAGGGAATTTGATGGACGGGTTCGCTCTCCGATGGATGATGGTGAGATTGGGAAAATGATTTATCTTTTGTCACTTTGAGGTCAAGAAGAGATCGATTGATCGATTATATTCATTCACGTTAAGAACTAGATGTTGTTCATCAGAACTCCGTCCATCCATGCTGCTAGCTTGTTGTGTATCCTACGGCCCTATCCCTAACGCCCGTCTCGAAAAGGGGTATCGAATCCTCTCTCTTGCTCTTTCATTCCCAAACATGAACCCATAATTCAAATATCAATTTTAGCAGCACCGCATGACCTCAGTAGGCTTCCCTCGCTATTTCCAGCTCACGGTCTTCTTCTCGACCTTGACCAGTAATAGGCCCGCGGTCGCCTGGCCCTTTGCATCCAAGAGGTACACGAATCTGTAGCCCTGCTGCAAGCGATCAAGGCGGATGCAGGCCCATGCGGCAAGGTTATCCTTTGCATATCGAGCGTCTTCGATTTTGAACCTGGTACTCGGAGTCAGTTGAGATGGATGTAACCTTGAGAAAAGTATGTTGTGTTTTGTGACCTTGCAGAGATATATTGATATGTTCTACGAAAATGCATAGCGGGTAAAAAGTGGGATGCGACTTGGCCCATGTTCGGGAGCTGCAGGGAGCAAACATCTCAAGGAGACTGAAGGACGCCGCTTTGGTTTGCGCAACATGGAATAGATTAACAGAGTTTGAGGCCAAAGGGTTAACGGTAACATCCGGCACTTTGAACTCAAAGTGGCGTGAAAACTAGAAGGTCTATACTCTCCCCCCCCTAATTACTTGTAATAGTGGACCCCCTGGTCTCCCATAGAAAATAGCCCTACGACCAGGGGGCCCACTATTACAAGTAATTAGGGGGGGGGGGAGAGTAAAGTGGCGTGGAAATTGTTCGCAAGGAATGTGTACGTAGAAGTCTTCTTTGCGAACAGATCCTCGTCCTACCAGGCCCGTGCAACGGCATTACAAACAGGGATATTCGGAGAGCAGAGAAGTAAGATGTTGTGGAACATAGACTAACCTCACGAAGCTTAGCTCTTCCACCACCTTGTTCATCGTGGGAAAAACTAGTGCACATCCTTCAGGACCAAAATCTGGGTGGTCGCCTTTCTGGTAGCCAGTCTGCTGCTTCCTGGATTTGGCGGTCTCGCTACTGCTCTCTTGTTCCTTCTCAACATGCAGCTCGCATCTGATGTACGGATTGAAGCCGCTCAATGTCTGGTGTGGAGGCATGGGAAGGTGCTGACCGCCAAAGATCGTGATCTTGAGATCGAGCGTCTTGTACTGGATTGGCTCTGTATGGTCGCTGCGGTAGCCCGGCGGCTTCAAGACCCATCCATGCTCACCGGCAAACATACCTTCGTTGAGCATCATGCCCATGTCGAGATTTTGCCAGTTGAGAGCGACCATCTGCACGCCTTTGCGCCAGAAAATGGATGGATCGAGATTTGAGGAATCGATCCGATAACTTGCGGGGTAAGCTCGCATGAAGAAATCGCGATTGTGGGAGAACATTTCGTCTTTTCTCGTATCATGTAGGTCTAGGATTTGGCTTTCGCCGATGGAGAAGATATGTGGCGGTTTCTTGGCCGATTTTGCTTCGAAGCTGACGAAGTGTTCACTGTGAGTGTAAACTCCCAAATTGCTTAAATTTTCACAGATCTTCACTTTCTTCTTGCCGCTAGTACTGCCTCGTTCGTCCTCCGATCCAGAATGTATCGAATCAGTGTCTCTGGTCGGAATTGGTGCCAGAGAACTTGATGGCGTGAGTTCCTGCTTGTCCAACGGCACTGAGGGAGCTTTCTTGACTTTGACGAGAATCTTGTTGAGCAGTTCTCCGAGTCGGGGTAATCTTTCATCAGGATTGCAGTCTTCGTTTGGCATCTCTACCAACAGGCCCTTCCATTCTTCTTTCATGATTTCGACCATGACCTCCTGCTGCTCTGCATCTGCGTGTACCTCCAGACTCACGATGATTGGCAATTTGCTTGTTGCAAATCCAGTCTCTCGTATAGTTTTGCAGACAGCCCGGAAACCAATTGGAGCTGTCAAAGTCCACCCATGTAAAACAAGCGGTTCTCCATTCATCAATGACCGTACTGACTCCTGTCGTTCGATAGAGTTCCCAACTTCCAACGAATCGGTTTTCCTCCCTCGATCCTCACTGTCCGTCTTTGAGCGATGTTTTCGAAGACCAGCCTTTTGTGCAATTGCGCCCTTCACCGCGTCATATTTTTCCTCGGCCTTCTCGAAGGCTGCGGCAGCTCGGCTTGACAGTGTGCTGCCGGAAAGATGTCGTTTGTGTTCGGGCTTATGGGCTGGTCCTGGTGATCTCGATGAACTTGAGGGGGAGAGACTATCGGACTTGCTATCTGGGCTCTCCCCATTGTGTACATCAATCTCAATGCATCGACATCCTCGAATTAAGACCTGCGACTTATTAGCAATTGAGAATCTGCGATTGGTATAAATACTGACATTCTTGTATGCTTCGGTTGAACTTTTGGAGGAAAGTTGATTGCCCGAAAGGTACGTATTGTGACTGCTACTGATGAAGTAGTTGCTGAGAGGTCTGGTCAAGTCTTTGTCGTTGGGGTGGACATCTTTCACGGCCTCAAATCCCTCGCTGTGGTATATAGCCTCCAAGAACTGCTCAAACTTGTATTCTTCTCGGCTGAGATCTCCAATGGGTTGGTCCTGTGTGGTAGATAGCCATGCTTCAAACTTGGCTCGTGACAAAGTGGGCTCTGTTCCCCGCAGACCATCGTAGACTCTCCGCACATGGTCTTGGATCGCATTACTTAGATACAATTGATGCAATGGAACTTCCGATGAAGCGTCTCCTCCTCCTGCTTGTACGAGAGGTCGCACATGTGTCTGGTGTGTAGGAGATATTAGGGTCGACATGGCCATAAGTTTGTGAAGGGAGAACTGCTTGGCAGCAGGAGTGAAGCCCGGCATCGTGTGCTAGGAAGCGGTCTTAAAGGACTATTGCATTCCATGTTAGTGACTGGTGACATACATCGCCCCACGCAGAAACAGGAATGCTGTTTCGCTGACACTGAATCCGTTTGCAAGGCAGCTGCTGATCGGCGTCTGAGATAGGCTGGACTGGGGATTGCTGGTACAGTGCAGGAAAGTGGACTCACCGTCGCACGAACTTCGAGGCCAAAGTCATGAGGAAGAGCAGTGCCGAATGCTTTTGAAGAGCAGTTCAGATGCTTCTCATGAAATCTGGGAAGACGGTCGAGAGGAGAAATGCGACGGTCTGCACTTGGAGTTAGTCAGGGCCAGCAGGGCGAGGCTTTCAGCTGCTATCCGCAATCTGACAAGCTCGTTGGTGTTGGGGGCTGGAATTCTGGGTGGTTGAGCGTGGCGGATTCGGTTCCAGAGACCGTTTCATCTGCCAGCAACAGAAGAGAGAGCATATCGTCCATTATATAGAATCTATACGGGCGGCAGAGAAAATGGAGAGGAGGATATTCGTTGGGCGATGGAGGTTCAAAACAACACTTGAATCATTCCGGGCACATGTTGGGCTTCCAGAGCTTGGAACCGCGGGGCAGTCGGCGGGGAGGCCCGACCCGACATTTTGCCGTTGGCTGATTGACTTTCTGGACATCAAGACCGTCATGTTTTCTCTACTCTCTTTTCTTACTCTTCTCCAGCAATTTACAACAATCAACCGCAGTACTGGCCAATATGGCAGCCAAATCACAACGAGCATCAGAACAAGAAGTTCGCTCGTGGGGATTCCCCCACGTCTTTACTTGGACTGATGGACCGTAAGTCAACCTTGTCATACTCTGCAGCCTTGCAAGCAGTCAGGCTGACGATTTGCCACAGGAACGCCTACTACAGTCCACACTCTCACCGCGGCCTGACAACACACCTCATTCTCAAAGGCCAGTTAACCATTACCTTTCCTAAGGGCGAGACCCCCGAGAAGAAGACTTATACTGTTGGCGACCGAGTGGATGTAGAAGCAGGACGAGTCCACGAAGTCTGGATGGGTTCAGAAGGCTGTACATACGTTATTGGAGAATGAAGTCTTGATTTCGAACCACTGCAGAAGAAATTCATCCATATCAGATCAACTGAGTTGCCGCTGCCCTCGCACCCACCAGGCGGGACTCTTCGAGAAAATCTCCAGCATAGCCTGAACACGGCACAAGGACAACATACTTGAAGCCTCACACAGAGCCTCTGGCAGACTTTATATAGGAGAAAATCGACGAGGACACCGCGGTGGTAGCTGGAACACCACATCTTACGTATTGTCGGATTTTCCTCACTCCGACATCACGAGTAGTCCTCGAGTCCCTAAGGTATAGCACGCCGAAATATCATCTTTCACATCGCAGTTTTGCATTGCATACAAGTTGGCATTGCTGTACTCTCAATCTGAAGTTACTTCATATTGTGTCGCTTTACGGCGAGAAAGCGCAGGCTGTAGCATGCTAAGAAGTACAAACACCAAGAATCCATTTCGCCAACGACGTATTAAAATTCATGCTTGCATCCTCAAGTCCAACTTCATTAAACCTGCTTTCGAAGAGTCCCCAGCCTCAATCAAAACTTCCTTGTCGGATTCGCCAGTTCTTTCCGATTTCTATGCATCAGCATTTCTTTCACCTCCTCCGGTAGCAAGTTGATCTCGAAATTATTCTTCCCTGGGATCTCTTTGATAATGTGTTCCTTGATCTCAATTGAGTTTTCCAACGGAAATGAGCCAAACCAGGTCTTTTGGGCTTCAACCTTGGGTCTCACCCATCTAGCACCATCCCCGATGGTTGATCTGTCGACGAAAGTCCACTTCGGAGTCTTCCTTTCGAATAGGGGATTTCGTGCACCGAGCGACCTTGGATAGTAATTGTATTCTTTAGTCTCGATCCGCAACTGGACACACGGATGCATCCGCTCCACGGTGCTGTTATCCTTTTCTGGGTCGGGTTCCTCCTTCGTGAGCTCTCCGTGGTGATAGGAACCGGGTGTTCGATGGTGCGAGCCTCCACCTATATCAGTTGAGTAGAAAGAGGTAATTGGGTCTGCTGTCATTTCTGCAGACCACGGTATCTTCGGCTCCATCTTTGGCAGGGTAAGACTGGCTGCTTCAAGATCGAAAGACACCAAACCATCGATCTGGTCGCACATCCATGCCAATGAATGCTGATCAATGTTGCGTTGATCTGCAGTTCCTGAAGTGTACCACCCTCCTCCGATATCACAGTGATATCCCGGGAACCAACATTGGCGTAAATCGACTTCGCTGTGAAGCTGTCAGCGCCTTATTGAGTTGGTTAAGGAAGGAACCTACCCTTTGAAGTCAGGCTCCAAGTACCACAAGGTAGGAGTGAAAGCTCCTCGATGTTCATCGAGCGCAAGGGCCTGAAAAGCGTGCTTGATACCTGTCCCTATGTCAACAGTGTCCCACGACTGGATTTATCTAGGATGCTTGACCTACTTCCATTAAGTGCGGTGTTGTAGAATTGGAGACCCTTGTTAAGATTGAACATCTTGGTCCAGATGCTCTCAGGAAGGCCCAAACTTCCCACCGTATCCCAGACTCCGACAACTTCGATGCTCACCTTTGCTGGAGCGGTCTTCAAAGCTCTCAATGGCTTGCCCTGGGCATTCAATTTGCTCTTCGTCCACTCTTTCAATTCATCGCTCTCGCTATCAGGTCCAAAGACAATAGTGTCATGATGCGTTTTGAAATACTTGTACAGCCACGGGAAGTGCTCCAAGTCGACAGGCTTGAGCATTCCCATTTGTGTTACGGTCCATGCTAAGGCTCGAGCGGTGTATGCGCCTCGAGAGAAACCGAAGACACAGATTTCGTCGCCTGGATACCAGTTCGTGGCGATGAAATGGTATGCTTCAATGATATGTTCTTCGAGGCCATCACCGAAAGCACCTAGATTTTCGAGCCACTTTAGTAATAGATCAAGATAGATTTTGAAGGGGTTCTTACCTTGGATTCTCTTTTCGAAGAATCCTACGTCTCCACTGGCGACACCGGCTTGGTAGAATACAACTTGGTCAATGGATTCTCCGCTGGCGGTCTTTCCAACGGGAGCGATCATTCGGCTGAGCTTGGCTACATTGGAAGGGTAGCCTGGTGTTCCATTATCCGAGGCTTGCCACGTCCCATCACAGCACACGATAATTCTCTTCGGCATAGTGACTGCGAGGTGGAAAAAATCTCAATTGACAAGATTTGCGGCGATGACAATGCACAATTCAACAATTGATTGCCTGCCTGCTTGCTGCTTGTTTGTTAATTGACAGGAAAAGAGCTAGCAGAGAAGGGAGGTAGGGTAGCTCCCTCACATATGACACCCCGAACTTCCTTCCTTTCCACCCATCAATTCCCACTAAGACAGACAAGACAACTCACGCATGTGCAGCTTAGAAACAACAACCATTCGAAAGACGCACGATGCAGTGATCAACCCAATGTAAGACATCTGGTACGGGCCGGGCTTAGGTGCGGGGCTCACCTTTCGAACGGGGCGCTCCGAATCCTGCTCCATTGGCGAGATTGCCAACACAGCATTGAGGTTACCGGGAGATTACTGGGTAGGGCGCACGATCGGCGGAAATGAGGCTGGAGCTGAGATGCAAGGTGAGGAACACAAGAGTGAGCTCGTGATGTGCGGGTGTGAGTTTTTGGTGGTTTGTGGAGGAGAGGGCGGGAGCTGAATTATCTTGGAGTTGGGCTGAGGTCAGCATTATTCTGCTGAGGTTCGGTTGGAGAATTGCGTCGTTACCGTTTAATCATCCTGGCCTTCCCTTTCTCACGGAGAACTCTGCTGGAAGGCATACGGTTTGAATGTGACGCATCTGAAGATCAACATTCTTTACTTATGCATAGTATTCACATGAGACCTTCAAATCAGACCTAGTAGTTTTTTGTCTCTGTCTCTTTTTCTTTTTTTCCTGTGTCACGTCCTGGCTTGAGATCTCATTTGCTCGTCTTATGCATCGCTCGCTGGCGCAAATCAGATTCTTTCGTTTGATGCATTTCCTGAATGCTGTGCGTTGAATGGATTGTTGGTTCTTTTGGTCTTGTCTGAAGAAAGGAAGTCGTGAGTATGTTTCCTGGAGTGATCGCAGGCGAGGGGAAACGTACGAGATGGCAAAAATGTCACGATTCAAAGCGTGTGGGAATGAGCTATCTCAACTGAATCAGCGCTGGAACAATGTTCGTCTGCTTTTTTCAATTGGTATCTTCGCTTGCAGAATCTGGTTCGGGTGCTTCAATGCAGCAAAAGTACTTCGTAGATATACTTCGGCCTCGAGAAGTAAGGGTAAGTTTGCGAAGGGCGATGCAAGATGCTGGCCCAGTATTTCCGATAGATTCTTTCTTAATATAAATTATCTGTGCCAAATAAGTATGCGTCCCAGACAATGTACAGATCCTTCACTCTTATATTCATGCTGGAGACATGATCTTTTGTGAGATATGGCAGTGCCATCGTAGCTGTTCGGTGAATGCCGTTTTCACTAGCAACGTCCGGATGATCTTCCATGAAAAGAGATTTGCATATCATCCAATTTAAGCTTTCATCTAGTAATGCTCTTCAATTAAATCGCGTACTGCTTCCCCTAGTGCCGTAGACACGGCTCTGCGGCGCAACGATACAAAACTACCGGGCCGGTGCGGACATCGCGGATTTTGCAAGGTGCCGGAGTCCTTCAACATTCCGCCAGCGGCACAGCTGCCCACTCGGATCTTTGCTGAACCAATGAAAAGCGAGAGGTAGAGCTTCATTGGATCGCGATATACAAAGTTGTTCGGTCTTGTCCATTGACCGAATGTTGGCTCTACGGCACAATGCGAGTCCGTGACGCTTTATACATAAATAGAAATTCACTGCAATGGTTTCCCTATATATATCATTCACCCTCTGCTTCAGTCCTGATCAAATACAACCACTTCACTCAGCAAACAAACCAAAACAACACATACTCTGCTCCTCAAAGCTTCAAGTTCAAATCTTCCCACTCAAAACTTTCTCCCAAAACAAACCTCAAAATGGCCTTCCAATACCCAACAGCCAAAGTCCACATCACCCAAAACGCCCCAGATGGAACCGCAACCCTCATCCCCAACTCCACAGTTCCCCACCCAAGCCAACCCCTCGGCCCAACCCACCAAGTAACATTCATCTACTCCACTCCCCCGGGCCCCTTCTCCACCTCCACCAACGCAGACCTCGACTTCTACACCAAGACCGCCTCCGCCAAACCCCTTGGCGTCTTTCCCGCTGAGGGCGGCTCCGGTTGTGTTATTCTGGACTTTGCCCCGAGTAATGGTGAAGAGAAGAGTTTCATCCATAAGACGACCACGGTGGATTATCTAGTTGTATTAGAGGGGACGTTGGAGTTGGAGTTGCTTGGGGGAACGAAGAAGGTGGTGAGCAAGGGGGAGGTGGTTGTTCAGAGGGAGTGTCAGCATAGGTATGTCTTTTGCTTTTTATTTTGAAGAAGTTGAGATTGGGGGAGAGATGATGTGCTGAGTTAGTGAGAGTATATACTAACTTGGGATTAGTTGGAAGAACGTTAGTACGACGGAGGGGGCGAGGATTATGGCTGTTGCGGTGGGGGCACAGGGTGCTGTGCATGGGAAGATGGAGATTTATGGTCAGTGAGGTTGCTGATGGATGGTTTGAGGGTTTGATAGAGATGTCTTTGTACTCTGCTCCGCTCTTTTGAAATTGAAGTTATCGTTGCTTTGGCTATGCCTCCTTTGAATTAGCCTCCAGGATTGCGTTGGCACTAGTGTGCAATCATATTCTCTTCAACTTTATGATCTACTGCTCTTCAAGCTAGCCTCATCTTCTTGGTGCAGCATTCATTCTCGCCAGTCCCTTGTTCAAAGTACTAAGTACTCAGGACAATGTCACTCCTTGTCATGGAGAACTTCCAATAAGCCCTGATTGAAGTGGGTATCCTTGAATGTCTGTCTATTCAAGCATGATTACGAAATACTTACTTTTCAAAGAATTTATTTTTGAGAGTCCCTCGATGTTTCAGGCTTGAGGCGTGCAAGTTGCGCAGATCGCGCACATCGCACAAATCGCGCTAATTGCGCAGCCAGCGCAGCCAGCGCAACTTGCAATCTAGAAATAAATGTTCCCGTTCGTTTCTCGGAATATGTCTTCTCATTTTTTCCCATGCTATCAGGGACAATTGTTATCTTTCGGAAGTCGTGCAGCAATTGTATTGAGTCAATGCATGTCTCATACATCAGGGAGAGCTGGCGGCCCTACTTGTCGTTGTTTCCGTCATTGCGAATACTCTCCTCTCAAATTTCCCTTCCAACGCCTCATAAAAATTCAATTCAATGTTCCAACAAGTCTGGAACAATATGTACACGTCCCATATTCGTTTCTCAAAACTGCATCAAAATATGGGCCCTAATTAATCGCTTCCAAACTTTGGACCCCACATGCTATTCGTCAGTCCACAATCAAATACCCTCTCGACTATCAAGGTAGAAGACTTGCAATTTTCTTTACTCCTGTGGAAAGAATACGATACTCTTAATAATTCGCATTCCTGACAAAGTCCGATCGATATACACACCAAGATGGAAGAACCACCACCTTCACTACACCATGGACTGCCCACTTCCGCATACGTATCGGTCGCCCTCTTTCTATTTCTTATAGCTATGGTCTTTGTGTACGGATTCTATGAGCAGAGGCAGAGGATAAGACGATACGAAGAGGGCCAGGCTGCGAGAGATGAAGAACGATGCGAACCTCGCGGGTATTGGAGAGGCGCTGTTGTGCCAATTCCGATGTTGGTATTCGTACCTAGAGATGCGCTCTGAATTGCTGCGCTCCAACACCCCGGTGTCAGAAAGGATGGAATAGGGTGGTCAAGGGTGGTGGTTCATCTGTACGTAGAGGGCAGGCGCGGCCGAGTTTGGAAGCACAGTTTGGGTGAGTGAAGGATCAGGACAAATAAAGGAAGACTTTGGACTTGCTAATACATTATAGTCTAACCTATACCTTAACCCAAATAATCTTCGAGAAAATGAAAGAGGCAACTTAGCTCCCTTTCCGCATTCAAGCACGGCGATGGCTAGTCCATAACGGTGATATTCTCCTTGTCCATCCTTCTAGGTCAAGCAGTACATCACTATTGAATAAGATACCTTTTAAATTTTTAATCGTCCTAGCTTTTTTAGAGAGCACGGCATTTTCAGAATAGTTGGATGACAGCGCAAAGTTTGAACATATCGCATCAGAGAAGATTTCTAGTATTCAAGATCTGGAGAATTCAAAGACAGTCCTCTAATTTTTTAGGCTGTTCTAAGATAGACTCGTTAAAGGTAACAAGTAAATTGAAATTCAACATTCAAAATCAAATATCGTTACCCATTTCCCGCTCTTTCGACGTCCCGACCAACTGATATCATACCCAATATCTTTAAGATCCTCTGTCTTTAGTAATTAGTAGCCGGTCCTATAGGACTGTACTTGTATCCCGGAAACTGATTAAACAATCCCGTACTCTGTCCTTGAATCTGCGGACAATTCAACCCGCCAACAATCGGACCAAAATACTATTTCACACCATCAGCAACAGCCCGACCACAGCCAATGGAGACACATACCTGATTAATCAAACTCGTCACAGCCGACATCGAATTCAGCGTATTGCTCAAGAAATCGGGAATCCCTTCCTGCAAGACCGAGAATGAGAAACAAGCAAGATTATCGCCCTGGAACAAATCTTGCGCGTCGTAAACGCCTCCGCTGAGGTTCGCGACGTTGAGACCGACGAAAGAGTTGGGAGTTCCTGTGTTGCCGCCGAATTTCAAAGTATTGGGGTATGCTGCGTATCCGATTCCGACGTCGAGGAAGACGTCTTGAGCGGTGTATTGGTTGGATGTTGGGCGTCGGTACTTTATTTTCAAGTTGGTAAGTGAGATACTCTACGAAAGCAGATGGGTGACGAGGACTTACCCATTGATCTGGCACACGTTCTTGGCCACGTTGCCAGACGAAACTACCTGGTTGACCGGTGACGCCGAAGAAGCTCTTGAAGTTGTAGCCATCTAGGCAACCGCTTGGCTCTTGAGCTGTATGGTTGGACATGAAGTTGATGACGAAGTTGTACGCAGCAGGTACGACAACGACTGTAGAGAACGCTCCTGTGAAGTAGTATGGATTGTTGGCAATGGACTCGTCTTGGACCGTTTCGAAGCGAGCACGGAATTTGTCGAGGGTGTAGCGGTCTTCTGCGCCGCCAACGGCGTAGACTTGTTCGAATTTTGTGATGTTGAGGGAGTGAGCATCTCCATTGTTGAGATAGGCATCATTGCGTCCGATCGAGGCATCGCCCTGAGATTTGTTAGAAAGGTTCCGTAGAGGGATTGGGGATGATGGACCTCATAAGCGTTGTGGCTGTATGAAATACCTTGACCGTCGCCGAGCAAGCTACCGAGAAGGGGATCTGAAGGGAGTGGTCCACCTATTGACCACACACCTTCGACAACATTGCCATCAGTAGCGACAGCGTACGCAGCGAGAGCAGCACCCAAGACAGGATTCATATTGTAGAGAGCCTCCAGGCCGGCAGCGGTCTGCTCAATCGTGGCGATACTGAAAACTTGTCAGTGATTGCTGCCTTTGAAAGTCGCATTAGTGTGGTATACCCGTTTCGAGGCAAATATCCATGATTTGCAGCGGCATTGAGTCCTGGGCATGGACCACGGATATCAGACACTGCTGGAGACTGCCAAACGTACTCGCCAGTCACAGAAACGAGTTGGTCTTGAGCGTCAAAGACGGTGCATGGAGTCGGACTATACCATTCAGTTCATACTACAAGAAAATCAGATTTCAAAAATACTTGCCCACAGTTGGTCTCAGCAGCGCTGATACCAAGAGGATCCGAGACTTGTCGAGGAGCTTCTTTTTGGTATTTATCGAGGAGGTCTCGGGCAAGATTGGCAGCTTCTGGAGTATCCATAACAGGAAAAGCACAAACAGAACTCACAAGAGTTGCTAGAATGAAAGAAATCTTCATGGTGACTGATTTGAGTATGACAGCAAAAGAAGAAAATGAGTAGTCAGTCTTGAAAGATGTCAACAACCCTCAGATAGACAAATGAAGCTTTATATATTCTCATTCTTGTGTGCTTCTTGAGATCCTGTGACGACTCTTGATTTCCGGTTACACGATCATCGTTGTTGTCAACATGAGCTACAATTACGACTTCGACACTACATGGAATGTTTTTTGTTTTGTCCTTCAAAGTAGAAATCAAAATCGCTCAACAATGCTGGATTTGACAATGATCGTCACGGATGAGTGAAAGAAAGCCTTGAACATAGACCCAATATCAGCCACATTCTTTAAGTGCAGATACTCAGCACAATTTCCTCGCAAGCTCTATGAAAGCAAGATTTATTCATTGTAACAAACGAGCTTGGAGCAAATCATAGTGGAGATACAATGGCTTGATATCAAATGAAGTAAGTGGCATTTGAATTTCGTGCATAAGGGAAGAGGATATCCGAACATCCCATCTAACGCAAAAGAAAAGATCGGCACATATGGCTTCCACAACTTGCTTCAGTGGATAGCTCTGCACTGATGAGAGACTAAGCCTCGATCAGACTACCATCGAGGATTGCCCGCTTTCTAATGGGAAAACCCCATACCCTGACCGTCAACTAACTATATTCAAGTGTTCTTGCCTCGGAACATGGCTGAGCCGTGAGAGGAGATTAACACTAGTCAATAAGCCTCTGCCGGGGACTACCCGCTCCAGTATGGGGAACCAATAGATTCTACTATGATACCAATAACATGAATTGATAGGAAAGTTGCGTGCTCGCTACGAGAAGTAAAACGAATAAGTTTCACCTCCCAGCGCTGATGGCCACTTGAATATAACGCCACTCTTTGTTCACAGTTAATAAACAACTCAAATCCCAGATTCAGATTACATTCCGATACAGAGATCAACAGCAAAAGAAGGATGTAAAGAGAGTAGCAGATGCATTGCTTGACATCATGGAAAGCTGGGATGCTAGGCTAAATATAGTATCTACAAGTGAGTTGATGGCGAAGAACCACCTATTCCAACACCCAAACCCCATCTCATCCCATCTCTCCCACACTATCTCCTCCTTTATGCACGGCGATCATCCAAACCCGCACCCACACCAAACTTAACCTTAAGACTAGCATGCCGCTCGATCTGATCCAGGCACCGGGTTATGTGCGTGTGCTGCTTTTCGTGCTCTCGGTATATAATGGCGACATATGCATTGCCGATCTTTTTTCTACATTTTCCTCTTTCAGCTGTGCGGGATTTAGGATGTCGAATGAGGAGGCGTAAGCCTGTGAGATCATAGCAGCTAGTCCAGTCACTTAGGGGTACAAGGCTGGATGTCCGGCGGTTGGAAATATGGTTTTGGTGAGAGGTGGATCTTGGTAGAGTAGGACAGTCGAGGGAGGAATTAAGACACAATATCTAGTTTTGTTCCGTACTTCAGGAGAAGGTTGCAAGATGATGCTCAAGATAATTAGAAAAGCTCGAGCTAGAGTTACATACTCATGGAATTGAGAATGCTGAACGAAAGTAAAGTTTGCCTCTATGTCTAGTCTTGAGAAAACTATGCTCATCCTCATGTAACCTCTAAGCTCTCCGCCGCCAACCCATTCCTTTTCTACATCACGATAGCCGATATCTAAGAATCACTCTCCTCCTTCAATCCAAACGCCGCAGTTTTACTAACACCAACTTCCTTCTCCTTAACCCCAATATCAGACTCATCGTATTGTTGGACATGACGATGGTGATCAAACTCATCACCGTGCTTTTCCGAGGCTCTCTTGCCTCCAAAGAGGTCTCTCGCCCAGGACCAAAGAAGATGTCTTCCCTCGATAATGGGGAAGATAGTGACGCTGAAGAAAGAGAAAAAGGCCCAGAGGAGCGATACGATGACCCATCCCGTGAAGAACTTCTTCGAGAACTGGTACGCGGTGCCGTACAGACTGTTTACCAAGTTAGTATATATGAAAACCATCATCCCAGGTATTCCAGCAGTAGGATTCGCCCAAGAAGAAGAGAGGAAAAGAGAAAGACGTACGTCAAAGGCCAAATGATAAACAAAGCCAAGAACAAGAACAATGTGATAGCACGGGCAACATAAGCTGCTTTTCGAAGACGTTCCGGATCATAAGTTGGATCGGCATATGCGACGTCGCGATCATTTCCTTCGTCATCGACCAAGCGAATCGCCGCCAGGGACTCCCATGAATAATTGGTGTTTTCGAAGATAGATACTACTATGGTGACGACCGCTGCTGCACCGATACCTGCGATGCAGCCGTAGAGACAAGGATCTGTGGCACCGACTGAGGCGATGCTGACTTCTCCAGAGAAACGTTGGGCGAGGTTGAGCTGGTGTGGGATTAGTTGATGTAAATTTTCTTGGCCAGAGAGATAGCGAGAGTGAGCGTACCCAGGTTATTACAGCGGCAAAGAAGCCGGTCCAGATTGAGGCCGTGGCTGCTACAGCCCCTTGCCGCGAGGAAAAGAAGGTCCCGACTAGAGCGGGAAGTGCTGAGCCCGTAAAAATACCAGTCATATTCTATGAGGAGAAAACTATCAGTACTTAGGAGAGGAACTTTGTGGTAGCAAACTCACGTAGATGAATCCCAGATCAATATTTATACCGTGAAGCATTGTGGCGAAGGCGGCCATGAATATTGCAAAGCCCGCAACGCACCAATGTCCGGCGCGGAGAACTTGACTATCAGTAGCTTTTGGATTGATGTCTAAGAAAAGTCTGTCAGGAGACTGGCGGTTGAAAGCGGATTTGATGGAAAGCCTTACAGGTCTTGTAGACATCGTAGGAAAGAACGGTAGAGACACCAATCATGACACTGGATATAGCACTGGTGCAACTCATGAACATGAGTACGAGGACTACACACGAGCTTATGTTAGATAACATAACTTATGCCGAGAACGAGGAGAGGAAGTGGCAACTCACCAGCACCGGCACCGCCTTTACCAGCAATCGTTTGAGCAGCAAAAGGTAAAGCCAAGCCGGCACCGATTTCCTGGGTGTTCATTCTTCTGGGGTACGTGGGGAACGCAGGTGTATTTTCGAGCGCCACAGCTAGAATGCCCATTGTGGTAGCCAAGGTGAAAGGCATTGCGTACCAAGCCAGCCCTCCGAGAACATACCCGGGGATAGCAGATGCCGGATCGGCTGCAATACCTTTTTGGTGGAAAGAATTGTCTAGGAAGACGACACCAGTGTACTCGAGAATACTGAGGATGGCGAATTTGAGGGCGCCTAAGGACCGGATACTCAGGTAACTTCCATCCTTGGTGGGTGCTGAATAGTTGTTCCGCTTCGCGGCTTCGATGAGGAGGTCCCACATCTTTCCTGGGGAGCCGATTTGAGTCCCACTAGCGTAGACTTTGAACCAGAAGATCAGAATTATGATCAAAATGATAGCGGTGTGAATCTAGATTCCTTTAGATACTTTTTTATTCTGGAGACGACAAAGGAAACTCACGTAGTCGGTCAAAATCGTAGCTCTCAACCCACCCCGCATAGTATACGCCGAGACACTGAGAGGCAGTAGCCAAAGACTGGCATAAACACTCATCCCCGTCAACGAGTTGATTGCAGCTGCTCCACCAATCAAGATAGATGACACAACCAAGATGTTGGAAGCTAAACTAAAAAACATGAACGAGAAATGCGCGATGGTCCCATAACGCACACGGATGATCTCCAGAAATGTACGGGCATTAGGTGCCTTTCTTTTGCATTGCTGAAAGTGATCAGCCCTGGCCTGGAAAGCGGATTCGGTCGCCGACTTACAATCGCCAAATTGCTGAAGATCATAATTTGCGTGCTGTTACAGGCAGCGTAGAAGAATGAGCCGGCGACACCATATTCATAGGCCACGGTGACAGAAGAAAGAAGAGTTGTGCTCCATGTCCACGAAGATGTGACTCCGGCGGCTGTTAAGCCCGTCCCAAGAGATCTCTTTGCAACTGTACATCATCAGCAGTTGCTCGATGATCGACAGGAGTGGGTAGTTTCGAAAAGGTATAAGAACGCTTGATGATACATACCAGTGAACTCTTCAGAATTTTCGACGTTGCCTCGTCTCTTCATGACCTCGGTGACACCAATCATTCCCAGGGCGAAGAGCGCCCCAAGACCAACAACTACTCCATACCCAGCCCCCTAAAAATAAATTGAGGATTAACTTCGTTCAGTGCATACCAGGAACCCGCGGGCCATGGACTTGAGTTCACCTACTTGCGATAAGGGGACGGCTGCAGCGGTGTCAGCCATACGAGCGAGATCTGGATCTTCGTTCTGTAAATGACAAAATAGATAGAACCAAGAATGGGGGTCTGAAATCACGGGGGAGGAGCTGTACAAGATGACTCAAAGCAGCGAAGTGAAATACATATAAAGTGAGAAGTGCACAAGAGGGAAAGCAAGTGAGAACGATGAAAGATCCTGACAAGCGAAAGTTCGAAATCACGCAAGACTCCTAGTCCTGCCTAGTTAACGACATTTCAGCCACACAGTAGCAAGATGCCAGAACCAAGGAAGAGTCCAGGAACATGAATCTAGATCCCCATCTAGAAGCCTACTGCCGAGGACCCCCATCCACATTTCACTGCCCGTGAGCTCGGGTAGCACGAGCGTGAGCAAATAAAGATGTTTCCTGCAAGTGAATTGCAGGGACAAATGCAGAGATCGCAGATTGAGTGCAGAGAGATTGCAGATCTTGGCTACAACTGGTTGTGCGTGGACCCGGGACTCTGGATGTTGTATGTTTAGGTGTTATCACGCCATAGATAGAGGCCCGGTCGTCGGGTTAAGCCGTTTGTTGTCAAGTATTTGAAAGTTTCTTTTGATATTTTGTGAAGTAATTATTGGTGCACTCGTTGATTCTGGAGTGAAGATTTTCCATAAATGTATGCATAATCAAGGATGAAAGGGTGGGAAAGGAGCACCACTTGGCTTTAAAAAGTGCAGTAGAAGTGGAGCGAATACACCCAGCTCTCTGAATGGTCGATACCCCTGCTAGTGTCACTTGACAATAAAATTGTTAACTATTCCTCCAAGCGGGATATAATAAGTCCAGAGCCTTGTCACAATATCAAATATAGAATATAGATTCTCTTGATACACAGACATACACACGTCAATAACTTAATACATAAAAATGCGCTATGTAGGTATCGATTTAGCCACCTTGACAGTCGCCCCACCTCACCCAATTGCACTCCCCTTATTGCGCTTCGCTCAATGCCACGACGAAGCAGACGCAACAACAAATTAAGATTTCTTCCCTATACCGTGACCTGCTTCTCGGGGTGGCCCACGGGAAGAACGTCCTCGATAGTCTCGTCCGTGCCCTTGAGATCCGCCTCGACGGGTACGTGATCTTGGATCCTGGTCAAAATGAGAGGAGCGGCAACCACGAGTGAGACGGCGAGGAGGACCCAGTTGCTGATGAACTCCTTCTTATAGGAGAGGTGGCGGGCGTCGAGGTTGTTGACCACAGCGGCGCCGACAGACTGGATGCCTTTGTAGAAGCCGACGAAGTTGGCAGAGCGGCGGCCCGAGTTCGACAGAGCGCCCATGAACCTGTTTATTGAGTAAGCAAAAAGCGTCAGAAATCTGAAGGATGTAATAATTACCAGTAAACGGTTGCTTGCCACGCAGCGTCATAGGCGCCGTAGAACATGTACAGGAACATGGGTCCGACGTAGCCGGAATCGCTCCAGTCCAGGGGAACCCAATTCGGGTTGGTCTTAAGTGCATTTCCAGATGAATCGAAATCCTGGTTCACATCGAAACGGGTGTATCCCTTTTCAAAGTCGTAGCCACCGCCCCAGATGACCATGGTGAGGACGAAGAGAACACCTAGAGCAATCTTTGCTCTGAGGGAGCGGCGGACGCCCTGGATGTCGAGAGCGTATCCCCAGATGGCGGCCGCGATGATCTGAGAGAGCCAGTACAGCATACTGTTTAGCGCTCTAGTACGAGTGTTGAAGTACGCCCCGTTGACGGCATTCTGCTGATACACGTAGAACCAGTTGGAGACGAAGAACATGGGGAATAGGAGAACGATGAGTGGTTCAAACTTGGCAGTTTCTACGAGACCCCACAGCTCACTCTGCCAGCTGGGATTCTTCATCAAGATGACGCGCGAGCCATCCTCTCGAATAATGTCCGAGGCGTTGGCTAGTAGCAGGGCCAGGACGGCACCGAAGAACATGAGGATAATAAATGCGATATAAGTCCCGTCAGTGACGGTGGCAGCAGTCTTGACGTTAATGTTCGTGCCTAAGGCGATCTGGATGGAGCGTCAATCAAGGGCTAAGAACGGTGCGCAGTCACGTGCTTTCGACTCCAAGAGTCGGGCTATAAAGGGGGAAGATGAACGAACTTACCAGACTGCCAACGACAGCTCCCAAGTTGAAAATACCCCAGAACCAGGCAAAGTAATGGCCCTTCTGGCTTTCAGTCGGGTACGAGACCATGATCGTGCCCTGGGCGGTCCACAACAGACCGGCACAGATACCGAGCAAGACACCGGCAAAGATGTTGAAACCGAGGACTGAGGCATGGACCGATACTAACAAACTGATGGCATAGATGCAGTATCCCACACCTCCAAAAGCTAGGGTCCATTTCACACCAATCTTGTTGACGAAGGTGCCACCAAAGAAGCCGAAGACGGCGAAAGCACTATAAAGCGCGGTGTTCATGTTGTCCGCCAGAGTGGGATTGATCTTTCCACCTCCACCCAGGCCTCCAAGGGCGTTGAACATTCCGGGGCACATGAAGCAAACGAATGAGACCATCAGCAGCTGGACCTTGGGCGAGGCGTACCACGGCAGCGTGAAGCCGAAGAGGCGTATCCGCTTGTACTTCCATCCCGCCGGCAAGTCGAGGGCGTCGGCGGGCGTGTCGTGAGTGGCGACATGAGCGTCCACAGGGGCGTCATCGACGGGTTGTTGTTGTTGTTCCTTCTCAGCCATCGTGAGGGGGGTCTGTTCACGTGATGGCGACGGGATCCGGATCGAATTGAGTACTGTCAGAGCCGGGGCGTAGGAGCGGATGAAAACAAGAAGCAGAGCTTGGAAGTAAAAGACTGAAATAAAGAGGTAAATAAAGTAAAAGTCGAGCTCTGGAACACGAGATACGCCCCCTTGCGACCAGATAGCGCTGACCCTTCTGGCTGGGAACGAGATAACGTTAACGTTTCACGCACGGCGCGACATTCCCCAAACAGCACATCCCGTCGCGTGCGTGGTTGTAGCCGCCGGATATCGTTACCGTGGCGAAGACCCCCTATGCAACGTCATGCAACGTTACACGACTAGGTATACCAAGCTAAGGTAGCTGAGCTGGAGGCTAATCTCTGACATCACGTGAGTCCGTGAATGCAGATTCCATAGTAGAAAAGTGTTGCTGTCGCCAAGTTTGTGTGAAAGAAAACAAATATGATAGTACAAGTTGGCTTTTGATTGTGGTTGTTTGGATGCAAAGGCTGGACGTTAGAAGTTTGTACACAGTGCTAAGCCTATTATGAGCTAGTCACCAAAGCGAGGGAAAGATGCTTCCGGACCTCACGTGCCTCCGCACATAGGGATTATACATATGTGGCCCGGTATGCGGGCAATTGAAGCAAAAGGTCAATACGATACACAATGCTGATTTGGAAGGTGTTCCACGTCCTCGAGCTCTATCTGAACTTTTGTTTAGTATTGATGCACACAAACATGCGGGAACAACCGAGCCTTGCCAACACGAGCAGCGAGGAATGCGACATCACAATCGGTATCAAATAGATAAGGAAGAAACAGAAAGACACTTCCACGACGCTCAGCCGCTTATTCCATCGTTTTCATTAGCTAGCTATCGAGGTATTCGGGTCTACGGAGTTTAAACGCAAGACAACAGTGCGGGGCTGAGGTGAATTCTGATGACAAAGTCCCACGGACTTTCTCTATCAAAGGAGGCCAGGGTCAAATCGATTGAATGGTGATTAAGTAGGCCCGCAGTACTAGAACGGAGACGGAAATAAAGTTACATCAAACGCGGGTAAGTAAAGTGCTTGCAGGGTTCAAGGCACCGTCGATATTGAGATCTACTGCTGGGATGGACGGATGCTAGGTTACACGCTGGTTCGCTTCCCTTGGGAAGGGGCTCAAAAGACTGTGCAGGAACGGGGAGTGGGGGAACCAGAGCTTTGAAGGATGGAGCTTTGTATGATAAGTGGTGAAGCGGAATGTTTTTCATTCTAGTTAATCTTGGATGTTTCCTCGGAAAACTCACAGCTGTATGTAGAGCAGCGGTATTTTTGGTTGTGGCGGGACACAGGACAAATAATAACTGTCAATAATTTTGAAGATAGACACTCCACAAAGCAGTGCTGGCATGGCATCTCTCTGCCATTGAAAGTACAATATCGCTCCCTGATCATTTACCTGTAAACCTTCCAGCGTTTAAGGGCCGATTAGATACCCTGACACCGTTCATCAAAGATCTGATTGGGTGCCACAGCAGTGGTAAAGTGACAAATTGGAGGACTGTATACTGACCCTTGAAATTCGGTTAAATAGCCGAATCCCCTGACTCCAGGATTTCTGGATGGATGATATCCACCAGACCGAAAGTGCATTGACCAAAGTCATCATAGATTCATGGAGTTGGAATATGAATCTGTTAAAACATGAGATTCTTGATTGCTGTTCATGGCTTACAATATGTTTGCAAAGGTGGGGTAAAAAGGCGAGTGGGGAAGCTCTTCACACGTGCCAATTCTGAAGGCACTCAAGATATTGCAGAAAGTTGCACAGCATTTGTGGAGTAAATTTAGGTGAAAATAGATATTTCTGCAATACTCAAAAAGGTGCTGGACATCCAGATTGCATTTGAGATGGCAGATCACAGGATCTGCTAGCCAAAAGCGGAATTTTCCCGCAGCGTCTCCACATGGGAAATTTTTGCAAGATCTGCAAAAATCAAAAACATACAACAGCAGGTATTCGCTGGTGGTCACCCACCCAACTACTAATCTGCCGATCTGAGGCTTATGTATGGCAGAGCGGACGGGATGCCCAGTTTTCCTCAGTCTATGGTCGTATGTGACAGATATGTTAACTATTGTGTTCTATGTACCTCTGGCAGTCCACGGCTTTGAGTCCGATGACCAGTACTAGGACTTCTTGAGCTGTCCTGTTCGGTGCGAAACTCATTTAGAGTTACTCTGGAACTCTGGACTTGAAACAAAAGAGCAAACAAGCAGGAATACTCAAACTTCTAAATCCGCTTTGCCAGCACGTGATCTTTCCATCTGCTCCAGCTTCGGCGCCTTCACGTCCCCCGGTAGATCTAGCAATTTCTTTGCTTTCGAGCGTGTACTTCATGCTTTGCCCAAGACCTATTAAATAATGATGAAACTCCTCATCGAGATGACTGTATTTCAAACAAAAGATCGAGAAGGACCTTGATTCATTTATCGACTTCCTTGCTCATGATCTTCATCTTCCTCAGTAAATCGGTGCAATTCTTGGGTCTATTTGCTCCATTTGACTTCTATGGTCACCACACGACGAAGGTAGTCAAAGCTGATGCTAATCTCTGGAAAAAAAACCCCCTTCAAAAAGGTGGAAAAAATCGTACAGCACTGATGACTGAACTAATACTGGGTGCATAAGTAGCTTCGAATCGGAAACAAGATAGCTCTAAGAACCCGAGATGACTTGGGGGAAAGCGAGCAGCATGCAATGCCACATTTTCAGTCCCAGCTTAGCAATGTCCTAACTTCCAAATCCTCACCCGACTGAATTTATCTCGAACTCCCCTAAATTCTAACACGGAAGTTGGCTCAATCGTTGGCAAAAAGGACTTTTGGCTCGCAGGGAAGGCCCGTATCTTAGGAATATGAAAGGGATTGGTGAGAGGCCAAGACAAATGAACCCCAATGTGCTACAGGCCCAACCGACTCCGAGCACTGCATACATCCTGTATGTGGCAAGCGGAATAAGCAATGCTGCGGCAATATTCCTGCTTAACACCGAGGATGCCAGTGCAGAGGCGGAGTAGATACCGTATGCATCTGTGATGTAATTATTGAGGGCCATAAAGGTCAGATCAATGCCGATACCGAAGACCACTCCGGACGAAGCAGGAACAATCCAGTGCACTCCTGTTCGCGATGTCCAACCCAACCAGAACAAAGAAATTGAGTAGAGTGGTCCACCAATGCAAGCCAAAGGGAGCCTCCTGTACTCTTCACGATGTGCCCATTTCTTTCCAGTAGCTTTGCTCTTTGCGAGAAATCGATCGTACCAGAGGAATATGAACATGGCAATAATTCCTCCAATGCCCACTAATTTCGGGATGAATATCATGATCTAGAGAGAAGACAACGCATTCACTTACCAGGAAGAAGCATGAGAGCTACTTGACCAAGGGTCATACCATACGCGCCTTACAATCACAGTCAGTTTCTGGTAATATTATTCATTGAGAGTTGACACACCTTGAAAAATAATTTGATATGCTTCAAAGTAAAGATAGTAGATGCTGTATTGGTATACGAGAAAAAGATCTGAGAACAAAACTAGTGGCTCTGCAAACATACGAATCGGTCTTGTCAGGACCACTGTCAATAGTTCGCTGAAGTTTGGTGTTTCATTCACGGTTGTTTCAAGCCCATCTGCTCTCCCTAGGTGCTTCAAAACGACGGGCGGAAAGGACTCTATATAGGACATGTTAGAATCTCCTTGATATGTCTTCTAAATCATGGAACATATAGTGGGAAATGTATTCTCACCTGGCAAAAACACCAGGAAAGGCCAGTTCGCTCCAGCTAGAATCAAGGCTACCCAGAACATCCACCTCCAGTTCTCACTTGACGTATATCCAGCAACTATAGGCCCTATCAATGGCCCGAAGCTATTCATCAACCCGGCCATCATCATTGCTTTCCCCCTGTGTAGCAGATTTGGGTAGATGTCCGAGTACATTCCCCCAAGAATATATTGCGGCGCCGAGGCCCCTACCCCGACAAGAAATCGGAAGATAAGAAGAGAAGGCCAACTTTGTGCAAGGGCGCACGCTAGTGTGGCAAGTGTGTACAAAGCGAAAGAGGAAAGGAAGCAGATCCTGCGTCCGAAAGTCTCACTCATAGGGCCGAACACGATAGGTCCGAATATGTAGCCCACTAGGAAGACAGCAACGGGAAGTGCGATTTCTTCTTGCTTTGTGATTCCGAAGGACGTCGTTAGAGCATCGATGGCACCACTTGGGAGCGCGGCGCTGAGGCAGGTGTTGAAATTTAAGAAGAGACCTGTTATTACCGCGAAGAGTTTCTTCGGCTGGGTTGGTGGAGAGTTATGACATGTAATCTTACAATACTATATAGAGGAGCGCGGAATAGACTCACCTTGGACCAGTTCTCTGCCAGTGCTTTTTCGTTTGACCGGAACTCACTTGCCTGACTTGCGTCAATCTCTCTCGTTCTTAACATGGTCCCGGCTATCCAGTTCTCATCCATGGCAACTGTCTTTCTCTTTCTGTAATGATCTTTATGGATAGACGTCGAAACCGTTACCAAATGAGACGACGTAGACTTGTCAATCCTCGCCAAATCCGCCATAGGAATACTTATATCACTGTAAACGTGTTTCAATCTCCTGACGAGAATTTCTTGCCAAGGACATGAAACTTGGCAAGACTAAGCGCCGGCATGTTGACTCAAGGAATCCAAGCCATTATCCTGGTAGCACATGCAGTGGGTATTGGAAATGGAAGTTGGCACTCTCAATCACCACCGTGTTTGAAGTGAAAGGGCAAGGTTCATACGAAGCTAAAGATCTTTCTCGTGGAACTTACAGGGTACCCGGCACTGAATTGTTGGTTGCAAAATGCAACGTATCACGTCTATTCTACTATGCTATCCCAAATCCACCCTGAGAAGATTCTTCGTATGCGCCTAGGATGCGTCCTAGAAAGCAGCTGGGTTTTCCTATGAGTTTTGACTCAGGAACGATTGGCTATCATTAGTAGGCAGTAGTTTCATACTGCTCGTGATATGAGCATGAAGACCAATAACTTGGATTTGTGGTTTCTCTGGTACCAAGCTGGATTGTAATTAAGGTGATATAGTAAGTAAGACACAGGTTAGTGAAGCAAGGCTACAGCACAGAATCTTTTGCTCTCTATGTCTATTTATGGTAATTACCTAACACTTTGCCGGCGCCACTCGCGCCGCAATCAGTGGGGTTGAGAAAAATAATATTTCAAAGACCACTTACGAGAAATAGCTAGGCCTGTTTGGTAAGATGCTCAGAAGTCTACCAGCCGAAATTGGATGCACAACAGAACTTAATTTCGGGTTACTCGTTGACGCCGGATTTAAAGGGGCTATCGAAGCGAGATGGTTGCCATCAGGATCCTTATCTGTGTTTCCAAGCAATTCTTCCAACGGACCGTTGGTTCAGGTATCTATCGATGAGTGGTATTGGAGCATGTCCCTGCAGCCTAATACACTCGCAATCTCCTATTGGACAACGAACTGCCGAGCCTTACTTTCGTGTGGATCTCAATGTCAACCAAAGAAGGCTAGACTCATTGCATAGCCCGGTGACTCCCACGAAGAAGGCATCACAAATTATGTCAGAGACGGACGTGATTCAGCAGGGGGTTGAGATTGATGTATCTTTACTGAGTGCACCAAGATAGTTTTCTCATTGCTCTAAACCATCGTCCAGAAATAAACTAGACCAGACCAGTAAAAGAAAAGCTCATCCAGTGGATAGTCCCACAAATACGGTAAGCTGAAAAGTTAAAGATAGATTACCTTCAAGACCAAGTCCTTCAACCGGAGTCAGACTATCCTTTCAAGCCTGGAAATCAAAAATGTCCCCATACTCAAGCTGAGACAGAATAAGTCTATTTGTAAGACTGTTCAACCCTTACGGTCTTGATAATACTTTGTACTCGCACTTGTTCGTTGGCTTCCCCAGCGATCGGGACCGAAAAGGGCTGAGTCCATTCTCCGCTGTGCTCTATGCTGTCGGGTGATGATGCCCCTCCAACAATGCCTACCACATGTGTCGGCCTTGGTCTTTCCAGCCCCACTGTATATGTACTTCCATCTTTGAGTTCCAGGTAATCTGCATTGAGAAGATCATCATCGCCGAGTCCCGAAACGGAGGTAGCAGCAGCTTTACGCTTCAATCGGTAACTATCAGGACCAAACTTGTTGGACTCGCCATTGAGAATGCTTTGTGTTGGACCTTTCCTTGGCTTATTCCGATGGAAGAAGATTGAAAGTGGAGGAAGACAAATACAAATGAACCCAGTTGAGACCTCCGCAGTACTAGCAAGGCTATCAGTATCATAGGTATACTTCTGCCAGGCAACTCACCCCCACAATAGAACCAGTGGTTGGTTATAAGTCGCATCAGGAGAGTGACTGATTCTTTCGCGGACGAGGAATCCTATCAAGCTGAAAACAGGAGCGCTGGAAAGGGTGTGTTAGCGAAGTTGCTTAAAGTCCTCCAAGACAGCGGGATCTTACATCATCCCAAATGTAAAAATCAAAACAACTCGGATTTTGTTCGACTTTTTCATTTGTAATTTCCAGACGGATTTCACTGGAACCAGTAATAGGAGGACATCGGTCGTAAAATTGAACATGCCACTAGTATTCAACATGGTATTCACGTTGATGCATGTTCCGGCCAACTTCTTGTTCCAGATTCGAGCCCTTGGCTTGCATTCAAATATCTTCACTACTGTAATTGAGAAATAGAACGAAATCAGAATAACCTCAAAAATACGTAGCAGGATATCAAAGAATTCCCAACGCTGAGGAACGAAGACCCGGCGGTAGATCGTCAAAATAGTGAGTTTGCAAATGAGGATTTCGATGCCGTACTCAATCGACGTGATGTTAAACCACTGGTAGTCAAGTCAGCCACTGAAAATAGCACTGTAAGGAAGTCGATATTACAAAAAGGGCGCTATGCACTTCATCCGCAGTGAGATCCCACTGGTGGACGCCGCCATGTCTGCTCATCACTGTCGTCATCAGACCACAATAACTAACGAGGCCTCCCTTGATTATGCAAGTCAGAAAAGAACTTTCGGGCCGCGTGCATTTGAATTAGAGCCATCTTACCCATGCAACGCAGGACATATCTGTACGTCGTTAGATATCATAAAGTTTTGTTCCCACAGAACCTACAGTCTTCGAACAGCCATTCTCGGCGAACGAAAGCTCGAACATAGGTTCTCAGGAAAAATGGAATAGTTGCGCAGGTCAAACAAATGGTTACGCAGAGTACATTCCATTTCCAAAGCGTCTCGTCATTTCCAAAAGCCAGGTGCCCCGGCGGGGCGGGTATCGCAGGTATCCTTTGGGAGTCTGACATCGTCTACCTAGGTAGGTAATGAAATGTGGATACTCGAACGGGATTCAAGTCCGTCCTTGAAGATAGCGTGCTGAGTTTATGCTGGGTATTTGGGTTAACGTCAGTCAGATTGTTCGTAGCTATCGCTTTGCAGAATGCTAACCAATAGACCTCGGATTGTGAGGCAGAGGTAGCATTTAAAACATAGAATGGGTCGTAGTGAATTGTGCATTTGATTCGCACCTGAGTAAAGTCAACTTCCCAGACTTCAAAACCATGCTTCCATCTCCAGTTCACTCCTGCCAATCATAGCTGCAGTGTGAACAACAAGATCCATATCATCACACAAGGCTTGTCCCACCTTCCTGTCCTGATTACAAGGAAGGCATTTTGATGTGCAGAGTAGAGAAATATGAAGAATATAGCGATCATATCCCTTTCTGAAAGGGAAAACTGTGCATCCTCATTATCCATGGGATTCGACGAACCCGGGAATCTGGTAACCAACACGGATAAAAGACCACGAGCCCTAGAAGATGCATGCAGCTCGTATTTGATTCTGCAATGCAAAGTGCTCAAATCAGTAGTGGCTGAACGTCCTCATGTCTGATAATCTGGTAACCAACGTGTTAGGAGAGGCATGGACTCCAATGTCCATCCGCAGTTGATTTGCCATCGTGCATTGCATGGAGGGATAATTGAAATGGTGTAAGCGGCGGGAGCTGAGAACCAACATCAATGCGTAGGCATGAAATCCAATATGTACCTGCGTTATCGTCCAATCAGGGTGAAGTCCTCGTTAGGAAAGCAAATCACTGAGTAGGGATTTCGATATATTCTCCAAAAAAGTCCCGAGACCCATGAGGAGAAGAAATCAATTTAGCCGTGAGCATACGCCATGTTCCTCCCTTGTCAGTTTCATTTAATACTCTGCCTACCCAGAGCGCTGTCTGCTCCCAGAACACCCTCACTCAATACATTGCAGTACTCTGTCGTTCGCACATTGAGCCTGAGACCAGTTTAGTTGCACAACATTGGAAAGAAGTGTTGATCATAGACCTTAACAACATGGAGGGGAAAGGTTGGTCCCAAGTTTCATTCCCTAAATACAGAGCAGCTTACGTATCCTTCCACCTTCAAGAATCTGCAGCTGCGGCCTCAACTGGCTCCGGAGAGATGACTCCGCGATCCAACGTTTCAACCAGCAGTGGCAATGGGCGGCTGCCGCTCGAATGCCCAGCTTCAATCGACGAACATGCATTGGTGACGAGGATAGATCGACGACTGTTACCAATGCTATTCGTCATTTACGTTGCTGCCTTTCTTGATAGGTATGTGATTCAAGTGACAATGCTCGATTGTTGTTGACAAGGCTCCCCGAAGAGTCAACATCTCCAACGCCTTGACGATGAGCCTACCGAAAGACCTGAAACTGGTGGGCGTACAGAAGAATATTGCCTTGACTATATTCTTCATTCCATATATCCTCTTCGAGATACCTTCAAACATTTTGATGAAGAGGTTTCGGCCAAGAGTATGGCGTAAGTCTTCTTGAAGATGAAAATCGAGATCATACTTTAACTCTATTTAGTTTCAGGATGCATATTGGCGTTTGGAATTGTTATGCTAGGTCAAGGCTTTGGTTGATTGAATCGAGGCTTGCAAATCAGACATGTTCTAACGATTTCAATAGTCACCACCTACCGTGGCCTTCTTGTTACAAGATTCTTTCTCGGCCTAGCAGAAGCGGGAATCTTTCCTGGAAGTGGGTTCAGAGTCCAGAGCAACCTTAGACTATGTTGCTGACGAGAGCGGTAGGCTTTTATCTTATCAGTGTCTGGTACAAACGCGAAGAATCGCAGAAAAGGTTCACACTCTATTGGTGTTCTGTTCTAATAGCGACTGCCTTTGGAGGTCTTCTTGCATCTGCGATCGCAAATATGGACGGCATTCGTGGTCATCACAACTGGCAATGGATCTTCATCCTAGAAGGAACATCAACAATAGTCGTTGGCATCGTAGCCTTTTTTTGTGTTGCTGACTTCCCAGAAAATGCAAAATGGCTGAACGTGGAAGAGAGGAAGTTCGTGATAGCGCGGGCGCGCAGTATGGACGAGGCACAAGACGTTACTCCTCGCGACGTCCTAGCATTTTTCAAAGACATCGGGAATGTCCTTGGCGGTGTAATGTACCTAGGTAAGTTCCCTATGTGTTCGATCTGGTGACTATCAAGCTAAGTTATGTCCATACAGGTGTTGTCATACCCATATACTGTAAGTGTATTCTTTTGATGCTACTCAGCCCATTTGGAACTGACATGCCTGTCGTGGCAGCTTTTGCCTACTTTACACCAACAATAATAAGGACTTACGGCTACTCTGTCGTTCAAACTCAACTCCATTCTGTGCCACCAGTCGCCGCCGCCATGGTACTTTGTCTTATCACGGCGTATCTATCTGACAGAGCAAAAGTCCGCTCGCCTTTCATTGCATTTGGGATTGCTTTAACAGTTTCTGGACTTTCCATTCTTATGACTGTACATCATAATTTAGCTGTGGAATATGCTGGAATCTGCCTCGTAGCAATGGGTACGTTCTCCAGCGGTGCTGTCATCGTGTGTTGGTATGTCATGAATTTACGAAGCCATGCAGAGAGGGCTATTGGCACTGCGTGGATGATTGGGTTTGGAAACTGTGGTGGAATCATTGCCACTTTTTCATTCCTTCAAGCCGATGCACCGTATTATCACACTGGTTACTCAATCTGCATGGGGGCCACTTGTATCTGCACTGCAGCAGCGATATTATACTGCGGCTCTGCATGGAGAAAGAACGCATCTTCCAGGGGTGAAACAGGTAACGGGAGAACATTTCAGTATTAACTGATCCAACGGCAAGTCGGTCATCGTCAAAAATGGTACAATTGTCAGGTAGCTTTCACGTTCCGCAGACTATGTCTTGTTGGAGTGAGTGAGTATTGGACTAGGCATGTATCTCATTTGGTGGATAGTAGCACGTAGGTGTAACTTGGAAGGATGAATTACCTCTGCAAATATGCAACCCAGTCCAAAGCGGGAAGGCTTGTGCGTTGAGCAAGAGCAATTTTCCATAATGGTGTTGCATCCATGCAAGAGCTTCTGAATCCGTCGCATTGCGCAATGGTTGCTTAGGTCCTCTTGCAGCAAACCCTGGTTCCTGGATGGCTACACCGCTAACTCGACCAACATGCAAGCCAGTTTGATTATCCACCCAATCAGGTGGATTGTAAAGGATCTGCCGCCCTACATCAGCTAGTGCGTCCATCAATGAGCGACGCCCGACGTGTACCACCGAATTCATAGCTCAATGATACCTGACTTGTCGACCGAGATGCTGGTTCTCGCAGCCGGAAGCGGGAGGGACGTGCCGCGCGGCACTGGCACAGACTGACTGATGGCAGCGCTCTGCAGAGGCCAATCAAGAAGGCCAGCCGCATCGGAAACCAACACGTCGGGATTCGAAATTTGGTGCTGAGGGCAGGGTTTGATAGTCGGAGTAATCATCTGGCCCTGCCCTGCAAAGAAGATCGCATAGCGGGACAACTCGCGAGGAACCTCTCACGGCATTTAAATTTATCATTGTTGGATTCGGGAACAGCTTGGGGTATTAGCCGGCTAATAAATGATCCCGGTCAGCTTGTAACTGAAACAAAGAACTCACTTGTGCAACCATTCGAACTTTGAGAGCTTTCGCATTCACCAGGCCTTTTGACAACGACTCTTGTCATTAACAAGCTGACGAGGTATCCTAGGGAATTTTTCTAGGACTGCTCCGTCTTCTCGTTCCAATTTCACCCTGGCAGAATTTCCCCAACCAAAGATGCCTTCAGAGTAGGTAAACCTTAGTCTCTTGGAAGAATCATGTTTCGAAAAGTACTGACGCGCGCTGACTTTTTAGATACACTGCATCAGATGCCTTTTTCGAGGCTTTGTGGGATGTATGACCTCACCGCAAATTGCTGAATTCGTTACATATTGCTCATTATTCTTACAGTCAGGTGTCCGAGCTTGCTTCGTAAATCTTGGCTCAGACCACCCGAGCCTTATCGAAGCAATACTGAAAGGGCAACAGTCGAGGAAGGACACATTTCCGCAGATATATACCTGTCCCAATGAAGTAAGCTCTATCTTAGCATTTTTGATTGAAGTTGTGATTGACTTATCGTTTTGTCATAGATGGTTGCGGTGTCTATGGCTGACGGCTGGGCTCGCGCCACTGGCTCGCCTCAAGCTGTAATTGTACACGTCGACGTCGGTACTCAAGCTATTGCTGCCGCTATGCACAATGCCAACACTGGAAGGGCTCCAGTGTTTATATTTGCTGGTCTGTGTCCATACACCGAAGGAGGGTGTGATGGTTCCCGTACCGAGTATCAGCACTGGCTTCAAGATGCCCCGGATCAGAAGGCTATCATTGCAGACTACTGTCGATATACCGGTGACATTCGAACAGGTTCTACAGTGAAGCAAATGGTTTTCCGAGCAATGCAGCTAGCTTCTAGTGATCCGAAAGGCCCGGTATATCTCACCGGCGCCAGAGAAGTCATGGCCGAGAAGCTCAATAAAGTGTCCACCATCGACGAAAAAAAGCATGGCCCTATCGGACCTGCAGCTCTTCCTCAAGGAGCTGTCGAAACTATTGCACAGGCTCTGGTCTCAGCCACAAAGCCCCTCGTCATAACAGGATACTCGGGAAGAAATCACGCCTGCCCCGAACAGCTCGTTCGGCTCGCAGAAAGTATACCAGGTTTACGGGTTCTGGACACTGGCGGCTGCGACATGTGCTTCCCGGCGGGACATCCAAGCTATGTAGGATTTTGCTTGAGCTTTGACCAGGTAACTACAGAGGCAGATATGATATTTGTCTTGGACTGCGATGTTCCATGGATTCCATCTCGAAACCCTCCTCGGGAAGCTTGCAAGATCTATCAAGTTGACATCGACCCATTAAACGCAACCATCGGATTCTCTTTCTTTCCCGCGAATGGCAGGTGGAAAGCAGACAGTTACACTGCATTGAATCAGTTGAACCAATATCTTGCTGAGGCTCCTGATCTGCAAGAAACCCTCCGGAACCCCATTTACCGCGACCGGTGGGAGATTCTGCAGAGAAAGCATGCCATGAAAGTTGACAATCTCTCTAAAATCGCCATCCCGTCTCCCGATGGTTATCTGGATATTCATCAGACTGGCGCCATAATAAAGTCAACGGTGCCTGGAGATACTGTTTATGTTGTTGAAGCTGCGACTTGCGCAATGCCATTATCCGACCAGCTTCAAGTTCAGAAGCCTGGAAGCTGGATTAATTGTGGTGGTGCAGGTCTAGGTTGGAGTGGGGGTGCTGCGCTTGGAGTTAAGTTGTCTTATGATATAAGTGGTTCACCGAAGTTCGTCTGCCAAGTCGTCGGCGACGGTACATATCTATTCAGTGTTCCAAGCAGCGTCTATTGGATTGCATCCCGATACGGTATACCGGTCTTGACCGTGGTACTCAATAATCGAGGTGAGAGTGTGTAGGGCTAGACTCGATTTATGTGCTAACACTATATGTCTGCTAGGTTGGAATGCCCCCCGTAGGTCCTACGAGCTTGTCCATCCTCATGGTCTGGGCGCAACCGCCACGAACAAGCAAATGCATATATCTTTTGATCCACCACCTGACTATGGGGGTATTGCTAAAGCTGCCGCTGGAAGCAGCTTTGGGGGCTTAGACAGTGGCGTTTTTGCAGCAAGAGCGAGCACAGCAAGCGAGCTGAAAGAGGTACTACATCAAGCTGTACAAGCAGTTCAAGATGGGAGGGGTGCTCTTGTGGAAGCTGTACTCAGTGTTGATGAGATGGGAGAGACCATGGTCCAGAGATAACACTATTGTGCAAGATATAGATTGATAGCGCCAATATAAAGATGTGTTGACTATTTGATCATATTCAAGAATGGTGTATCGACACCAACAGTGGACACAAAAGAATCAGGATCTTTCCAGAATTGCAAGCCTTTGAATCATTCGTGATCTCAAACACAGAGTGAGAAGGAGATCCTTGAGTAAGAAAAGAGCATTCTACCGTTTTTGGGATGCTAGCGGACACGCAGTCATGGATTATCATCCAGAACCACTGCATTTAGTGGTTGACTCCATTTGAACCCATCAGGCATTGCCACAGCCCGCTTTTGAAGCCAGTTCTGTAGTGCGTTCCAATTGACGCACTTATGAATCGTATTTCCATTTGGCGTTGGGTTTTGGTGGGCTCTCACCCAATTCAGTGGAATGATCGTTGTATCGAATTTGCACATGATATATTGTCTCATGTAGTCGACACAGTGCTCATAATGCCGCTCGTACATCTCTGGAATCGCCTCTGCTTTTGATTTGACCTCTGGCATAATGTCGATGTAATGATCCTGCCAAATGTAGTGAAGGCAGTGGATTGCATGTGTTCCGGACGCAATTGCGACATAGCCACCTCCCAGCTCCGGAGGAAATTGAACCGAGCTCAGATTATGGCCAATACGCAGAATATCGGAAGCGGGGATCCTGATCTCGCCATCTGCTGCTTGTTAGAATTACCGCTGAAGGGAACAGTGTGGCCTACATCTCATTATAGAATGCCATGCATCCTCGACTTCAGTAGTCGGTGGCCCTTTGAATTGAGACTTATACCAGAGAGAATATGTAAACGTGACATCTTGAAAATCGTTCTCGTTGATGGCTTCCAAGATAGGAGCTGTGGAAAATTGTCCTTCAGCATGAAAATATGTAATACTATTTGCGTACTTACAATAACTGTTGAATTTCTCTAGGCAATGTTTTGGGAGACTTCGGTGGAGAGTGACTATGTAGATAAAAAGGCCAACCCATAAGATGAAGGAGACGAGGTGTGCGTATCTCAGGAAGAGTTGTCGATAGCATCGTTTTTGTTGCGATTGTGTCTCGCAGTCTCTTAACAAAACCATTGATTCGGATTCATAATCTTGCGTAGAGGACTTAGGCATCGCGGTGTTGAAATTGATGGGCAGGAGACTGGAGGCCGAGAGCAAGTTCTGGTCTGAGTAGAGTGCTTTTATGACGCTATCCAAAACTTTTGAATAGGGGAATCGAAAAGACCCCGAGTATTCGGGTAAATAAGATGTGTAAATTGAGGAAGGGAGTAACTTTTTGAAACAAGGGAGACTGTTGATCAGCGACAATATATATCACTGGTGGAAAATTGAGCTGAGACGTTTAAACCTAACGAAATTCTGACCGGACCATTGTGCGTCCTTAGTGCGCTTCAATACATGCCTAGTTAGGTAACAGTTTAGGAACCCTGTTAAATCTTTCGTGGCCAATTCCAGATATTATTTCCTGCATTGCATCTCCATGACAGGGTTCATAGCAGTAGGTCTCACCAAGTTCAGTTCAATCGAAAGGTCAATCCGAAGAGTTTGCTGACGGGTAAAGTCAAGTTCAGACAGCTTTGTATCCACAATTCTTGCTGGATGGTAAGTGCATTGCAAGACTACCTGTTAAGCACCATCTACGTATACCATCTGCATTGGACAAATCTGACCTGCAACTCACATATCGACGCACCTGCTACTCAATTGGGCACACACAAATGATTTTTAACCGCCTTTGTGTTGCACCCGAATCAATGCGCAGTACTCTGTCGTATGATGATTCGAGAAGACAACTCTTGGTGGTTGGTTGCATGCATGCCACACTTTGTGGGACCGTCGTGCTCCCTAGCCGTGGACTGAAACTGCAAAGCTATAGTTCTGAAATCCTGGATGATGATAGAATTGTATGCTTGATGGGTAGCAATCCATCTGCAAAAGTTTCACAGCAGTAAGGGTGCTTTATCTTGTAAAATGTAGCCCTGACTGAATTTCGCAACCCGAAAACTCCCGGACCTTGTTCTAGCAACCCAGTATATGTCGCTGCGATGTATAACCGAGTCAATGGATGAGTTTACCCTTTAGTTAAGGAACAGTAACATGGTCATATCGTGGGCGAGTTGGAGTGTTGCCGTCGCTCTGTCGTGAAAGGTTGGTGAGAACCAGCCAATGGTTCGAATTCGGTAAGCCTCTTTGGGAAGGACCCGGCACTTTGGTTCTGCCGCTGGTTCTGATGCAAGTTTTCAGAACAGGATGGTCCCAGGAAACAGACTGCAGAAAACTGCAGGATCTTTAGCAAATCATGACTATCATTTACCCGATAATGCCTTGTATGCATGCGCAATGGATTGCACCACAGTGAAAGCTAGATGCCGTAGAATCTCGGCAGTTGAACTCGCAGCTTTAACTTGTATTGTCATGAAGTGGAACGCTCTAAGCGACGATTGCTCTGAATATGACTGGTTGTGGGACATCCACACACTTCCGGGAAAGACCAGAGAAGTTGGATTTTGGGTTCCCAAAGTGCATACTCAACTATCTGGAGACACGTAACCATCCCCAATATTGTCTGCACATAACTTGGTGTTCGCAAAGACAGGAACTTACAGTGTGACCATGCAGAAAACAGAAACAGTTAGATTGCTCTCTCTTTCGGCTAAGATGCATGACCCCGCCTTGCTCAAATATCTCTCTTGGATAGTAGGGTGGGGGACAATGTGGTGAAAATCAACCATAAAACAAAGGGCTGAAGTCATCAGAGTCTTTGGTCTTGCGATCTTCTAAGACAAACCTTGATCTCACCCTTCAGCCTCCACACAATATTCTTTACCCCAAGCACTTTCAGAGCCTCAAATCAAAAGGCAAGAATCATGAATCTCAAACCTTTCCTCCTTTGGTCTGTTTCGCTTCTCGCAACTACAACAGCAGCACCTTTAGCATATCAAAGTACTACGACCCGTGAGATATACTCAAAGTTATTGAAGCTTATCTCGTGCAGATTTTGAATCAGACTCCATGCTAGCAGTAAATGTCGCCGAGTCTTCTTCTTATGCTGCACGCTCGAACTTCGAAGCTGATCCCATGCTCGCGGTGGGATCTTCCGACAAATCCTCATACTCGACCAGGAGCAACTTTGAAGCCGATCCCATGCTGGCCATTGGCAGCGGGGACTCCTCTTCTTATGCATCTAATCGCAATTTCGAAGCCGATACTATGCTCACAGTGGGAGAGGAAGGCGTTTCATCCTATGCTTCAAACGATTTGATCTGAGACGATGTCGGACGAGTGAAAAGGTCTACACCAGAAGATTGAAGAACTGGCTGGAGAAATGCAGCGTGCTGAACTAAGGAGATATTGGGAAATATATGTCAGTCATTACATTTATACGATAGCTAGCTTCCCTCCAAATGCAATCATGTCTTTGTTCCCTATGTACCGGCTTGTCGGTCCTCCAACCTATTGGTGTACAACCAGGTCCCCACAGTTCGTTATGAACAGTGAGCCTCACATCTATCAAGCTTCGGGTAGATGCCACATAAAATCATTTATCAATCCTTGAAATCCGCCCTGCCCTTCGTCCCACGGGACCAGAGAGTGTTAAATAGCACGCTGTTGAGAGCTTCTTAAGAACCGTAAGACGTCTTGAACATTTTTACATTCCTTGGTTGTAAGATCTTGTGCTTTGCAACCGTTACCTAGGTATGCGATGAAAAAAATTCATCCGACAGTCCAACACTGTTGCTATTCAGGCAGTCCCATAGCATATAATTTCTCTCAAGATATGTATCTGCATTAGATTCAGATCTGTAGTCAGTGGCGTCAAAGCCATATATGTCAAACGTGGGTATAACTACTCGATCTCTAGCAACCCTTGTCTTGTGAATATCTAGCCTGCGGCCTGTTGCTACTGGTAGTCGTTGTACCATGGCTGTGGCATTTACGATTCATACTCTTCCATATCAATGTACCCTTCCATAAAAGCATGCTCTGCTATAACAGAATGCCCTTCTAACGATTGTCACTGGTGGTGCCTCCCAGAAAGATTGTTCTTGTCCTGGTCTCTCTTTTTCCGATATAGATATCCTCGTCTAGTTCTGGTCTTCTAGGTACTTAGTACTTTTCCGTTGCTTATCGAGGAACTCTGACTCGTTGGGTATTTAATCCGACTTGGGCCAGCTGCCTCTCCCGGCAGCAAGGAAGTCAAGATTCATATTTCTCAGCCGACGATCAAGCAATATCAAACCCAACTACGCGGCACGACCACTGCTTCCAGTCTCGAGTGATCGACCCATGTCGTGTGGGGTCCTTCCGGGTCCTTGCCAGTGTATGTCTCTTCCATGTGAAACCCATTTCTCAAATATTCAAGTCCTTCATGAGATCGAGATATCAGACCCTCCTCGTATTCCTTGTCAGGGAACGCTTTCTTTTCTCGTTCATCCAGTTCCGTGACGAATCTGATAGCAGTCTGGATGGGAACCGTAACCACTGTACCGTCATCATTCTGAGACTTGATTTCGGGCTTGATACTGTCGAAGTCGATCGGAGCACTCAAGTTATCCTCGAGTCCAGTTCGAATCAGCTTCACAAGTAGGTCCTGAGGTTCTGAGAGTGGATTGTCGACGAAGATGATAAGCGCACGAAAGAGAGGTCGGAGTCTATAGTACATGAACTCCTCGTCGACACCGAAGAACAAAGCTCCCTTGAGAAGCGGGCGCTTCGGCATGTAAGGATAGACCAAGCTCTCAAATACTGGCTTCACGTCGGCTAGTCTTTTGCACAGCGATTTATGTGTTTTAACGACGTCAGCCACAGTCTGCTGGTACACCTCAGTATCAACAGCATACCGATACATCTCAGTATCCTGTAAATTGATCGTCTTGGCGACAAAATTGTTAAACTCGATGTCGGTATTGTGTACTTTAGCAAGGAACCATTGTGGGTAAATAACGTTCATGGCTTTCGCGGAATAGGTCAAGGGTGATTGTCGGGTCTTAAAGTGAAATCGATAGTCTGCCCAATAGATGGCCGTTGCTTTATTGTAGCAATCTTGAATATCGTCGAGGTCGATAGAAGGAAGAGGCCCAAGCGTGGAAAGGACCATCGGCGTCCCAGCGCGCCTCTCTTGCTTCCGTCTGTGCTCGATTTCCTTATGTCTACGCCAAGAATACAAAATGTCCTCATTTGTAGATGGCTCATAGAAACGAGATTGGCAGAGGTCTTCTGGTGGGTTCGAAGGTAGAAGATTGAACTTTGGGACGTCGCCTCTTGCCTCTTGCGCGCCTGTTCCTCTCAGAGTGGCCATTTGGACGGTATGTCTGCAGGATTCGTGCTTGAGATTCGGGTCTGGCACTCGGAAGTCGATGAACTGAAGAAGGATATCTGGAAAAGAGGCTGGAAGATTGTTAGACGAGAGACGAGAAGACCAGATTCAAATTCTTTTAAAGTCGACGTGCAGTCTGCAATCAAATTGTCTAGGAGGTTTGTGCCGTGGATCGGGCGTAATATAGTCTCCAGTTGACGTTTGCCTGGTAGCGAGGCAGGTCCACTTCGACGGTGCTTCTAGCTTCGTGGAGCGTGAGCCACGGCCACATGCGCAACGTAGGGAAGATCGAAAGAAACCCGGACATCGAATGCTCAGGTCTGGGATCCCTTGGTCATGGCGACATACCAAGACAGCAGGAGCAGTCCGAGGTTGTCTTCAGCAAAAATGGCGCTAGGTAATTACCGAATATGCTCCCAAGCCTCCTCCCACCGCCACAGTGAGGCTTCACAATTCTATGGTCTTCGAAAGTCCTCATAACAAGGTGAAGCTGCTGCCTCGAGAGGGCAGAATCGTCAACTATCGTAATCTGACTGCGGATCGCTTTTCTTAAGCAACGATCAAATGTCCACCATCCTTTGGTGCGCTGCACCTTGCTACCCCAGAAGACGTGCTGCGCCTCGGAGTTGTCTACACAGCGGCTTTTCGCTACTCTGAACAGTTCATCTGGGAGCGTCCATACCATTCCAAATACCCTCAAGATACTATTCTTTCCTTTCGACATGAAGTCACCACGCTGATCAAGGACCCGAAAATGATTGTCTTGGTGGCAGTGGACAAATACGAACCAGACGAGTCATCGAAGACCGACGCCACCATCCCGGTAGACAATGGCTGGACTCCTCCGGAGAAGGGACACGAGGTAGTTGTTGGCATCGCTGTCTGGCAATTAGAGCCTGGTTGCAAACGGATTGGGCACTTTCAGCCATCGTCGAGTTTGTTTCAACTCATTCCATCTCATCATTCATCTAGTGTCTAATCAAAACCGACAGGTAATTATCCTGATTTGCCAGAATATCTTCATCGTGATGAGAATCCGACTCGAGTACAAATCATTCAAGGTGTTTATGGAGAACTTGAACATGAGTACGACTCTTCACAACTGCAAAATGGAGTTACTGACTCGTATGCAGATACTTCCATCATGCGTCTGCCATGGAAAGAACTGCTGTTCATCCCGCATATTGGAGACGCGGTCATGGCAGTACTTTGGCGAAATGGGGTCTTGAATTGACAAAGATGGATCAAGTCAATCAAGCAGTCTTAGCAACTTCTATGGGCGCAGATCTCTTCAAGTACATGGGCTTCAAACCACTCACCGAACGTGAGATCAATGGTGGCGAAGAAGATCCTACTGGTTATACCATTGCTGCGTTGGAATATTTTGTGGAAGATGGAAACTGAGCTGAGATATTTTTAGGTCTTGTGGAATTTTTCAAATAGCCCTCAAATTACTACAAACAAAGAACAGAAAGCGGTCAAATCAAGCAGTTGTAAACCAAAACCAACAGATTGCATGATGTTACGGCAGGGTGGATCAATGGTGTCATAAGTATACGCCTGAATACAACCAAGAAATGAGTACTGTGACCCACTCAGAGAATGGTTCCAACCGCCCTACCAAAGATACAGACCAATCATCCAATCATTCCTACAAGACCATCATAACGCTGTGACCAAAAGTCAGCAGACACGGGGCCGACCGGCAGAGCATATGCCGGTCAAGGATGATATATCGATCAGTGCAGACCGACGACCCCCACCGAGTCTCTTCAAACGCATCACCCAAGCAATGTCAATGCAAGTCTCTCAAATCTCCCCACGTCGTCGGTCCCTTCTATCTCAAAGCTCGACAACATGCAGCACAGGTACACTCTCACTTGACATGCAGAGCTCCCAAGCCCGGTTCTTCTCGATTTGCCGCAGGCTCTTCTTGGTGTTGGACAATGGTTAGATGAAAAGGGTTCCTCTGCTCGGGACGATCTCCTCGGTGTTGGACAGTGGGTGGCTGAAGGACTTTTGCTACAGGGGACAACAATGTTGATATACTGTCTGATGTTTCTCCTCATGCCACGGACCAAGCTATTTGTGCTTTGCAGGAGTCATGTTGTTGACTAAAGAATGGATCATTCAAGATCAGGGTCAGTGTATTCAGCATCGATTGTATGCACTTGCCAATGATCTGAGCACGAATGTCGGCAATGACATTGTGGGGTCTCATCAGAAACGTTGGATATCAAATATGCGGACAGGACTTTAGTGAATACGTCGTTGTTTGCTAGGATGGCTTGACGTAGGGAAATATGGACGCCAAAGTGAATCAAAGGTAAGTGCCAAAGGTGGGAAGATGGTTCTGTGCCCAGACTAACAACAATATATGCAGCGAATGAAACTTGTCCGGAGCAAAGCATACACCGTCCAGCAACTTTACAGCTTTGACCTGAATTGCGAAGGGAGACAGGATACAAGGACCAAGGTTGATCTGATTCCGGCTTATGGAATCATGTATACCTGCAAATGTTTCAAGCCAAGTGTTTATGATTTTTACCACAATGATGTTATGATGTAAAGGGATAGGCTAGATAATCCTTTGCATTTTTTAATTTGTTTTGGTTCAAAGACATAGTGTTCTGGATCAGGGTACAAGAGCTAGACTTAGGTCGTTGTCAGACAATGCCAACGTACCGTAAGAGCAATTCCAAGAGCTCATAATTATGTTACGGACACTTCATACGTTGAGTTTCTTCAAGTATTTTAGTACCCAATTCTTCTGATAACAGAAACATCCATATTTAGCCAAGATGATCCGTCCTCAAAACACAAAAGGATTCAATACGATGCCCTGACGTCCCTGATCTAAGTTCTGCACTGTCCGATTCTACCCAGCAAATTCAACCGCAATTTGTAAAATGTCTCACAGAAGATATATCATTTTATAATTTTAGGCCGCATTCATCATGTGGGTAGAATACGAGGTGCAATACAAGAAGCCCCCAAAATAACGTCTGACATACTTCCTTCTCCTCTCACACCAACTCCCACCGCTTCCATCCAGGGCCGACTCCATACATACTAGATTCAGCAGTTCCGCAGTAAATCTCCTCCTGATAGGTACAGGATCATTCTTTCAGTCCGTGGATACCAGCGCAACTGAAAGAGTAAAACCCATGCCCATAGTTCGAAGCACAATTATTACCAGGATTGCTAATAGTCTGCGAAGCACCCTGGCATCCAAGCTGAGTGTAAAAAGTGCAGGTGCAGTACTCGAAACGGCTGAAATTGCAGTACGCAATATTAGCACTGTTTTGACCGTCCCATTGGTAGTCATAGCACGTCCCATCGGTGGGCACGTTGGGGGCTTGCGTAGTGTAATCCGAGCAACCGCCGTCGGTATAGTAGTTGACTTGCATACCAACTGCGGCATTGGCAACAGATATGATAGGCATTGCGACTGAGAGCAGAGGTAGGAAACGCATTTTGACAAGAGGGGAATGGTGTAATAATGTACGCGTTTGCTGGAGGACTTTTCGCGTTGTTGATGTACTGAGAAGAGATGTGCATGTACGGTGGGTGTTCTTATCAAAAAGAAAGGAAAATAACTATTTTAAATACTACTCCCTGTGAACTGAGATTATTTTTGGGTTGTCAGCAGTCTGCACGCTTCCGCAGTGAAGAGGGATTTCACGTGAGCTGATTTGAGGCCAAGCTTCTCTTTCCCCCAAATCAGTCAAGTACCAATTGATGTCTGTTCCCTCACCTAATGTCGGGCCGAGTAACTATCAATAAGGAAGTGGGAAGAACTGAATTCCAGAAGACGGACATTTTATTTATTCGTTGCCACGGCTCGTTTACCGCCGCTAAGTTCGGTCGGCCGCACAGTCGCGCATCATCTTCCCCGCAATGTAACCTTCGGCTTACTTTATTCAGCCTTTGAAAAGATGAATAATAGAATACGAGAGTGAAGATGATGTTATATGTCGATCTTGCTCTATTGATCACTTCCTTGCCCCACTTTGATTGCAACACCGACAAGAAGAATGTAGTTCTTGAGTAATACAATGTCAGACAACTACCAATCTTCGTTAATAATCCACTCTCGCAAGCAAAGTTTTCATTGCCATCGATAGTGATATTCATAGCCTAGATACTTAAATTGAGGATATCGCGTTCAGAGACTTGTTGCTTGTGCCCATCTTCAGTTCAACATGATCGTCCCACTACTATTCCCACTTTTAGTCTCCTCGACAATTATCTTTACTTCAAAAACGGTAGCGTCTTCTACTTCCCTCAATTCCCGCCAGACTTTCCTATCAGTACCATTCTACGGCACTAGTGCCAATGGCTTCACCGCGCCGCCCCGCGGCTGGAACAGCTTTGGGCTTCAGGCCCTTGGAACCAACAGCCTAGCTCTCAACCAGATGAACGTACAGACACAATGCGACTTACTCAATGCCACTGCTGGATACACTTTGTGTAGCATCGATTCTGGCTGGTCGGGAAACGGTGGCGATCCATTTGGTCGACTTGTGCCAGATCCTTCTTCGTTCCCAGACCTTGCCGGTCTCGCAGATGAACTTCATGCTCAGGGAAAGTTGTTGGGCGTATACATTTTGCCAGGTGCATTTTCTTCTGATGCCGATGTGACCGTCGAGGGTACAGACATTCAACTTGGTACCCTTTTCGATACAAGTCAGCCCAGCTACAATCTTCGGCAAACATTTGACTTCAGCAAGGACGGAGTACAGCAATGGCACAATTCAGTGATTAACAATTTTGCGGCAATGTAAGTTGTCTGTGTGCTTTTTACCTTCGGAAACACAATATAATCACTAAATGAACACATGCTGACATACTGCTATTCTTGTCCAGAGGTGTCGACATGATTAAGATGGATTACATGACTCCTGGTAGTCCTGATGCAGGTGAAAGTCTTCCAGCGAACAATTCTCTGGCCGCTGTAGCATATCACAATGCCATCGCTCAGTCCGGACGGCAAATGCCCCTCGACCTTTCTTGGAAACTGGATCGAGATAACTTAGGCGACTGGTTGACTTGGAAAAATAACGCTGATTCTTTACGAACGGATCAGGATATCAACAACTCCGGACAACCAACACTGGTCTCCTTTGCAACAGTGCAGCGAGCAATTGAAAACTACCGCATCTTCATCAATCAACAGGAAGAAGATCCTACTCGTCAAGGCCTCCCCATCAAAATCCATCCTGATATGGATAACATGTATACTGGAAACGCCGCTGCTCTTACCGGCGTGTCCGACGTCGAGCGGTATACGATAGCTATTCATTGGGTCGGAGCAGGAGCTAACCTGATCACTGGGTCTGACCTCACCCAGATCGATACATTAGGCCAAGAGCTGCTATATGACCCCGAGCTCTTGTCCATAGCTGACTTCACCGCGAACTTCCCAATGCAGCCCAAAAATCCAATAGGCAGCTCCATTCCTGGCTCTCAAGCATCAGTACAGCTGCAAGCATGGATTGCAGGCCCAAACAACGATAATCAGAATGCAGTAGTCGTACTTGCGAACTATGGTCCCGATCAAGGTCAAGGAGGATTTGGGACTAGCTTGGAAGGCACTCAATTGGTGAACATCTCGTTGGCTGATTTGGGCATTGCGGCTGGACAGCCAAATGGTGCAACTGCGTGGAGTGTTAGGAGGGTTTTGGGGGGTGGGGGTCAAGGGGGACCGGATCACACAGATTTGGGAACTACGAGTACTTTCATCGCTTCAGAGCTTGGTCCTGGGGAGAGCGTTCTGTATAAATTCGCTGCTATGAATTGAAGGAGTCGAAGGCCGAGAGGATTTCCATGATTGATATTGGAACAGGTTGAATGCCCTTTCTGAGTTATTATCCTGAATAAAGACCTTTTTTGTCTTGTGGACTTGCTGCGCTTTCACTAACCGCTGGCAAGAGAACAATCGAGATCCAGCAATGCTTATCAGAACAGCAACTGTTCTCTAGAACAATATGTATGGTCAACAAGAACAATCGCCTCATCTTATATTCAAATAGCCACAATTCTTCCCTTTCGTGCTCCTCAAATACATACACAGAACAAACAAGACAGTAACACAAGAATCAACTAAGCAAGCACATCAAACAACCAACCAACCAACCAACCAACCGCTCTAGAAATATGAAAATCTCCACGATCTTTAACGCACTTCTTGCTCTTGCTCGAGGAGAAGATCTCTATGCAGTTATGCTGCAGTTCCCTGGGGAATGTTTCTTACTAGGTATCCTCACGGCGCAAGTCCTAGACTCTCTCCGAGGATCCTTCTTGGTAATTTTCTTGTGCTACCATTCGCTTTTGACTCTTGTCTTTCTAATCCATTGGATTTCTTTATTGGTCTCAAGAATGGATGCCTACGAGATCTCATACATACTGTACGTTACCGCCCTGGCAGAACTGGCTAAGCATTCTCGTTGGTTTATGCGCTTCATCCATTACCTTCATGATCTAGGCTTGGAATCTCTTGGAGACTTTTTGTTGGCAATTGTCTTTGATTTGTTTGCCAGCTTTTTCCTGGCTCTGGGCTTCGAGATGTTCCCAGCCTTTTTACTGGCAATTCTCCTTCTGGAGTCTTTGTTCTTCGTCCTGGTCGTCCAGACCCATTGGGCTCTTGGTCCAGTCTTCTAGTTGTTTTTCCTTGTTATCTTTCTTTGAAGCTCAGTGGGCTGTTTCCTTGGTTTTCCCTTTGACTGTTGTCTTGAAAACATCAAAACCCCAAAAAATTGGATGTATTTTTCTTTGACGCCTTAATGGCTGTTTCCTTAGTTATTTTCGTTGCGTTGGCCCTCTGAGCTAACCCGTCCCGATCAACTGCAAAGACAAAAAAACCAAAAAAAGAGGAGAAAGTTTCCCTACTCCTTTTCCTTAAAGCCTAGTCGGCTAATACATTAGCCATTTCCTAAATATTTTCTTAACCTCTTAGCTAGGGCTTAGACCCTGCATTATTGAAGACCATTCACAAATTCAAATCTTAAACATGAAATACTTCCATCCCATATATGCTCGTGATACGTTTTTAATGAAACTGAAATCATTACTGAAAACTTCCATAATTCTTATCTGTTGAATCGATCATTGTGTTTCGTCTTGTGAATTCGCCCTCTATTTCACGATATATAGCATCGAGGTCGAGTCTCTTGAATTTACCTTGAGCGCTACCCTTATTTGTCGTCTACCTGAATGCACACATTCTGTTGGCCTTATCCTCGTGTGCTTGGTAGGCGCTGAGTCTCGATACTGTATAATATGATGTTGAGCTTGAAGATTATATATCGGCTTTCTAACCAGCTTCATCTATTCTCTTGCCTGGGTATTCCTGTGCTGACGGTATAGAATGAATAAAGCCGACTTTTGGTATTTTCTGTATGGCGAGTACAGAGGTTGGATCCTCATAACCAGGTCAAGTATTCAACTTTTTTGAGACAAAGGCTTATGAAGACTGTCTGTTCTGTCCCCGTCTGAAAAAAAAAAACAATTCACTGTTCAACTCTTTCTCGATCACTCTGGTTGTCTATTTATTTCATGCATCCACAAGAAAACAGCTAACCACTCCCATTCGAAACAATCACTATTGTTCCGAACAATCCCCTCGTCTCTTATACAAAAAGCTCCACCAATTCCCTTCAAGATCTTTAATCACACAAAACCAACACACATAACTACCACACACAGAAACAACACAAGAACCAACAAACCGACCACACAGAAACAGCCACTTTACAAGTATGAACTACTACCAAGAAACAATGGTCGAGGAATTTATTCTCTCTCTCATTCCGGCTCTAGCGGCCTGCCAGTCTCTCACAGCTACCCTACTGGAATTTGCCTTTCGAATTCTCTCATTATTCGTGGTGGAGAGGTTGGTCTCTTGGACAATTGTCTTAACTCTTTCCTTGGTCCTCTTAGTTCTTAGAGCTTTGTTGTTGGTCTTATCCCTTTGTGTTTTTCTCATGACCTATCACCCCTTGTTTGTTTCTTTGACCTGGTGGGTCGTTTTCCTAGGTCTTTCTTTGTACCTCGCGGCTAGTCTTTATTGGCTACTCCAAGATCTAACACAAGACGAGTGGGTGTGAACAAATTGTGTTGGAGAGGTAAGAGAGATGATGACCAAATCAATAAAATAAAATAAAAGTCGAAACCATTTAAATCTTTCTGTTCTTGATATTATGATTGCGGCTTCTATTAACTCCGCTACTCCCACTTCTCCCACTGTAGCTGTATTGCTTCTGTTTATGCGTTCAAATTCCCAGCGAGTTTCGGGTGACTTTATTTAACATTGAAGTTCTGGACACCCATTTCCCAAAATCTGTCACCCAGTCGGACACTCTGACTGACCCAAGTTGTTTTATGAAATCGTTTACAACTATCTATGGCTCTTCATCGAGAACAGGGTCTCCCGGCGTGTGCCTCACATACGTGTTATCCATATCTATATGGTTGCCCTGGTACCATTTAAGAATGGCATCAAAGTCCTTACATTGCCGGTTGATGCTGAAATCCTTGGAGGGTCCATGATTTTTGACATACCATTGTCCATAAACGTTAGTATCGGCGTCGCACATGATTTCCTGGCGAAGCATATCTACGCAGTGAGCTGGAAAGGTTAGCAGTGTCTAGAAGGTAGGGTTGACAGAACGGACTGAAGTGCTTCTCAAGCTGGATCTCGCCATCGAAACCCTCAAATGCGGTACCAAACGCCTCGGGAGTGCCGATCAGCGCGGAATAATGGTCCCAATTCCAGCGCGAGGTCTGTCTGATCAAGTTCTAGAGTCGATTTTAGCGCATGCATTTCACTTGAATCTCAACTCAACATACCAAGCAGTGAAGGTTGTGAAAAACCATGACATCCGCCATATACCCTCCTCCGTCTTCAATTACCCGTTTAACTTGCCCCTCTCTGATGCCGAATTGCGCCGCTTCATCGACAGGAATTACAATGGAATCAGCTGCAGATTTCAGTCAGTGAAAGTCTTTCTTGGTTGCGAAGGAGGTTCGTACCGCTCACTCCAAGTGCTAGCCACGCGTCATCGACTTCTTTGCTAGGCTTCTGACGGTATATGGTCTGTTTCTCAAAAGATCCGTTGATGGGTTGTTTGTGATATTGAAGTCCAATATCCCTCACAACTGGTGAACCTAAGAAACCCAAATGTTATTACACCTTACTGGTTTATTAGGAACTGAAGTAAAGTGCTCACCATATTCAGTTCCGTCATGAGCGTGGGAAATTTCATGCAGCTTTGAGAGCTGCAGCCAAACCACCACATTGAGCACGACCGAGATGAGCAACAAAGCTAAGGTCAACACATATGTGATGGATGTTCGACTTCTCCATCCTTGCTTGCTGTACACTGGTTCTCCATGGGAACTCTCAAGAAGGGATTTCTCGTCACTCAAAGGGTCGTAACGGATATCATCATCTGAATTGTCCCTGAACTTCATCATTTGAGAAAGTTTTGAGGTCATTGTTGCTGAGTTCAACAGAATGTCAGACCACGGATGATAATGTTATAGAATAATCAGCACGCCAGAAAGCCAAGGGAAAGAGTTAGATTTATCACTTAGTCTGTTTCTGTCAGGTACTGCTGCATACCTTGTCCGCGTGATACGATGATAGCCATTTGAATTATCGAAGATTAACTCTGTTGACCTCACCTCGCTCCTGCCATTGCACCGAGTTGCGTACGTACGCAACTCCTTCTAGAAAGATAACACGTCCAGATCAGGAAAGCAGTAACGCATGAGAACGCACAACGGCTTCACCGACTTACAACTTGTCATGTCGGACGGGAAAATGCCAGTGCTGGAAGTGTCAGATAGGCTACTGCTAAGATTTCATCCCGCTCTTCAAAGCGCTTCGATTCATGCCGTACAATCCTTACTTAATTGCTAGTCTTCATAGTCATTTGCCACCATTGTCAGCTTCTTACAAGAATATGCTGCTGTCAGATTTGCCACCATTGTCAGTTTCTTACAAGAATATGCTGCTGTCATCTGACAGCATATAGACCTATGATCTTCTTCCTATCGTATCTCCACTCCGCGGGGTAGCTAGATATCCAAAATTCGCCTTCCATTTCCGTATGTTCGGCTTTGCCCTAATGCAAGCGCAAAAGTGGATTGAGGCCTATGCACAATTGCGGGTATCTAGATCCTCAACATTCGCCTTGCATTTATCTCTTTAAAGAAGGTCGCACAGATATTTAAGACATTTTCAAACAGGCATTAGATTTAGGACAAGGATAGTGGTATGAATGCATCGTAGAAGCTTAGCCCGTGTATGCACGTTTCGTACACCGAACGCCACGTTTTCGCAAAGTGACCCAAAACGGCGGATTTCCTGCGGCTAAGGGGCGCATTTGAGTCGCAGTGAAAGTGGAGCAAAGCTTGATTTGTTTAGATCTACGGCGCAGTGTTACGAGTGATAGGTTTTAATTGGGCTGGATTTCGTCTCGTCGGCCGCAAACATAACGAACAGCAAGGACTATACGCCTCTCACTTTAAACTTCTCACCGCTTCTTGGACATGGAGATTTCGGTCGTAATGACGCCCTTTGATTATGCTAAGTCATCTGATCAATGCGGGGTATTGACTTTCGAAGTTTTGCAATGCTTTACGCCTGGAAGCGCATCAACGACGTTGGGGTTCAGGTTTTGTTAGAAGTCAAGTCAGATTTCAAACAATACGAACTGGGCCTGCCATGTTATTGACACGTTTCACAAAGCATATGCGGTTCTAGATTTGATGGCAAGCAACAGATTTCATTTGCTACGTGATCTTAAGCTTGGAGAGCTAAAATCTTTTTGCCAACCCCCCGCATCCCGCCATTTCCTCCACTATCCACCTCTACTCATGAGCCGTTCTTACTGCAAGTCATGTCGGTAGTCCAGCTAATAGCTGTTGTGTTCGGCTGGAGTGGCGACTTCAACCTCGTCCCGTTTGTAGCTGTTGTGCTCGGCAGGGGTGGCAACCTCTACTTCGTCGCGCTTGTAGCTGTTGTGCTCGGCAGGGGTAGCAACATCTACTTCGTCGCGCTTGTAGCTGTTGTGCTCGGCAGGGGTAGCAACCTCTACTTCGTCTCGCTTATAGCTGTTGTGCTCTGCTGGGGTCGCGATTTCGACCTCGTCTCTCTTGTAGCTGTTGTGCTCTGCTGGAGTAGCGACTTCAACCGTGTCGCGGAACTGGATTGCGAGTCCTTGGACGGTTGCAAATGCAGCGCAAAGTGCGAGGATAACTGATGTTTTCATGATTGTGGGTGGTTGAGAACGACGTTGATGGTGGGTAAAAGGAGAGCTTGGAGAGATTTGAAAGCTTGAGTTGCAGCACTTCCAATGATCTGGGTATGCTTGACCTTTATAATATCTTCACAATAGTGGTCCCTTCCACCCTTGATTTTTGGTCGAATTTATGCAAGATGGCAAAACGAGAGTGATCAAACGTTGTAATGCGGTAGTGCGGAATCTTGCGCCGTATACAAATTCTAGCGTATGCAGGGTTGTAATTCTTTAGAAAGAGCCCGATCCTTGTCGAAGTTGCATGCCCCACTGCAAGTAAGCTTTTGACATCAAGGATCCCCTACACACGGTTGAATGCTCCACACTGCAAGTAAGCTTCTGAAAGCTGAGATCTCCTGCACATGATTGTATGCTACCTACCGCAAGTAAGCTTCTGACATCCCGAATATGCTCTATGCTTTACCGCCTCACCGCAGTGCCACCGTAAGCGAAGAATACCCGATCTACAACAAGGATCCTCGGATACAGAACTAACTCGATACAGGAGGTGAAGAGGATGAATCCATCCTCTTCACTTTGAATGTTCTCATTTTGGACAATGAAAGAATTTGATCTGCAGCTACTCAAGGTCACGAGCACTTGGACACGATACGGGATGTCCGATAGGAGGCTTCAATTTATCGCACGTAAGGAACTCGGTGTGTTGAGAGGATCTAGACTTTCGTGGCGTTTTGTTAGAGGATGCCGAGGCTTTTTCCCTTTTGCATTCCCGTCTTATGAGTTTGATAATCGATTGTTGTGCTCTGCTCCGAGGTTGAAGACTTTTATAGACGCTAGACAGCTGGGCACCTTCAACAATCGTCATTGCTGTTCCAAGACCCTGCCATTTGCACTTTCATCTGGAGAAGTTCCTCATTTCACTTGACTTCACTTGACTTCACTGCTCACTTCTCCCACCTATATCTCCATTCAAAATGTCGAGTAGAAGCTCCAGTGAAATGTCGAACGAGAGCTTGCTTCCTGTTCAGGAACAAGAGAAGCACGATTTGTACATCAAGAAACCGAGTCGAGCCCGCAAAGTATTCCAATCTATCTGTAAACGACGATTCTACACCAACGGAGTATCTATTCTGCACCAGATCTTCTTCATCGTACTTTTCATAGCTGGCATCAACATCGCCTATCGCCAAGGACTTCGTCACCTGGCTCCTAGAGCCATCAAAAGTTTTGTTCCCCAAAGTATGTCAATACAAGCAAATCCGAACTCAAAAATGCATCTGACAAAAACCAGTCGCTCCTTTATCAACACCAGTCATCTTCGAAGACAGCGCCGACTGGTCCGGAAACACACCCCAAGCAGCCATAGGCTGGAACAGATGGCTCAAGAACTTCGAAACCCACACCATCGCCATCCCGACCTCTTCAATCGAAGAATTCGGCTACGAGCCCGGACTACCCGATACTACGCACTCTGAACGATTCTCCATTGCCATGTTCCACCAACTACACTGCTTGGTCCGTACCCCTCCCTCTCCCCCAGCTACCTTTCCTCCAGCTAGGAAACTCCACTAACCAGAAACCCGCAAAACAGGCCACAATCCGCGAATTCGCCTACCTGCCAGACGCAAAGCGGAACCCGAACGGCAAACCGCTAGACCACGACGGAGTGTCGTTTTCGCCGTTCCATATGGATCACTGCTTCAACTACTTGCGGCAGGCGATTGAGTGTTTTGCTGACGCGACGGTGGAGTGGGCGAAGATTGATGAGAGTGGGAAGAGGAAGGGGATTCAGGGGTGGGGGATCCCGCATCGTGAGTGTCGGGATCGGGATAGTTTGGAGGCGTTTGCGGTGGAGCATCATAATGTTACGATGTGATAGATGCAAGAATGAATGAGGACTTTGAAAATGTGTAGAAGGTGCAGCACGTGACGAGTAATTAGTCCCGAAGTTGTTGCATGGTCTGACTCTAGAGCTCCGTGTTGTAAAGGTCACGACACAGAAGTCTTAACTGTAGACTTGCTGAGCATCCTACTTTGGACAGACATGATAAATCAATATGTAATGCGAATCTAGATAAACTCCCATGACAAGCTATGTAACTCCATATGCAAAGCCACGCAAGTTGAAAGCAAAACCAGAGAATCCGCCCAGATGATCCCACTCGAGATTTAAGCATGCGTCGGAGGTCTAGCATTTGCCGCGGCAACGAAATGACCCCAAGTGATCAGCTCCCTACTACAGTCATCTTGATGCAGCGAGCATTCAATCAGCGTAGGTCCATCCGCATGAGTCTGTGCCTTCTCAATCGCCACCGCCAATTCTCCCACCGTCGCGACCTGCAATCCCAATGCGTGGCCGTCCGTCGAGTTGAACGCTTCTACCAATTTCGCGTAATCCCAGTTCTTGATGCGGTTGTAGAGTCCATCGTGGATCTCTACTTCGATCGTGTACCCTTTGTTGTTCATCAGGAGGATTATGATTGGTAGGTTCCATCGAACCATTTGCGAGACTTCTTGGACGGTTACTTGGAATGAACCGTCGCCTACCATGATGATGATTTTTCGGTCTCGCTTGCCCATTGCGTATCCGAAGGCGGCTGGGATGGACCATCCGATGTGACCCCACTGCATCTCGATTTCAAAATCTGCTCCTTGGGGTAGCCGTAGCTGGATGCCGTTGAACCACGAATCTCCTGTTTCTACGAAGAGACTCGTCTCTGGGGTAAGAAGTCCTTGTACCCGTCGAGAAATCTCTTTTCGCGTCAATTCTTCTTCTGCGTTGGGAACTCGCTCTGTAGGAGGATCGGGACATAGCCGAGCGTATTCTATCATTGTGCTATCGTTCCGAGTAACCACCTCTGCCAGTCTCGATAAGAAGTCGCATAATCGTACACGACTGAAATGCGCCCCGGGGAAGGTCACGTGGTCCATTTCCGCCACCATGTGTGGGATGTTGGGTAATGCTGTCCAGCCTACTGTGCTGTAGTCATTAAACACAGTACCAGCACAAATAATGGCATCTGCCCAGTGTACGATCGAATCAGCGGCAAGCGTGCTGACTTGGCCCCAAAATATCCCCACAAACTGTGGATGATCCTCCGGAAAGAAGCCCTTGGCTGCTGGTTGGACCGCAACACTGCATCCCAGCTTTTCCGCCAGTTTCAGCAGCTCCTTTTCTGCGCCCGCTCTGCGTAATTTCGGTCCTACAAGAATGATGGGCTTCTTCTTTCCGTCCAGATACTGAGCTGCTTGATCGATAGCCGCAGCCAACGCCCCTTCATCGCTTGGCACGGGATCGGTGACTGCGTTTATAGGACCCGGCCGAACACATGCTGCACCGGATAGATTTGTTGGGATTTCGATATACGCAGGTTTTCGTGCAATCAAAGCGGCTCGAATAGCTCGGTCGATCAGACGTGGCGCATCAACAGCTCTCTTGACTGATACTGCGCAACACGTGATCTTTTTCGCCATTTCGAATTGGTAAGAGTAATCATGATCTCCGAGCGTGTGGTGCAAGATGTGGAATTCACCAGCATCGTTGGTGTTGGGTGATCCGCTGATTAGGATGAGAGGGAGGTTTTCTGCGTACGCACTGCCGGTGCCGTTGAAGGCTGAGAGCGCACCGACACTGAATGTCACGACGCATGCTGAGGCTCCTTTGGCGCGAGCGTAGCCTTCAGCTGCCATGGAGCAGTTCAATTCGTTCGCGCAGCCAACTTCTGTTAGTTGAGGGTGTGCTGAGAGTTTGTCGAGAAGAATGAGGTTGTAATCGCCTGGGACGACGAAGTGATGTCGAATCCCGATCTGAACGAGCCTTTCGGCGAGGTAATCTCCAACTGTGAAAGCAGACATGTTTGACATGTTTAATTGCTGTACTTTAGATCTGGTGTTGACGAGAATGTAATCCTAAGTAGCCTTTTGAATTCAATATAAGACACGCCTCGCGTTTAATAATAGATCCCTTCGATCAGATTGTAAAATGCTCGTGATGCGGCGGCGGCGGGCGGCGAAATTATTGTTCGGCCATTCTCCCAGAGGTGACAGACCATCAGGAGATTGGCCGGACATCGGATGATCTGTACGAATGCAGTGGAACGGAAACATATTGTCTGCAAAGAAAGACGAGAGAAATTTCCATTCGACGGTAAAGAAGCAGACCATCAAAAATGGAGGATTGATGAAGTGGCGTGATGTTTTTGAAAGTCTTTGATTCGCTTAGCGGGGTCTCGGCAAGCTACCCCTGAACGCCCTACGGAGTCCAGTACCGTCAAAATAGTGGGCTGATCATGAAGGAAATATTCAATCTCAATACAACGTGGATTGCATTGTATTACCCATAATCATATTCGAGTGGCCGACATCGCGGCGGCTTCATGCGAGAGACCACGCCAGGAGCAAATCTCATCCAGAAAGTAAGGCCGTTTGCATCTTACCCTTGAACCTGCTTACTCGACGCAAAGATCTTCTGTCCTGATAAGTAGTAACATGATGTCACTTCAGAGAGCGATTTCTACCCCGTCCCATCATTTTCCCTGCTCAGTGCTTTCGGCTCCGAGTTGCTTCGGATTGGTCCGTCTCTGCAATTTCTCCCGTCCTGGTCACATACTTAAGTCCTGGCACTTCTCACGTTCTGTTTGCTCAGTCACCCAACACAACTTCAAGCATTCACTTTCAACTTCGAAGAACACTTCACCCTTCTTCAAACACAATCAAGACAAGGAATCTAGATCCATCGCTACTATGGCCCAATTTGAGATCCCACAAGAACAATGGGCTCAGGTCGTCGAAAAGACCGGCGGACGTAAGTTCACTTCCAAATACCCCGCAACCGCATCTTGAAGCTCACATAAGTCCCAGCACCCGTCTACAAGAAGATCCCAGTACAAAAGCCTGGCCCTGATGAAGTACTGATCAACATCAAATACTCCGGCGTTTGTCACACCGATCTTCACGCCATGAACGGCGACTGGCCACTAGACACCAAGATGCCATTGGTCGGCGGTCACGAGGGAGCAGGCGTCGTCGTCGCAAAAGGCTCTCTCGTCGATAACATCGAGCTCGGAGACCACGTCGGCATCAAATGGCTCGGAGGATCATGTCTGAACTGCGAATTCTGCATGGAAGGCGACGAGCCATTGTGTCCACACGCTCTGCTCTCCGGCTACACCGTGGACGGCACATTTCAACAATACGCAATCGGCAAAGCCGCCCACGTTGCCCGTATCCCAAAGGACCTTGACCTCGCGGCCGTCGCGCCTGTTCTTTGCGCAGGTATCACCGTGTACAAAGGACTCAAAGAATCGGGCGCCAGAGCAGGACAATACGTCGCTATCGTCGGCGCAGGTGGCGGACTCGGCAGCTTGGCACTCCAGTATGCCAAGGCAATGGGTCTCCATACCATCGCCATCGATGGGGGAGCCGCGAAAGGAGAATTCTGTAAATCGCTAGGTGCATCTGCTTACGTCGACTTCACGACATCGAAAGACCTCGTTGCGGACGTCAGAGCGGCTACACCGGGCAATGTCGGTCCTCGTGGGGTACTGCTACTTGCTGTTTCAGAGGGTCCGTTCCATCAAGCTACTGAATATGTGCGATCTCATGGCGTCGTGGTCTGCATTGGAATGCCAGCCGGAGCATATTTCAAGGCTCCCGTTTTCGATACGGTGGTGCGCATGATTACCGTCAAGGGCAGCTATGTCGGGAATCGTTTGGATACGTTAGAGGCGATTGAGTTCTTCCGTCTGGGGCTTATCAAAGCACCGTTTGAGGTTGTTCCTCTGAGTACGCTGCCTGAGATTTTCGAGAAGATGGAAGCTGGTAAAATCGTGGGACGGATGGTCGTTGATACCAGCAAGTGATTTTGTAGCGATTATGTTTCTTTAGATCGCATTTCTTATGGAGTTTGATGCTTTGCTTGTCTTTTGCGCTCTTTAGTAATCAATCGACGTTTTTACCAGATTTTCAGGGTGATTGAACTCAACATTTAGATACTGATCACTGCTAGTCAATGATAAAATGTCTTGCTGTCTTGTTCCAAACCCGGATGTTGGCGAGGCCTTACATGCAGCCATAATATTCGAAGAGTCATCGGTCACGTATGGATTCTGCTTCTGACAGTCTGGTTGATTGAAAGAACTCGCTAAAACAACTCACAACGCCATTCAGCAATCCCCCCAATCTCTTAAGGAAATATAGCAGAAAACTTCTGCCAACCCGGTACCTCACACTCCAAAAACTGCCCCAAATCCCTCGCCCCCTCCTCCCCCATCCCCGGCTCCACACTCGAAAAATACAACGCAAACGCCGGAGCCGCCAAAAACAACCCCGCAAAAACCCCCATCCCCACATCCAAAAAATACCCCGCCCAATGCGCCTGCGACGCTCTCTTCCTCCCCCCATCCATCATCGGCACGATCCTAAAACTGCCAAACGCCCAGACGAGCGAGAAGATAGGATAGATCGCCACCAGCGGCCAAGGAAAGCTTGACGCGAAGAAAGGATCCGTGTCGCTGCGCGCTTCAACCACGCCCCAGACGAGCAGGGCGCCGCAGAGGAGGCCTTGCAATGTACAGCTCGCGGCGTTGGTCAGGTTAAAAGCATAATAAGCCCACGTCCCACCGAACCGCTTCTTCTTCTGCAACGAGTCCGCGAAACGGACGCGGGAGTCGAGACAGAGAGGTAAAGCTGTGACGGCTACGGAAATCCCTTTTACGATCTTGGCTATGCCGGAGGAGGAGGAGGAGGTCGATGCATTGGCTGCTATCCAGATTATCTGCGAGATGGGCGCGTAGACGGCGCTGTATACCCAGCCGATCCAGCCCAGGACGGTGACGTCGCGGTTCAGCGGCGCGAGGTAGGGGGACATGAGTGGTGGTGGGAGACCGGATAGTTTGCCTTGTTTGTAGAGGCGTGGGTAGGCGCGGAGGGCGCGTTCGAGGTCCTGGGTTGAGGCGAAGTGGGTGCGGAGCTCGGAGCGCTTTTGTTGGGCGAGGCGGGTGGTTTGTTGGCGGATTAAGAGGTCGGAGCGTGTGGGCCAGAAGGTGCTGAGGGGGGATTGCTTGGGGAGGTGGGCGAGGGAGGTGTCTTGGGTGAAGACGGTGGTGTAGACGGTGCGAAGGTATTCTTCTGCAGAGCTGAGTGGGAGCTCGCTTAAGATAGGGGGGTGGGTTGTTGATGCGTTTCGAGCGGGATTTTCGTATAGTTGATTGTTGGATCCTCGATTGATGAGAGAAGCCTGGGCATCTGATTCGGGGTCGGGAGACGTTGCTCTGTTGGGTATTTCGTATTGGTCGACACTTTGTTCGACTGTCCATGTCCCCGTCACGCTGCGGTAGAACATATATGATCCACCGATAACGACGCGGAAGAATGCAAACCATGCAATCCAGCCAGTTATGAATGCGATCATGTAACCAGAGGTAAGGCCGTTGACGACTGATCCAATGAAAGCTGACAAGATGGAACTGAAGGCACGTGCTTGAGGCGTGAGAGTACACCCACCTGAATCAGACATGTTTGAAATTGTGTCTTCACTAGAAGATCTCAAAGTTCAAGGAAAGTGGAGCTCTGAAGATTTATAGATAGAAGTGTTGTGCTGAAACATGGCCCCCAAATTGCTGCCGCCTTGCTCGTGGCTTGGCGTACAGTCAGCACATCTTAGGCAGGGCTGACTCCAAATATAAGCATCAGCCTCGTTCATGTGAGTCTCTTCGTAAGGAGGATCCATAGGGCGTCGTAGAAAATAGAAAGTCGTGAGATTATGAGCAGTGGAAGTAGAACCGAGTGGGCCACTTGGATTGTTATTATCAAAGATGAGGACCAAGATGAACTCCAAACCAAAATGTACGACGCTTTAACTTTCCTTTTTTCGTCCCTTCCTCGAGCTTGTATTGTTCTCGACTTTGCAGAAAATCCAATCCCTTGAACTTGTAGTATGTGGAATACTTGATAGGAGTTCTTGTGTTGGGTGCATTGTTTCATGGGCCGAGCCTCATCAAAGTGGTGGGATGGCCACAACTTTGCTCTTCTCATGCCTCGCATGGGCAAAGTGCAGCCTCATGCAATCATCAACCAAGCTTGTAAAGTTGCAATAACAATGCTGAAGCAAGCCAGCATGAATGCCCCAAGCGCCATAGCGTCTTGAACATTATGTTGAAGCCTCGAGTACAAAGCACCCTCCAAAATACTTGCGAGTAAGAACAGAGAACATATGATCGTCAAAATCTTCTTCCAACTCCATCCATCTTCGAAGTGTAAGCCCCAGCCAGGAGACACACCTTGGGTAGGGCAAGGAATCAGCCGATCATTGAGTTTCTTCGGTACTTTTTGAAGACATGGCGCAAGTTCAGCAGAAGCATGTTCCGGATAGCGCAAGAAATGCTTCAAGGTCCTCGATCCAATTGGTGGTTTGACATTAGTGCTCTCGTAACGATAGGCAGTGTTGTACTCAGCTGTCGGCATCGCATTGATCTCTTTGATGTCGACAATAGATCTCTCGTACAGATCAAAAGATACAAAGTAGATATCTTTAATCTCGCGCATGGACAGCCAGGACCACCATCGCTTCTTGGTAGAGGCGTGATATCGATGAAGCATGTTAAAGAAGGCATTGTCGGAATCTATATCGTGTACAGCAGGCTGGTATGCCCGTATTACAGACGACCGACTGCCATCATCGATACATAAGAGGAGGTAGAGCTGTTCAGGTGGCGCTGGTCGTTGTGATGTTGCCTGAGATGGTGGTTGCTGCGCCTCCAACTCATGCGTTGGAAGATTCGGTGTTCTGTGAAAAACTTTCCTGTACAGATTGAAACAGTAAGTTGGCAATATGAGAATAGCAGCCGCGATGCTGTTGCAGAGCCGACCGATGAACTGAGCTAATTGACGAAATACAAGGTGATGGTTTAGTGGGGCACTTTTACGTCGAGATTGACGCTGCAATAGCTGGTGAAACTCTTCTGCGGCACTGCTTTCTGTCCTATCGTAGTCATCATACAGTGTTGTACCACATGACTAATTTTCTTATTCAGTGAAAAAGGGGCAAGGGCTGACGAATTGGGCAGCAACTTACACAAGTCCACATTATTCGCGTGAATCCCTCCTCCACTGGCGGACCCTTGATCAAGCGATTCCAATATTTACCCAGGTACTTGAAAATTGCGCACATTGGATTTACCAATCCTTCTGATAAAGCATACAAAATGTCCTTGCATTTTTGTAGGCGACTTGCAGGTTGAGTTGGAATTGGCCTGACGAATTTCTCCACATTCATCCTGAACGTTTGGAAAGCGCGCGATCTTTCGACGAAGGCCTGGAAGCTATCTGGGCCCATGAGTCCATGATTCTCTTCCTCGACATCGAGACCGTTTGAGTCCTCGAAAAGTGGTTGCTGGGACTTTCCCTTCCCCAGACGTGAATTTAGCTCCGTGGCAAATGAGACCAGCTGAATATTTAGCTCTAGATTTCACGAAAAGACCAATTTGTTGTTCGCTAATAGATGTTGACTCGTCTAAGAGGTCCTGTGCGAAAGAAACGAGCAAGAGCTGTATGTTTCCAACCAAATCTTTTGAGGAAGTTTTTCTGGCAGCCTCGATCCATAGATTATGGAGCACATCGTCTTCGAAGATGAAGCAGGCAAGTCCTTCGCTGGCTGCGGGTTCCCGAATAGAGGACGGAGTTGATAAGCCGTATTTCTTCTTTCCATCATCTTCCTTTTCGCCAACGTGCTCCTCCAGTACAGGCTGGCCATATGCTTCATTAATGAGCGTGTCGAGTTCATCAGGACTTAATTCATCATGAATCCATTCTTCCCCAGCATCTGAATTTGCTAGTAGTTGACTTGTAGAATAATATGGCCTTATAGAAAACCCTTGCTCACCCGAAGGGTCCTCGCCGATCTTGCAACAGTATTGGAAGCAGCAGAGGTGCCCACAGTCTGGGCAAGCATCACGAAACAGTTCTTGATTTACTTCCCGGCGACATTGGCAACAGATCCACCAGCCTATGAGCGACAGACTTCTGGTCATACTGGGCTTTTAACACAACCGGAAACAGATATGCCCAAAACCGGTGTCAGAGCATGGATGCCAGCTCGTACACTGCTCGAAGAGATATCACAGTTATAAACTTTCCGAACAACGGGTCGAGCCTGCCGAATTCTTCGAGGAAGCCTCGCGGTAAGCCGTTCTGCAAACAACGGGGCGTGAGAAGTGATGCTCAGCACAGCCACACAGCCACAGCCTCACTGCATCAACCACAAAAAGATCAATAGCATTCCATCGTGAATCTCAATCGACTCAATACCCCAACACTAATCGTTACACCTCAGCTATCGCAAGGCACCGCACAACATAAGCAACAAAATATCGAGGCATTCTTCGCGGGTATATGAGGCTGCACTTCTTTCTTTTAACGACATCAATACCAAATACCGTCCTAGACATCACACGGGCGGCAGAGAACAAAACACTTTCAACAAGCTGCCAGATTTTCTTGCCCCAACCAACCTAAACCCTCAAGGGGAAGAGCAGTAACCGCAAAGAACAGGACACTCATCTTCATGCACTTGCGTGTAGCTTCATAGTAATGCTCACAACATGCATTTAACTACGCTCACAAGAACTTTGACATGCGCCCAGCGCCAATTGATATCCGAAAACTCACCCAAAAATGCTCACTTATAACAAAAGAAAACACTCCAGCTCCTACTCATCATGAAAAAGAGTATCGACTCCTTTTAAATCACCAACATCACAAAAGAAATAAATGCAAAACAATGGTATCAACAAAAAACACCTTTCCCCAACCCAATGCATGCCCCTCAAAATCCTCATTCAATCATACCTCACCCTTCCTCTCCCCATAACACCCCCTGCCCCTCCTCCTCCACCCCCATTCACACCCTTCCCACCACTAGTACCTGGCCGCACTCCCGTACCAGGTCTAGCAACCGTAGTCTCTCTCCTGAATACAGTGGACTTGGGAGCCAAAGCATCACCAACGGCATTCTCAGGCGTAGTAGCAACCTCCACAAGCGGGACCCACTTAACAGGTGCAACACCATGTCCCTTGCCCGTTTTGTCCCACTGCGGCGCTTCTTTAAAAGTTGGTGTGAAGTCTAGGAGGGGTTTGGGTTTGGTTCTACTTGTACTTCGCTTTAAACCGTCCGAGTTAGAATTGGAGTTTGAGTTTGAGTTTGAGTTTGAATTCGTGATGGATAATGCTCGGTCTCGGTTCAGGAGGTTGGGACCATCTGTGAACGGTCCTGTGGGGTTGGAAAGGGGTTTAGAGGGGTTTTGTTGGCGCGTAGTATACGACCGTCCCAACAGCCCCGCGGAGCTAAACCCCCCTTCCTCTTCTTCTTGCGAAGGGAGACGATAAGAAACAATAGGCGGATGTCGCTTCGCTTCTCTTTTCGCCTCAGCATTGGATAGCAAGATTTACAGACGCTCTTCCAAATTCCATCACTTCTCTTCCAACCATCTGAACTGTTGTCAGATGTCCTCAGGCGGTCACTATCGCGTTGTAGCGATATCTGCGAAGGTATAATTTCTGGTTGCCAGAAAAACAGTATGCTGCGGGGCAATGGCCACCAGCAGAAGTGAAGTTCAAATCGACTTCAGAGTACGAGATCTTGCTGTACGTCTCTGTCCATATCCTTTCCACACCTTGCACTGTCATATGCGCTATGTCAATCGAAGACAGTGTTGCCTGAGCTCTGCACGTGTCGAGGCAAACGATAGGAGCATTCGTTCTCGGTGGATGGAGGTTTGGCTCGCAGAGGGGGGGAATAAGGTCGATGAGGAGTCATTGCTTAAGCTCGGACAGTGTGAGCTGTGAGCTATACTGTCGTGATATTTCTGCACATTGAATAGATTAGCCAACTCGATTGACAATCGGTTTCTGGCTTCGTGAAGAAGAGAAGTACGTCAGTCACGAGAACTGTAATAGCGAGTGCTGATGCGGAACTCGAGTAGCGACTACCCTGCTCCCGTATGGGCTCATAGCACATGCAACTTACATTGCTGATATGTTGCGGATTGTTGGCGTTCTGATAAATTGAACAGTGGGATAAAGTTCGAAGATTTGACGTTCGACGAAATACAGCAAACAAAATCCATGCGGCAAATCCCGCCGATCGTCTCCTCTCCCAAAAGTCACGTCTTTGACATTTCACTTCTGCAATAACTCCGTCCCTCTTCACACATCTGCCTGGGACCTTGTTTCTCAGTATATCGCGAAGCGGATGATACTCCGAGGAAGAAGTCGAGTACAAGCAAAATACAGAACACCCTCTGCATTTATTCTGAGCGAGATGCAAAGAATTCGACGACAGTGCTTTGTAAAGCAACAACTCGGAGTATTTATTGCAGTATCTGCATGAAGACGAACAGCTCTGTGGTAGCTCTACGCGATCCAGTCTCCTAGGGTTCCTGGTCAATCATTATTCCGCTAATAATGTTGATAGAATGTGTACAATATCTACATACCTTATCAGTCGCTGCTGACGATTGACAATAGCCAGATAGGACAAATGTACACGCGTTTCCGATCTCACCTCTCGGAGTATTACAATCTTCCATGTCAATGGATCTGCGATCTGGCATCAAGCAACGATACCAGGCTCATCTCAACAACCATGAACAACCGGGATAGTGCTGCTTGAATGCCAAGAGATCATTGATCCCAAGAGCCAAAGCTTCGGAACGATTGAATGGCAGGGGAGTGTCGAGAAGATTATTTCGTGCTTTTGATCGCTCTTTCCTTTGCCCATGTCAGTCCTTGGGAGAGGGAAGGCAGAAGTCTGGAGTCATTGATTGACGGGTTGAAACTGTTTCCGCTGACCTTCGCATATTCGAGTCAGCTTCTTCACTGCGCTTCTCCATACACGGATGATTCTGAGGAGCGATTGCTGTTGATGGAGATGTTTCGGTGGTACATCTCAAAGTTCCACCAGAACTCGGCGAATTGCGCAACGCCACAATTGCTTCCATCAAAGCACGTCAAGTGAGGAACGTAATCTATTCTTCCCGCTCTATGTCGGACTTGTTGAGTAAATTTAACGATAAATAAAAAAGAAATTAAAAAATTGCTTTATATATTGTGGCGGGGCCAGCTCTTTTTGGCGCTCACCAGCACGTGTGGTTGAGGAGGCCAGCCCGGGAACGCTAGTCTTCCCTAGCACTACACTCAATCGGGTCTAGTTTATCATGTGACGCTTCCCATATATTGTGATCGCGCACTCTTAAAATAACAACAACTCTTCTCTCTCTCTTAGTTTTTACAGTAACATGCTTTCGAATGCTTTTATATGATGTTTTGAACTTATTCTACTACTGCGAATAGTGGTCTGCTTCGCGCAGTGCCTACTTATTATTGTTTTGGTTGTTTTTGCGTATGTCACGACTCTCTCCTTACCCTGGTAAGGTCACGTGGGTTGGTATGGTGAATGAAGTAAGGTAAGGCAATGATATAGTAGTTAGGAAAGCTTAATCAAGTTGAGCACGAAGCCCCTATCTAATGGGTGACAACCCAGAGTTATATAGAACCCGAGTGTTGTGGAGTAAAACCCCCTCCTGGAGTTTTACTGTACCTTGGAGTTTTACAGGAGAGTAAAACTCCATCACGTGACCCACCGCGTGACCCAAGGCCCACTAGTCCCGTGACCGTGACAGCGTACTGCTGATTCATGTTCTTACCCCCTCTACAATATTCAAAAATAAAGAAAATTTTAAAAAATTATTATAAAAATTATAAAATCGAATAAATTTACGTAATTTTAAATTATATATAAAGCGTTTAATTTATAAAATTAAAAATATAATTATTATGCGAAGTTTAATTATTGTCACGGTTATGGAGTCACGTGCCCGCTACGAAATACTCACGTGACCGCTCGCCTATATATATGCCCTGCCTTCCGGCGCTTCCTTCCTTTCTTTCCTCTTTACCTTTAGATTCTAAGAGATAGCCTAATCGATTCCTCGTCTACGTACTTGAGTCCAACCGTGCTGTTATATTATCTAAAGGTCAAACAACCCCCTACCAGCCTGGGAAGGCATAATAAAGAATATCCGACCAGAGACTGTACGCGTTGGA